CCAGCCCCTTGATCACCCTGGACTAAAACTGATGACAGCTATCAAGAAGCGCAAGGGCCCGAACGTCTACTCAGGGTTCAGGACTAAAGTTTTCCTATGCAAGGACACTCTCAAGCGCCCTCAGTGAAAAGGAGTGCTTCTTCAATCGATTGCAATATCGAAACTCTATGCAAGGACGGGTATCTATCGCGGACATTAACCAAGAGATGTAGGCGTTAGTTGCCACCGATGGACTTTTGTTGAACGCGATCTGAAAATCAATAGTGTCGCCCCTATGTGAATATGTCTTGGAAAAGATCGATCCTTAATGAACGTGAAAATCGCAGGACCCTTGGAGCTAAACCTGAATAGGTTCACACTTGGTTCGCAGATTGTGAGGTGGCGTTTGCGATCATGCAAGGGGGATGTCAAAACTGTCGAGATAAAGTAGATATGTACGAAATCTCGGCTTGCGTCTATCCGAGTAGGCGAGTTCCTGAACGTACTAAGCAGCTTGAAGTGATAAGGTTTTGGATAAGTAAGAAAATCGGTACTCCGTCGATGTTGTATTCCACTCTTTTTGCCCCTGTGGCAACGATTTCCAACAACGGTGTTCCAGTGTCCACCCTACAGATCGCGGCTATCTTAACTTTAAATTTAGACTTTCTGTGGAATGTGATTTGAAAGGAGCTTGTATTTACGTGGAGATCATAACCATGATAATTGCATTTTGACACTTAAAGGATTGGGCTCTGAGATGACTGTATGAAAGGCCGATTGTGTGGAGCTATCTACTAAGCAGATTCTACTGTATACTTGTGTAAGATAATATTGATATGGTAGGAGTTGCCCTTACTACAACTACATGAGCAAGTTTCCTCCCTGCCATAAGACAGTAAAGCCATATAGCAACAAACAATGAGCAACGAGCGAAGGCATAGGAGGGGGCATGACCTCTTTCACCAAAAGGTGGCAGAAGCCCTACTCATCCTCGATGAGAAAGCCACATCTTGCCTTCACCGTATTGAGAGTCGTTTGGAATCAAGGGAATGATAGATCAGTTTAGTAGGAAACAAAAAGAGCTGCAAGTTCAAATCAAGCCAGACAATTATCGCCAGAAACTCTGTTCTGTGACAAGAAGAAGCTGAGGTTGTCGAATATGAGCCGAGCTGAAGAGTAGTGCAGGAAGAGGACTTTCAATCTCGGGTTGAATTCAGAGAAATAACCGATTGGGTAGGAAAAGACGCAGACATGTTCTGAGATGATGAACCAAAGGGAACCAGCCAGTACTGAAGGAAGCTATGGTGCAGATTCAACGGTGTCTTTCTTGCCTAAAATCCAGAGACGAACCGCTAAACAGACTTTTGAGAACACGCCCTCTACGTTTCGAGCTCCGTTTATATATTCATTACGGTCTTCAGGGGTACGAAAAGAGATATTCTTATTAGAGTAATCCCTCAGCTCTCTCAGTAGTCGGGCATACAGCCATTTATGTGACTGTACCCGCCTTCAAACGTTTCCAGCGCCATACAGCTCCGCATTCGCCCTTCACAATATGTAGACTCTTTCGATAAAGAACACTTTGTGGGGCATGTTGAGCCTCCGATCCAATGTACAGCGCTGTAGCTGAATAGGGACTGTCTAGGCCCAGTGGATCCTTCTGTGGAATGGAATAACCCGCGAGGTGGAGGAACTCCTTTTGGCGAACCATTTCCCGACGTAAACAGAACAAGACATCCAGCATTTGGGGACAGGTCAATTGCCCATCGATTTCCAAGTTGGGGTAGGAGTGGCTTTGATCTTTTCACCGGAGATATGGTCAAGTGTTGGTTAGTTACGTTTTGGGCATAATCTGTAATTGCTAGTGCCATCTCAGAACACTCCTTATCTACAAGGATGAAGTTTACCTTTTACTTATTTCGAATATGTAGAGCTTCTTCTGGAACAAGTCTCGTTGCTATAACCAGTTATTGTTAGAGCCCCAAAGCTGATCTGAACAGAGCGTTTAACATACACATGGCACCCAGATAGCTCCCAGGGCCGCAATAGCTAGAAAGCCCACAATAAAGTAGTACCCATTGAACACAAGAAACGTAATACACAGGCCTTCTAGATGTAGCAGGCTATTTCTTATCAAACAAAGTACTTGAGAGCTGCTCTTATAGAACCTGACATATGTGTATAACATTGTTGATCATCACAATAGCTGGCATCAATGCTGTATTCATTGTGAAACAACACTTTTGATCTCTCTGCGTAGAGTCGGCGAAGTCGAGTATCGAATCGTTCGGAAACTTATGAAGTCTAGACGTCGTATCACTCTTCAGAAAACCCCATTTGATGAGGTAGTCGGAGCCCGCTAGGCGGAAATATTAGGTTAACCGGGGGAGGAGAGCAAGACATTTATAGATCTACATGATCTTCCAGAACAAAGGTCATTCTATGTAATTTGATTTAGTATATGATGTTTGCATTAGGCGTGTGCTTCAGCAAGAGTCTTTAGATTTGAAGGTACAATTAGAGATCCCTTACTAGTGGTCTCGATGTGTCCTGCCCACTTCACTCGGGCAGGTTTCGATGGATCTAGAACTGAACTAGCTAAGCGAGCTGACCAGTCAGTTAAATCTGTACCCGCCTGCATAGTCCTCGTGTTAGCGTAGATTGAGAATCCAATGAGGCTTTTGGACAGAAAGCATGTTTGTAAAAACTGTGCAGTCCGCGTACACCAACCTTCCCAGTAAAATGGGCCAGCAAAAGGCAAATAAACCTTAAACCTACATAAAGAATTTCAGTCGTATATTCATGCAATGGGCTGTTGTCTATGGGCTCCGGCCCGATTATGATGGATCACTGAAATGACCCGTGATAGGCTAGTGAGTATGAAGACTTCCTAGTCCATTAGTACACGGTATTGTATTTCCGAAGTCGCCACTGTCTGTCGATCTCTCGTTCGCTTTCCTCTTTTCAGGATTCACTTGCTCATTGAAGTTTGAACCCAAGTTGAGGGCTGATGTGCTGATGGGCTAGAAGAGTCAAAGAGCACCATGATAGGCACCATGGCTAGAGACCAGGTTTTGCAAGTGGCGCCTGACCTCAAAAACCTCCCCTGCGGGGTCAATGATCCTCGACGTGGTTGCCATCTCGTTTCTTTTCTTTTTCTTTTTCTTTTTCTTTTTTTTTTTTTTTTTTTTTTTCTGGCGTGTTTCTCAACGCTTCCCTCACTGCGGCTCGATTAAGTTCCCGAGTCAAGTGGATCGATCGGCATGTCCCGAACTATGCATTGCCTTGTCAATTGCCGAGTTGCATAAAGACATTGTGGCTAGCTGACTGAGGATGAACAGGTGTTCAACTCATGATACTTTGTAACTTTCTCAAGTAATTACCCAAGCGACCACGATTGGTTACCACGTGATGCCGATTATGGTAAAACCATTAAGACTGACGGACACTTCCCCCTCCTCCTCCCATTTACCTAACCTTGCGACGCTGAATACCCTTCGCTCTTTCTATCATCAAGAGTTCGACTCGACTATTGCAGCGGAAAGCTTCACTTAAGCAAGCCGAAAACCCCTCTATTATCAGACCATTTCTTTTATATACGATGCCTCTACTCGATCTTCCAGACGAATTACTACTTCAGATCATCGAGAACCTGGAGAGCGAGAAGGACATTCTTTCTATTTTGTTGACAAGTCCTCGAATATATGCTATCCAACAAACAAGCCCTCTCTACAAACACAACATTAGGTTCTCAGGGAGCTCAGCACTGCGATGGTACTCGGCGAAAGGGTGCAAATCAGCGGTGGAGGCACTACTCGAAACGGGCGCTGACCTAGAGTGCAGATCCAAAGATGGTGCTACACCACTAGTATCTGCTGCTACGCATGGACATGAGAGTGTGGTACAGTTGCTGCTTGAAAAAGGTTCCGATATAGAAGCTCAAACCACTTATTTTTGGGCCCGCTGGACACCACTAAGATGGGCTGCTGATGGGGAACATGATGGTGTGGTCAAGCTGTTACTTGAGAAAGGTTCTGATCCGAAGTTCAAAGGCACGAAATATGACCAGGAACAGCTATTACTAGCTGCACAAGTTGGAGATGCGAAATCTGTTCATCTACTGCTTGAGAGGGGCACTGACCTAGAGTGCAAATACAATGGCAGTGACACACCACTGAGCGTTGCTGCTTACCATGGACATGCAGATATAGTCAGGCTGCTGCTTGAGAAGGGTGCTGATATAGAAGCCAAAGATTTTTATGGCCGGACACCCCTGATATATGCTGCTGGCAATGGACATGAGGATGTGGCTAAGCTATTGCTTGAAAAGGGTGCTGGTCTAAATTACAAAGATGGTGATGGTGATACAGCACTAGGATCGGCTACTATGAATAGACATGAGAGTATGGTCAGGCTACTTCTCGAGAAAGGTGCTAATATAGAGTCTAAAAACGGAGATGGCTGCGCACCACTGATAAATGCTGTTTATGATGGACATGAGAGTATGATCAGGCTACTACTCGAGAAAGGTGCTGATATAGAATCTCAAACTAACGATGGTTGGACACCGTTAACAGTTGCTGCATTCCATGGATATGAGAATATAGCAAAGCTGCTGCTCGAGAAAGGTTCTAATATAGAATCTAAAGATAAGGATGGCTGGACACCACTAAGATGTGCAGTTGAAGACGAACACGAGGGTGTGGCCAAGCTGCTGCTTGACAAGGGCGCTGACCTCGAGCGAGCGGGCCTCACGACCGAACAGATCAATGGTGTGATACGGCTTTTGAAGTGAAGCTATTCGAGATATCAAAATATCTACATTTCTATATAAAAGTTGATGGTTCTGATGATTCAAGGAATGAGTTCTTTTACGCCCTAATATATGGCAATGATCACATCTATGTAGGAATTAAAGTGATCATACATCTGACTTGGAGACTTGGATGGCACCACTAACTTACCTACAGCAAGGGGACTTTCTCTAAGCTCCTAGCCTACGTACGATGGACTCTTTCAACTTGAACAAGATAAAGCGCACGCTGTCATGCTCCGATTCAATACCATATGGTATAACTCATGCTACATCATTGCCTCCGCTGTAAACACCGAAAAGAAAGCCAAAACACCGCAACCGAAATAAAGCACATCATCCCCACATAAGCACTAGAAACATCATCAACCCCAGTGAAAAAATCTCCTGTTTATTTTTTAGGAGCCTCCACATAGCCGGGGAAACATTCCTGAAGCGTCTTGCTATGCTTATTGGCAGCATGCTCGGTCAGGGCCGGACCACGAGTAGTCTTGAGGAAAGTCTGTCTGCAAGTACTGCAGATGATATCCTTGGCAGCTTCGTTCTGTATTCTGTGAGCATGACAATCGACTACAGTTAAACATTATTCAAGATATAACATACCACTTTGAGCTGCGACTTCGCAGTACCCTTGGCATCTTTGGCATTGCGCTCACGCTTAGAGGCGGCTTTGGCTCCCTAGTGACATACCATCAGTCGCTTCTCCCGAGGGAAAATAAAACAGACATATATTGAGAGCCCGTACGTTACCCATGATGACTACTATTTATGATAATAACGCTGAAGTGGCTGTTGACAAGAAAAGAGGAATTTTTTGTTTTTTGGACGGGATGAAATTGTGGGGGGCGGAGAAGTTTTTTTTCTTTTCCTTTTTTTTTCTGCCCTTTTGCCTCTTCACGTTTGGCTGGATGAGGTCTAGACCGGAACCGTTGATACTGATACTATACCTACTATACCGATGTATACTCCCGTAAATTATCTTTTTATTTACTACATACATTTCCACCACAACGTTTACGATTACTTAATTACTAGTTAGTTATTCTTATACTATGTCAGACTCGTGTGTATCGTACTTTTATATTACTGTTATCAAAGACTCAAAGTTATCTCGGATTAAACAATATACGCGTAGTATGCATGGATCGTATATATAAATCCTGTCTCTTCGCAGTACTCAACGCTAGTAGCCCACCTTGTGTCTCTCTATACAATTTAATAACTACAACAACAACAACACTGTATTATACTATATTTTACACATATTATATTTTAACCATGTCCCAGTTACCATTTCCTGCCCCCAACTTTAGAACTCTATATTATAGATATACAGCTTACTCGGTGGAACGTTACTGCACTATAGAAAAGGGGCTCCTCAAAGTTCACGGAACCCATGGTTCACAATGACATTCCACAAATATTCAGGGGAAATTCATCCAAACGAGACAATACCAGTACGGTTAATGTTAATAATATGATAAGATATCTTCATATATTCATAACTTCATGTACCATACATGTCCAAACCTTCCATACTAGTGCTGCCTTTATCATTTAACTAGACATTCCCCATAACAAAATATATACAAAGAAGACAAGACCCCAAATCCCCGCCCCCCATCCCATATCCCCAAAAAAGAAGAAGAGTTGAATCAAGAATCAAACTCCGGATTCACCCATCCCGGCATCTTCGCTTTGGATCTTAGAAACGCCCCATACCGCTGTAACACAGCGAACAGGCCCGTGCCAGCCACAAGCACAATTAGGGCTTGTGTTGTGAATGTCCACGTCCAGCCGGAAGAGGATTGCCAGTTGGCGATGAAGAACTGTATCTTGTTAGCGTATCGTATGATTGGTAGATATGTATGGGGGTAGGTACAGGGTTGATGAAAGCACTCAAGTTGAGGAATACGGCGTAGAAGATGACGACGCTGGTGGATTGGAGTGGATAGCTGTCGATTATATAGCTGCTTGTTACGGTGTTGCCGATTTGGATTCCTGATGAGACTGTGTTGTATCCCATGGTATCAGTTACTGAGTGGTGGAGAGGGATGAGGGGGAGAAGTGATAGGTTATGAGGTTATGAAAACTCACATAAGAAGAATGCTATTTGGCCGATCATCCAGTGGTAGTTTTTATCGATGCTGATGCCCCAGACTATTAATCCGACTTTTGATAACCTTAGCGATACCACTCTACTTTTGCCGATGGGTTCTTGGGGTGATGTGGAGAAAAGTAGACTCACCTGCGGTGATTAAAATGGCAGGATAGGCCAGCCATAACCTCATCTCTGGTAGTCGCACACCCTCATTCTTCCTTGCTAATCGCTTGACAATATAATCACTGAGTCTCCCAGAGCAGCATACCTCCGACACTAGCGTCCCGATAAACAACCCTAGAAACAACAAACCCTGGATCAACGGCGAGTAGGTTGCATACGCGGCTGGTACCATTGTTATCACTGATAACACCCACCAATACCAAAGAAATGAGTATCCGAGGACGGCGAGAACGACAACAGGGAACTGAAAGGTAAGAAGGAACCGCAGAGGGGCGTCCCAAGGTTTTGGATGGCGCAGACCGGGGATGGGACGGATGTTGAAGAATTTGAGGGCTTTTGTTCGAGGTGTTGCATCTGTCTCTGTAGTTTGTAATGTTGCTGCGCACTTCTCTTGGGGCTGTTCGATGTCTGTGGAGTATGGAGAGGGGTCTTTAGGCATGTGGTGGCGCATGCGGGTGCGTGGGTAGAGTGTCTCGGGCATGAAGAAGAGTTCGAGGAGGAGTAGGACGGCGAAGAGGATGGCATTGAACCAATTGATCCATGCTGCGCTCACGAGATTGAGGAACCCGCCGACTGAAGAGCATATTGTTAGATTTCAGGAAAGGGTTGCTACCTGATATTATGGGACGTTTTGGAGAGCAGCGTACATGTAGGGCCAAGAAGAAGTCCTGAGTCGAGGGCCAGAACCCATAACCCTAGTTTCTGTCCGCGTTCATAGTCAAAGAAAAGATCATTGACTATCATCATCAGCGTCTTGTCATTATACAAACCTAAGAGTGTAAGGCATACATACCCACAGCCATGCCCACCGTTGACCCCGGACTGACACCGAACCCTTGAAAGAATCGAGCCGTCATATACCCTCCATAGGTGTCGGCCACCGCTGCACCAATAGTAGCCACCAAAGAGATGGTTGTCCCTATAATGAAAATGATGCGACGCCCATAGATATCGCTTAATGAAGACCAAAACAACGGGCCCACAGACAAGCCCAGAGCGGGGATAGCCACGGTCCAATTGACCTGTGAGTAGTTGATATTGAACTGGGACTGGATCTCAGGGAACGAGGGGACGGTCGTGGTAGTGATGTAAGTGAAAAGGAAATATCTGGCTTGAGTCAGTACACTTTTGCTAGACTACAAACGCAGGAGCGTCATACTTCAGCATGACTATTCCCAGAATCGAGTGCTTCTGAACCCTAGACCAATTTAAAGGGTCCAAGGGATCCGAGGTGGGCGGGGGGTGGATTTTCACGCCATCTCTCTCGACACTCTCAGAAGGGAATGGTGGACGTTTCTCGTCACCGTGAAATATATCAGTATCCATGTGGCCGGGGAAGATGTCTTTCTTCTTTTCCTCGTCCATGGTTATGGAATCTGGTATGATGAGTGGGAGTTTGACGCATGTTCAACCACAGTATATATACAAAGTGAGCGTACAAATCGTTATCAAACCCTCGTACTTTAATGTGTAACATACGGTGCCTGCATAAGAACAGGGATCAGAATACATCGACATATAAGCCATCGAATCAGACTCTTGGGACATATCAGAAGCATTCCTTATCTATTCGGCCATAAATTAGGGTTTAGGAAGACAACACGTCCCGGGGGAATGCTTAGCATACACTGTAACAACCAATAGACGCCGTAGTTTGACAGCCACCGATGGTTTCCTTTTATATTTTCTCACTCCGCTTCTACTACAATCCATCGAAAAATCCATATAAAACAAAGTTATATGCTGCTTAACCCGGGTAATATCATCAGCAAAATAGCTAAGACCTGTCTAGGTGGGTCACCGTTCGAGCCGGTCACGGTGGTGCCCAACAACACTTGAGTCGCCTAAGATAACTAGCAAAGTGATTGAGAATTTAGTCGGATATGAATAAATCAGTTTTAGAATAGTCTATTCATTCATCGGTTGTAGCGGTGGTTGTAAGACCAATTGACTTAGCGAGACCATTAAGAAGCAGCATCGACGTCCACCTAGATGGTCTTCCTTTGAGTCAATCAAGCATGTGAATGAATACGGGCTGCGCGCTGTGCTCGTAGGCTCTGCTGCTGGTCCTAAGGTCTTGGCTATCTAGATTGGTCTGCTGTTTCGATGCACAATGCCTATTCTCCTCGCACATTCTCATTGATGTATAATGGCTGAATGTGCTGGTGCTAGAATATTTACTACCTCACTATCATCATTTGCTGATCCATAACTCACCAATCTAGTCTCTTTAGAGCATGTATGCGATTGGTCGTGGTGCGTTAAAAAGCCGCTATCTCAACAAAATAGCCCTAATATAAAACAGACCAGAGGAATGAACAAAACCGTAATGCAGTTTTCGAGCTAATATTCTTGGAACTACAAGAGGCAATACAGGCACTGTATAAGCGGGGAATCTAGCCATAGTCAATTGGTCCTATAGTATAGTTATCCACGACGACCAGGTCTCTGATAACGCCTCGGACGGAACGTGGGGTAGCGATAAGAAACAGTGCAAGTAAGGGCATGCGATCCTTTCCTAATCGGGAACTTGTTTGGAGAAAACTTAATGAACGAAGAATGTCTGCAGGGAAGTGGGACATTCCACCGACTCATTACTTGCATCGTAACTGATAAGGGATGCGTTATCACATAGAATGGTGTCTCGGCACTTTTGACCACCCTTTATCATGATCTCGGCAATTTGAACTGACTTCCTTCATAGAATTTCTGATGCCTTGTCTGGATTATGTGGGTCAAGTCAAGATTATGATTGTGGCGTCTGTGTTAGTTTCGATGTATTACTAGAGAAATAATTTGTATATATTTTTCCCGCCTTTGTATGAGGCTTTTATCCATTACTTCAGATCCACTTGTGTATTTGGTACTTACCGAATATAGTCAATAGTTTCAGCAGTCTGCAAGGTGTCTATGCAGCAAGTAAATATAGGGTCGTGACTCGCTTCACTTCAAATGTAAAGACTCCCTGGTATGTGCAGTACCGTTTAACCAGTTCACCACTTCCTCTGTCCGTAGAGATGTATCGTCAACATTCTCCTTGCCATGGTGACACGCCTAATCTCGACGAAGAGCCAACTGAATATACCTCTCTTCTCCCCAAGCCAGCGGATATCGACAGTCCCGAAGACCCAGATCGCTATGACAGCCATAGTTCTGACGACGAGGGCTGGAGACAGCATCTCACCGAACTCTGGATTTTGTTCAAGGGCTCTATGCCCGTTATTCTGGCGTATACACTCCAGAACAGCCTGCAAACCGCGTCCGTGTTGATAGTCGGACGCTCTTCGCCCGAAAACCTGGCCACGACTGCCTTTTCCTTGATGTTTGCTATGATCACAGCGTGGATGATCGCTTTGGGTGGTACAACAGCACTTGATACGTTGGCCTCGTCAACGTTCACGGGTAGTTCAAACAAGCATGACCTTGGTATCTTACTGCAGAGGGGGTTCTTTGTTCTAAGTCTTTTCTACATCCCCGTTGCTATCCTTTGGGCATGCTCCGAGCCTGTCTTTCTGCTTCTGGGCCAAGACCCACAACTATCTAGAGATAGTGCGCGATTCTTGACCTGTTTGATCCCGGGTGGTCTGGGGTATATCTATTTCGAATTGATGAAGAAGTATTTGCAAGCTCAAGGTGAGACTCGGCTTTCTGTGTCGCCTCTGAGCCCAGTGACTAACTTTGCTGCTTCTCAGGCATTATGCGTCCAGGAACATATGTGTTAATGATTACATCTCCCTTTAATGCCCTTCTCAACTACCTATGCTGTTACACATTTGAGATGGGCTTACTTGGAGCGCCGTTTGCCACTGGCATTTCATATTGGTTGTCTTTCATCTTGTTAGTCCTCTATTCCCGGTTCGTTGCCGGATCCGAATGCTGGGGCGGATGGTCGCGAGAGGCGCTTCAGAATCTGGGTACTTTTGCCCGTCTAGCCTTCCTTGGTATCATCCATGTCGGCACGGAATGGTGGGCATTCGAGATTGTAGCCCTCGCAGCAGGCCGGCTAGGAACCATCGCATTGGCCGCACAAAGCGTTATCATGACCGCAGATCAAGTACTCAACACTATCCCGTTTGGAGTGGGCGTCGCCACGTCGGCACGAGTGGGCAACCTCCTGGGCTCTCGGAACGCACCGGGAGCAGCCAAAGCGGCGAATATGGCCGCCTGGCTCAGCATTCTCCTCGGCGGGGTAGTACTGGCTGTGCTAATGGGCACGCGGCATGAGTTTGCGAAGATCTTCAACTCGGACGAGCGAGTTGTGCGCCTAACCGCCGAGGTGCTGCCGTATGTTGCACTATTCCAGATTGCAGATGGCTTGAATGGCAGTTGCGGGGGCAGTCTCCGTGGTATGGGGCGACAGCATGTTGGAGCGATGGTCAATCTGGTTAGCTATTACTGTGGTGCGCTGCCGCTCGGCATTTGGCTGGCGTTTCATGGCTGGGGCCTCAAGGGCCTGTGGGTGGGACAATGTATTGCCTTGTATCTGGTGGGGGCGTTGGAGTGGATGATCGTGGCTCTCAGCAATTGGAGTAAGGAAGTGGATAAGGCGTTTTCTCGTATGGATGTGCATGAATGATTGGAGGGTGGAATGTAGAGTTGAGTAAGTAATACGGCAATTCGATAGTTGAGTGTATGGAGATAGGAAGTATCGCAGAGTTGTTTGGGCTCATGTCACTGTGTCAAATGGGAAGTTCGGTTGGCCAAGAATAAATTCCTGCTTCAACGAGTTAGCGCTTGTACCCCAGACCGAAGAATGTCAATTTTCTCCGAGGACAGACCAGGCATTCTAGAAGTTGAAGCTAGTGGTGGTGGTGGTGGTGGTGCATTGATAAGAAGCCGAGCGTCCACTCATGCGAGAGATTCATGATGGCGATAAGAACAACACTGATAACCGACGTGTAGTGTGCATCACTAACACTCTTGGTACCTTTTACTAAATCTAATTTCCCTTTCTGGGCTTACATCATGAGGGTTTTCTCGTGTATCTTCTCCCCAAACTTTCCGTTTTGGGAAATTGAATCGCAACCCTTGCATTCGGCTGCATGTTCAGATAGAGATAGTAAATACCCAGGTTGTCCCACTCCAAATACCCTCCAAAGAAGGAAGTTGTAGGGAGTGGAGCTGATGTCAATTGTATCTCATTGATCCTATCCACGACTGAATCTCGAAGGTTTATCGATGTCTTTCCTCTGTGTCTTGACTGGTTCAGTTGTGGTTGGTCCATCCGTAGATCCCGAGACGCAAATGGTGATTGCTTGATCTCGAACGCTGCACAAAAGAAGTAGTCAAAGCAAAGTATGGGTTTACCAGAGCTATAGTTGGTCGGTAGTAGGCGAGGGGAAAGGGATTCTCAGGAAATGAAGTTTACGATTGCCGTGAAGGGCCACATAAATAGCAGTTTTGTCCCCTCCATCATACAAGAAAACAGATCCCAGCGTTTTAATCAAATCCGTATTGAACTCGTCCCTCTCTCTTCGCAATCATACCAATCAAGCAGCAGCGCAAATATGCTCGTCACAACAGTGAGCCTTCTCGCTCTCTCTGCTGTGGCTTCTGCCCATAGCAAGCACCAAACCCCCATGTCCGGTCCTCACCAGAAACTGTGGTATAACACTTTACCAGGAGATGGTGGTACTCAGGTATGTGTGCAATTGCCGCCTATGTGTTGTATACATCCATACTGACGGTGTCAGGCCGACTCTGTCTTCTCAGGGATTTCGACTTTCGCTCGTTTGCCCTACTTTCCCTGTCTCTCCAGCGAGGATGAGAAGTACGATATTGCCTTCATCGGTATGACTAGACCATCAACTCCTACTGGGTCCTTTTAGACATAACTAATACAACCACAGGAGCCCCCTTCGACACCGGCACCTCCTACAGACCCGGTGCTAGATTCGGCCCCAGCGGCATCAGACAAGGCTCCCGCCGTCTCAATCTCTAGTACGCCTTTTCCACCAAGCCATTGCTCACAAGGATTAGGACTAACACAGATACCCTGCAGCGGCGGCTACAACGTCCCCCTAGAAGCCAACCCCTTCGTCAGCGATCTAAAAGTCATAGACTGCGGCGACATCCCCGTCACCTCGTATGCACCAACCCACCCCAAAAAATACCCCAGAACTAACAAACCAACCCCAGCTACGACAACGCCTGGGCAATCCAACAGATCGAAGAAGGCCACAATAGCATCCTAATGCGCAAGCCCTTCACTGACGCAAATGAATACGGTCTCTCGCGAGCAGGCAAGACCCTCCCCCGCGTCATCACCTTAGGAGGCGACCACACTATCACCCTGCCCCTGCTGCGCAGTATCAACAAGGCATATGGCCCTGTCAGTGTCATTCACTTCGACAGCCATCTGTATGTCGTCAACACCACCTTCCCCCACTTTTTCTGTATCCCAGAGCTAACATCCCAACAGCGACTCCTGGAAACCCAAGGTCTTCGGTGGCTCCCCAAGCCAGGTCGCCTCTGTTAACCATGGAACTTACTTCTACCATGCGGCGATGGAAGGACTCCTTAAGAACGACACGAATATCCACGCTGGTATCCGAACTACCCTCTCCGGTCCCTCGGACTATGAGAATGATGGATACTGTGGGTTTGAAATTGTCGAGGCTAGAGAGATAGATACCATCGGTATATACTTCCCCTTCCCAACTGCCCCAATCACTCTCACATCCCTCCACCTAAGCACACACAATAACCCCTAAAGGAAAAAAAAAAAAAAATAACTAACGAGAACAAGGCACGGACGGTATAATCAAAAGAATCCGCGATCGTGTCGGTACCGAAAATCCCGTCTACCTCTCCATCGATATCGACACGCTCGATCCCGCCTGTAAGTTCCCTCCAACATTACCCAAACCAGTTCACCTCAATATACCACCTATGCCCCTTCTCTCATATAAAGCAAAAACCACCCCAAATCCAAATCAATGATTAATAGGAGATATTAAAAAAAAAATTACAGATGCCCCCGCAACGGGCACCCCCGAAACAGGCGGCTGGTCGACCCGCGAACTGCGCACGATCATCCGTGGTCTGGACGGGTTGAATCTCATCGGTGCCGATATCGTTGAGGTTGCACCTGCTTATGATACTAATGCCGAGTTGTCAACAATGTATGTCCCCTTCCTTATTCTCATTTTTCTTGTTTGCTTTGGTTGTTTGGTTGTTTTTGGTTTGGACAGGTTTTGCTAATGACGCTGTGGGTAGGGCTGCTGCGGACGTGCTTTATGAGATTCTTACGATGATGGTCAAGAAGGGGCCGTTGACCGTTAATTCCGAGGGGTCTGTTGAGTTGTAGATTCTTTTTTCTTTTTAGTATATGGATGATGAGATGAGATCAAGGATTATTTAGCTGGTTTACCGGGTTTCATTTTGTTAAATCACGGACTGTCACTGTCTATTATGCAGTTGAACCCAATACACGTCGATCTACAGATTGGATTATAGCTCCTGGACAGGAGTTAGAGGCTGAATTATCGATGTAGATACTAGTAGCTAGTGTAACAAGTTACGGCATAGGAGGAGGGGGAAGATAGGATGTTATACTTGACTAAGAATATTATGTATAAAATAAGTAGGTAGGGAAACTGGCTTGCATGACTTTCTTGCTAAAAGCACAGACAAACAGAAATATTTCTGCTTTATCTATAACGGAATAATAATCTTTCTTACTTAAGAACTGGAAATCGTTGAGCTAGTTTGCCGACACGATGCACTTAATTAAGAGATACATAGGATATCCCTTGTTGAACCACCACAGAACGGAATAATTATACAAGGTACAAGAAGCTGAATTAAAAGATCTCAGGTGCTAGACAGAAAAACACACCTCCAGCCACACGCGCTTGATATGCATTCAACCGTGACCTAATTTCAATCTCTGCAATGACAATTTTATCATCACAGTGAATCCGGATTCTTATCCGGAGTATCGTCCACAAAAAAAAAAAAAAAAAAAAAACACCCGAGGGATCCCGCAGTAACTCTTTCTGAAGGAGAATTGGTGATCTTCCACCCACCGCTACGGACCAGCCCCACATACTATTCCCAATAGCGTCATCGGGTTAACGTATAGAAATAGCTGTCCTAGATTATACAAGTGGGCCCGATTACACAGAAGAGAAGGGTAAGATTCAGTAGTGGATGATCCGTAGATCATATACGAGATTAGAAAGGCAAACTATGCCTTGTCTGTCCTATCTTGTCCCAAAGAAAGATATGTCTTTTTCAAAACGTGAATATACTTTAATAATTATTGCCTGCCAAGTCTTCTCTACAGTAAACTATTGAACGCCTTTGCTTCGGTTTGCCAAGTGTGACTAGATTTTGTAATTTAATAACGGAGATCATCTCATCTTTATAAAGACATGCTGTGTCTCACAGAGAACCAGGAAATATCTCCAACCTGAAAATAATCAAAAGACATAGGAGCCACAACTAGTTCCAAAGGTCACTACAATTCCAATATGCGTGTCTCCCTAACCACTATCTTTTCCTCCGTGCTCTGCACTGTTTTGGTTTCATCCCAGGATCTCGACACCTACGCCGAAAAATGTGTCAACGATTATGGTATTCCACAGGCAGAACCTATCCCCGGCTCTTTCTCCCAGTGTACGAATGACAATGGGGCACGTGGTGCCATAGACCTTGTTGAACACAAATTCGGGCATAGTAATGTTTACGCTGTCACCGAGCAGGTTGTGGCCGGTACCAACTATGTCATCTTTGTTGTGAGTAATGGTCCCTATTACATGATCAGGGTATACCGGCAATGCTGATAGAGAACAAATAGATTCGCAACGAACGAACATATCGGGTTCCTGTTTACAAAGATCTTGAGGGGAACTATTCTCTTCAAGAAGGTATCTGCTACGTAAGTGAGAATCTAATGCTAGTACTAGGTCGACTGACCTTCCTACTATAATTCAGCGCTGACTGAAGTGTTAATAAATAGGATGTGAGTGATGACGGTTAGTAAGACTCATGAGTCTACTATGCTTACCAAGAAAATAGGACGGTCTGCCGCCTCAAACTGTAAAGGAGGGGAGTTGCGTTTAACGACAGTACTGGATGTGAAAGGTGGTGTGATATCGTCCATCTTGTAACCACCAGCCAATCTCTCCCTGTGTTACCAACAAAGCTCTCTGTTCTGGCTGCTTTGGGATAGGGCTTTCCCTTATAAAAAGCTGACAGTTACTCGCCACTTTATACCGCAGTGGATACGAGTTGGCGAGTCTCTTTTCATAGGCTCTTCCCTTTCCCCCTTGGGATAACTGAAGGAATCCGAGGGTGTGTGTGTGTGTGTGTGTGTGTGTGTGTGTGTGTGTGTGCCAGGTTTTACTTGTGGACTCGCTTCCATTCTCAGATACAGTCTTTTCTTTCCTTTTTGTTTTTGATTGTATGGATTCTTCTTAAAACTTAAGAGAAGCTGGAGTTTGATATATTTCAGCGCGGATGGCATTCTAGATTGTTGTCAGGCTGATCTCTTCTGCAGATATGGATTAGTAGCTTAGCTTAGCTAACTTTCATTATTCGATCATAACTGGTGACGATGATCTATTAGTTCACTTTCGAAAACTCGTGTACATACTTCCAATGATAGAGCCATTTCTTTGAATTATTGGCGAATCTCTAGATCTGTATTTTTTTTTTTCCCGGGGGAACCACTTACAACAGTATCTTGTGAAGAATACGTAGTGTTGCTATAGAACGATTGCTACTTAAATATAACCAACAACTCTCTCTCCCCTATTCTCCGGAGTAATGGTGTATTAGACAGGCCACAGTAACTTAATCGGCCTGAAGGATTAATCCCAGCTCTAGCCGTCAACCTTACTCAGCTGGTTTCTATCAACCCCCCCCCCCCCCCCCCCCCCACCTCCATCTGGACAAGATACTCGCTCACTTACTTTCCTCTCACTCTGATATATAGTGTAGCTGGCGCGGTGAATATAGTGTGTATAGCTTAGACGGCTTCTGGTTCAGAAGCCGAGAACCAGGGCGTGTCTCTACCTGTAACTCTTAAGCAGAGTAGGTGAAAAGCTCTCTCAGAAATTGTTCAACACTTCCACAGGACGATCAATTTGGATTATGGCCAGGTTAAGTCGTGTACGTGTATAACTTCAGTGTAAATTCAAATAAATGGAAAACACCGACGATCAACCAGTAAATTGATATCGATGGCTCCGAACTAGAATATTTGCGGGGTACAGAAGTTGTGGCTGGCTGAGCTCATGGAGATCTTCCAAGCCTCGCTTATCGATAATGACCCCACTATGGAGACGGCGAATCTGCTCTCATTGGATTAATATAGATTAAGCTCGGTACCGCGATGTAGATCTTGTCCCAATAACCCAAATTGTCCGGACTTTGTCCGTGAAAGCTCGGGTTCGAGTCAGCTATCATTCAGTGACTACTGTCTCCAGTTGTAGTTGGTATCTACAGATAACTGGTCTAATAATGCCTTGCAGCGAAGCCTCGATATTTGATCTAATATTATCTATACAATAGGATCTCCCATCAGAACAAGTTAAACAATTCAGGACGCTATTCAGGGAGATGGTGAGTGTGTAAAAATAACCATTCTGCACTGCCGCTAATTCTTATCAAATCCAAAAGAACAAGGGCGGTCGTAAGGACAGTAAGTGCCGTCTCTATAGAAATACTGTCTCCAATAGCTCATGTGCCATACCTACTAGCACTTCTCACGGAAGATGAGTTGGTGAACGCTCTGAAAGATCATCCCGTCCTGGACATACCCGAACGGGAGGCCAGGATGTTGTTCAAAGTGATGGATGTAAATAAGGACAAGCAAGTCACATTTACCGGTTTGTTACCTCTATGGGAATCCAGTATTAGAGCTTGCCTGGTTGTACTGACTGTAACGGATAGAATTCATTGATGGGTTTGTAGCAGCATATGGCGTCGATGACGATGAATAGTTTGAAGCTCAGGAGTCAAAGAGAGGGGGGGGGTGTCTCGGAATTAGATCCCTTTGCTTATAATAGTTTTCCAGACGGACTTTATTGTTAAGAATCAAGCAGTTGATCTAGAAAGTGATTTTCTGGTAATTTTACCATTGTAGGTATGTATATACAATGTAGAATCTAGATAAAATACCAGTTGGGGTCTAGCCCTCCAGAGTATCTTACGATACATCTCGAAGCCGGTGACCTGCGCTTGTTAACAGTTATATACTGATATATTCAGCAAGAGGGACTAGGGAGCAGAACCCCTGAACACCCGACCCAACTCGGGCAAGTAGACTTTTCCCTTGAAAGACTGTGAGGTATTCATTAAATCAACTTCCAGCTTGCAGCGCACGTCGAGCGCCGGGAAATGACCTAGGTCGATGTTTTACATCAACCCTACTGAGATGATGGTCTGTGTCCATAAGAAAAAAAAAAAAAAAAAAAAAAGAAACAACACCATAATGGAAAATACTTGCAATGCCGAACCATTTTGTATGACAATATCCCCGAAGATATGCTAGTAGACAGACTTGCTTCGAGCGGCATCTTGACAAGACGCGGGAAGTATTCATGTGGCTGCGTTTATGGCAGACGTTACTATGCTAGTGCTGGCATGGCTCAAAGACAAAAGATATCAATAGTACTCAAGGAATGAATAATTTTGGGCAAGAAGATTGTGGTAGGAATAATTTGCAGGGACGTATCACTGGATGGATATGAATGTCTAGTTCTCTTCTAGTTCAAGGCACGTCAACCACAATCTACAGGGGGTCGCAGTTAGGACTACGATATCCAGTCACCGTCGTTACAGATCAGCTGGACTCGATTTTAGTTAGTAAATAGTCAGTGTGAATAAGAACTGGTTTAGTAATTAGTACTCAATAGCCATAGCTTCCTCTGTAGATTCTTGTAATAGAATATTTACTCCATTTTTGTTTTACGATTTCTAGTAATTTGTGGCGTAGTGTACTTTCCGCTCGGTTGTCGTATAGACAATCATTTTATACTATAGACTCAAAGTATTACCATTCATTGAGGTAGCATTATATTTAAGGAATATACCTTTCTAGTGCTGTTATAGTATAACTTACTTAGGTATTGAGATTCCCGTTGGAAGGATACAGTTTTGGTTGAACTACTTAAGAGTTGTCCGATTAGGGTTTAGAAACAGATATTGTATGTATAAGCCGTAGAAGAATATCTCGGGTGGGGCTGTACTAAAATGCAGATACTAAGAATTGAGCTGGATATCTCGAATTAGACCGTAACGCCCCTTCCATGCTGTGCCATGCATCCAAAGAATGAGTAGATATATCAAAGTAAGCGAATTGTGCAACTGGGTATCATGTCCCAGACCAAACTGCATGATGGAGTCGAATTTCAAATCATAGTGAACAAACCCAGGAATGCAACGCGGAACTGGCGGGCGCCATAACACCGCTTTCCCCCTCTCAGAGCGAAGCACCTCTTATCAAGACGAAAAAAAGGAAAAGGAACATAACAATTTCTGAATGTAGGCTTAGTCGCCTATATGTGGCCGTATAGCTTCAACCGATACAGACATGTATCGTTTCCGCCCCAATTTGACTTGACCCGGAAAGCGACTTTGTTCACCCGGATCGCTGGAACATCAATGATAGCGTCTAACTCGAACTTTTGAATGTGGTTCGAGGAATTTAGATCGTAAGTCCACTGTCCGACGCGATAGAACGAAGGCCCTAGGAGTTCGTCGTTCGAGTATGCACCCTCGGCTTCACCTTTGTATGCCAACCTCAGGGTATCAATGATGTGGTCGTGGAGAGAAGACTGCTCAGATAACATCCCAGATTTGCGAGGGGGAATAGGAGGGTAAGAAGACGAGTCAGGGTTCGATTCATCGACGATCTGGAATTGAGCCCATAGCTCCATATCCCGAGGTGCAACTTCTGGCCGGATGCTTGCCCCTTTCGGTATGTGTTCTACAACCACCTCCTCTGGTACAATGTCACGTCCCAGGTGCAGTGCAAGCTGAGACATACCAGAGCGAGGCTTGCTGCACCAACATTCTCCCACGTCCTGCCAGGGGGTCAAAGCTGCAAGGGGAGGCTCCGGCTGTGGCTGCAAGTCTCCAGACCAAAATTGAGACTGGAGTTTCTGGAGGAAGCCCGCAGAACGTCCAGATGTGGGGCTGGTGTTGTACGGATCGACAAGAACGCCCATGCCTATAGATAGAAAATTGATTTTCGGCGTCTCCTGTTGAGCTGGTATTGGTTGGACAATAGTGGAGGGGACAGGTATATGTTCAACCTCGGATTTAATGACATCCACCTCCTTAGACAGCGAGGACACTTCCTCTCCAAGTCGTACCACCTGGTTAGAAAGACCGTGGACTGCTTGCAATGCAGTTGCATTCAAATCGCGAAAGGGGCCTCCGTATAATGGAAGGCGCGAGCCGATACCGGAGGAAATTCTGGAGATTTGGTCGCCAAAAAAGCATGCGGTGAAAATGAATGCTGCTGTTAGTACCGCCAGAATGATTGCTCTGATAGGCAAGCCTTTCTGGAAACCAATTGCTGCATTCCCCACTGAGCGCACATTGCTTTTGACACGTTCTCGTAATGGGGACGTGCTCTCATATGTGCTCTCATCAAATGAAGTCTCCCGGATAGGGTTGCTGGGAATGATTGTCCTAGTGGGGGCCGAAGAAAGCTCTGCTTTTGATGAGATTCTGGACGCTGGAGTGGGAGCACGAGGGGGCGTGGGCTCACGCTCACGCTCGCGCTCGCGTTCAGGTTCAGGTTCAGGTTCGGGCGAGGGCGTGGACTCGGGTGATGGCACCATTTCAGACTCTGACAGCGGTTCAGGCTTAGGCTGAATATCAGCTGTCGCAGCCTCGGGAGAACGTGATTTGGATATAGAGAGCTGTGTAGTCGGTTCATCAACTTCCTCAATAGGCTCTTGGGCAAATGCGAACCCTGAAAACCGGCGAGGAGGGGCTGTAATATTCTTTCCATGCGATCCATCAAGATACCCATTCGGACGTGTCCGTTGCAGGTTATCTTCATGGATATCACGTTCTACGTTCCACGAGATGACTGATTCATTGTCGATAGAGGTTGCAAAATTGGGTGAGCTCAGCGAGACTGCATTCCGAGCAGGCGATCCATATCGCAGAAGTGGCGACGGATAAAGTTGGTCGGTAGTCAAGACAGGGTATTTGGGGTTTGTAAGAGATTCGGTAGCAGGACTAGATGCTGTGGACAGAGTGTGTGGAATAGGAGGAGTGGGAGTGGGAGTAGATTGCTCGGCATGGTCTTGACCATTAGGATTAGGGGACATAGTGGCTTCACGTAGCGAATCGAGCAGCTGCAGCTGGTCTGGAGTTGGCTCACGCCGGCTTCGCCGAACAGGGGATAAGCTTGCAGAAACAGATTGCCTTCGCGAGCGTGTGTTCATGTGAGGTCTATCAAAGTCTCGATCTTGGGCGACCCTGCGGCCTTCATCAATATTGCTTGCCATTTCAACCAGATTCATCCTCGGCTTCGCCGCAAGCTCCCGGGGAAGAATTGGTGTGGTTGATGAACCATAGGCGAACGATTGCTTGGTCGGTATATCAGGCAGGGCAGGATTCCTCGCATCTGGACTTGACATGCTAGGGATGTACGAAGGAGTCCCACGGTCAGAGGTCCGAGTCACTGCTCCGGCACGCCGGGTAGAAGCGCGCTTGGGAGGCATGTTGATGGACTCCTATTGAAGAAACGGCTACCTCGTCTTGAGAGATCAACGCAAGGTAAATTTCCTGGGAGCAATGTTAGGCAAGATGGGATGAAATGAAGAGATATTCGCCGCAAAGGCTTCAGTGTGCTTGGAACTCGAGAGAAAGCAAAGCATACACTTACAGTAAGCCTTTGGAAGCAGATCAGAATGTTGTCGCATCCACACCTTTGGGGTATAGTAACACTGATCTGATTTAACACTGAACGGCGGGTGTGGAACAACTAGTCAGAGAGTACGATATGATAGCTGGCAGCTCAGTGAGTAGTTATCTAGCAAGTGTTTCACATCGATTAGAATGCGAAATGTAGAATGTTGACTGAGTCGCCGCCTTGATGGAATTTTCCTAAAGTTGAAGTGAGGCGCACCACAACCGCGGCACAAAGAGCCGCCCACACAACAGCCCCTTTAGCTCCCTCAATTAAAGTAGATTAAAGAGATCAAAAAAACCGCTTAATTGTAATTTCGAGGTAGTGAGTGATAAGGCTTCGATTTCATCCACGAGAAAGGAACACGGCGCGCGGATGCGACGCGGGCGGAGATTACTGATGGATAACACCAGCGTACAGTTTGCGGAACATCCAGCGCTTTAAAGAAGATATGAAAAATCACAACCAATTTTTCATTGCTTTGCGACCATAGTAGCACGCGTTCTGGGGTGATAAACGCTAAACTTGCGGTGTTGATGCTGTCGCGAAGTCCGAGTAAGTAATTTGGTATGCAAGTCACTAGAATCCCTGATCCAGTAAAGCGTGACTTGTCCGCCCCACCCAAATTACGGAAGGCAGGAATAAGTTCGATGTCATCGCAAGTCCTCCGTAAATACAATCGTATTGACCAGTTGGCAACTGATGAAATCACAGCCTTTTCTTTTTTTTTTATAGCAAGGACTGGAAGGGCTGGAGAAATACAAAGGTCGCGCGATATTTCCTTTGTTTCAGTATTGTTATTTACTTTCTAATTCAAATCTCATTCGCCCATATTCAACATGTTAATGACCACTTGACAAAAACATTTTACAGTGCTGTCGGTCCTGGACAGCTTTATTTCGCTTCTAGAACACTGCTGACATATAATATACACATTCAAGATGCTCTTGAGACTTCGCAGAAAATATAATGGCAAGTACTCGCATGTACATCCAAATACGTCCGAAAGCCAATGCCTCATGGAATCATTTCTAACACGTCCACGCTCCAACAATACCGTCCTGGCGACCTTCAATGAGGAATCCATCCTTGAGGCACACTCGATCAACGGTCGCCGGAAGTGGACCTTGTTCATCAGCACCAACGCCGGCACCACAGTCCCAGTGGTTGCCGTCTGCCTTGTCGTAGACCTTTACCACGCTCTCTCCCGCGGCAGCCACAATTCGTTTAGCGTCGAACCTCATGCTGGTGACGGGTCTGTCGTAGGCGAATGCGTCGTAGATGGATCCCATTCGGAGATCCCAGATCTAAAACATGTCAGCAATGGCTTCCTAATTCTCACAGAAATCAACGTGCAACATACCCGAATACTACGGTCCATACTACCTGTCACGAGATGCACATCATCAAACTGTAAGCATGTAACAGGGCCTGTGTGTCCAACAAGACTACGGTGAACTTGGCCACTGCGCAGATCCCACAGACGCACCATGCCATCGGCAGTACCGCAAGCCAGGGCGGCATCGAAACATTGAAGCGCCCCCACAAAGTCTGCAGATGCGTCTGGTACGCGTCCGGATGGTCGCCATGTGCTGTCTCCATTCAATGTATCCGCTTGAGCTGCAGCCCAAAGAACATCTAACGTCTGCACACAACGTCCTTTAACGAGATCCCATTGGCGCAGAGTCTTATCAGCCGAGCCGGATATCAAGTTGTCACCTCGGAAATGGAGCGCTGTCACTTCACCAACATGGGAATCTAGTGAGAATACATGGCAATCCTCTAATGTTGTTGAGTGGGATACTTGGGAAGCATCATCGGCAGCGTCTTCTTCGTCCTCATGCTTGTTAATGCGGCTGCTTCGAGGTCTAGAGCGGGCGCGACTCAAATCCCAAAGCTTGACCGAGGCATCCATAGAACCCGTAGCCACGATGTTGTCCTCAATTTGAAGACATCGGACCGATGCGTTATGCCCCTCCAGAAACCCAGTACACCTTCCGACATTGAGGTCCCAAACTCGTACGGTATCATCCAACGCTGCGGTAATCATTGTGCCGAAAGGATAGTCAAAATCAATGGCAGTCACCATATCGGTATGCGCTTCCATCTCCTTAATCAAGGACCCGGGACTGAAGTGCTCATGTAAAACAGGCATAGACCGTTTTCCTAAAAGGATTAGCCAATAGTCCAATGGAAACGGTCTAAAGAGGCGTACTCTTTGATTTGTGCTTCAGACTCTTCGGCGATGGGATCTTTTGATAAATCGATTCCGACATGAAAGATGCGTCCATGGCCGGATCCTCTGAGGTCGTCGGTTCATCGTTTGCAGATGATTTCGGAGTGCCCAAAACAGCAGAAGCTTCCGGTGTTTCCTCTTCAATATCCTCAAGTTTATTTTCGAGCTCGGTCACTGTTTTCCAAAGTCAGAGTTAAACTGCGATGATCGAGCCTAGTCCACCCACGTTCGTGTTCCAATTCCGCCTCCTCCATCTCTAGTCCAGCCAACCGATCCAAAACAATCTTGCGCATGTTGTGAAGATTCGCGATCTTGTTGTCTATATCGTGTATCTCCGAGCTGCACATATTTTTGCGCACACCCATCAGTTCCATGCGGCGACTTAACAAATCGCGTTCCTTCTTCAACTCCGCCGGAGCAGACGGAAGGGCCACCCGGCTTTCGCCATCTTTCAACAATTTCTTCGATTTGGAAGAGCGCCGTCGATGGGCCTTTCTATATTCGATATCGTCTTGGGAGGCCTGGAAACCTTCAAACAGGGAGTAGGAGCTACTGTCGTCGGGGATGTTCGCAAGGAGGTCGTCGGGGAGAGAGGAGAGAGCTCGCGATTGAATTTCGGATGTCGACAGCTTGGAGCGGACAAGATCTGTCGGCGTAGTTTGAGTCAAGGCGAATACTCTGCGCTGCGTATTGGGCCGCCGCAGCTCGCGCTGAATATCCGCCATAGCATTGTGGTAATGGGCGGGATTTCCGTCGGTCGTAGGGCCCATCAAATGGCCGGCTGTCGACGTTACTTTCCTTCCAAAGGCCTCGATATGTCTGGACTGAGTACCGGGAGGGTCTATCAGCGGATCATTGGGCGACTTGAGAGAACAGGCACAGATAGAGGTCCGTAGGGACTTACCGTCAGGCCGGTCCCTAGAAGACCGTCATGCTCGACAATATCTGACAGACCGGAAGGCGACTCATCGCGGCGGTGTTTGTCCATATCACCGACCTGAGCAGTTATCCGGTGGTTAAAAGCCCATGCGGAAGGTCTGGAGAGGGGGGAGGCAAAGCAGGGAAGGTCGAGTAAAGTCGGCAGTGCACTTGCTCTATTTTTCGGCTCTCAGGAAAGAGAACTTTCAGCTGGAGCTGCACGCGATGAATTACCGCGTTGCCGGAACCTGAACGATGTACCGTAATATTACCGCGGGCTAATAACCGTAGCACATGAAAGTCGTCGATTAAGACGGTGTGAAGTGTTTGTGAGCTTTAGTGGAAGATTATAAAATGTGGGTATGCAACTTTCTTAGAATATTTTTTGTTTTTTGTTTTTTTCCCAGTCCAAATCCATTCTTAATGCTTGGCCTTATAAATTGTAATACCGTAAGTATTCATACTGAATCCCTGCAAACCAAAGTTACCACATGACGGCATCAGCCAGAGGGAACTTTTCAAGAATGACCATCATATCAATCTATTATCCTTTGTAATGCGATCCTTTCGGTTGGTGTTCGGTCGATGCTTTCCGACTACTAGTATCTACTTATGTCTTCTTGTTCTTGTTCCTTTCTTTTCCTTGCGAAAAAAAAAAAAAAGAAAAGAAAAAAGAAAAAAAGGATCGGTGGCTTAGCGCTTTTCCCTAGATCGACGCTGGCGCTGAGTTCAGGCTTCTGTACTCCGGTTTAGGAAGTCTTATGGAAGGGAACTCCCTGCTATAAAACCACTCGTAACTGGCAATTAGTATATATAGTTCAATGATAGACTCCCCAGTTACTAACTGTCAGCCTACGCTTATCTGAGCAGAAGTCAATATAACTCTTGAGACCCTCAAAGTATTGCTAACAGGCATATTTCCTCCCCAACCTAATGACCAGTGGACTCCAGAAAAAGGAATATCTTTCTGCGCAATCGGGGCCCCGCAGGAGACACTCACTTGTCGGAAACAAAAACGAACGAGAAATTTAAACCACAACCAACTACTAGTAAAACAAACAAGGGACACAAAAAAAAGAACCATGGACACAGCCATTGACCTTTCAGACGCCTCCAAGGCTCTGGATCTAGCCAATATCCGGTTCCAATTGATGTAAGTAGAAAAGCATTTAATTCTCACGGCTTACACTTTTTGCCCCGCAGTCGCACGGCTACCGTCTAGACCAGACACCAAAACGACCACAGAATTCCGAAATAACTAACCCCTGTGACATCCCTGAAGCTGATCATGTGTAATGCTACAGCCGTCTCGAAGACACCATCACCTTCCACCTGATCGAGCGTGTTCAATTTCCCCTCAACAAGCCCGTTTATGTTCCCGGCGGCGTCAAGATTCCCGGCGATGACATCCCTCTGATGGATTATCTGCTCCGCGAGCAGGAACGTATCCAGTCGCGCGTGCGTCGCTACCAGTCCCCGGATGAGTATCCTTTCTTTCCGGATGTTCTTGAAGAGCCGATCCTAGCGCCGCTGGAGTATCCGAAGATCCTTCATAACAATGATGTGAACGTCAATGATATCATCAAACAGCGCTACGTTGAGGATATTCTCCCCGCTGTCTGTCCGCAATTTGGACGCGAGGATCGCGGTGAGACGCAGGAGAACTACGGGTCGGCTGCGACCGCCGACGTTAGCTGTCTGCAGGCGCTGTCTCGGCGCATTCACTTCGGCAAGTTCGTGGCCGAGTCGAAGTTCCAGAAGGAGCCGGAGCGGTTCGTCAAGATGATCAAGGCGAATGATCGGGCTGGGATTGATGACGCTATTACCGACGCAAAGGTTGAGCGGAAGGTGCTGGAGAGACTGGCGTTGAAGGCGAAGACTTACGGAACTGATCCCGCTTTCCCGACGGAGACCGGCTCCAAGATCAACGTCGAGGCCGTGGTTGCCATGTATAAGGTGAGAACTACTTCTCCATTCCTGTTTTAAGCTAACGACTTGCTAATCCCGTCTAGGAATATGTCATTCCCTTGACTAAGGTGGTAGAGGTTGAATACCTTATGCAACGCCTGAAGGGAACCCAATGGGAATAAATGAATGATGGACGAACCATTACGAAGATAGAACCAGCCATTAACGCATGAATATACTTAACCCCCCCAGAAAAGAAACCATAGAGTTATTAATATATTTTCAAACAATCGAATATAGACACGCTATGGACCAAGCGCAGAGGAACTTTTTTCTAATTTCATAAAACCATGCCGTAACCATCAACCTCATACCGGAGGCTGCAAGAACTCCTTCATCTCGTTGATCGCACCCTCGAGTTTATCCGCATCGAACAGCATCAGACTTCCATTGGTCCTGATACCCAGCTCCTGGAACGCGCGCTTCGAATCCGAGTGTCCCTCATCATGCTTATGCGTATACTCGATAGACCCGAAGCACCGCGTGTGCTTCTCGAGAATCTCATCCTCAGGGTGGAAGTAGAACTTCTCAACCTTGTCACCCGACTTCTTCTTTTTCTTCTGCGGCCGCGAGTCCTCCATGTCCAACTTCGACTCGACCTCCTCATAATTCTTGGACACAATCAGGTAGTGCGAGAACTTGTAGGGCTCCTTGTCTTGAATAGCCCACGCAATCTCCTCCATCAACATAGTGTACATCGGAGGAACCACTTCGGCGGGCATATTGATCAATCGCTCGGTAAGAATCAATCCGATCGGAGGAACAGGTGTTTGGGAAAGAAGCTGGGAAAGAGGGGCGAGGTCGGGGTTCGATGACGCTTTACGCTGGAGGTAGGATATTAAGTCTTTGATGACGGGTTTATCCTGTTCTGGGTATTAGCGAGCGATTTTCTCTATCGGGCGTTTCTTCCACGAATCGTACCTTGTGTTCCTGGAGATTGAGCACGGTCAAGAAGGCATACGGATCCGACTCGTTACCGTCTACCTTCACCGTTGATCCCAGCAACGGTTGCGCAAGGATCATGTCCGACAGAGTGGACATGTCGAAGATCTGGGCATCGGAGTCGAAGAGCTGACGAAGGAGGACCTTAAGGCCATGGAAATCGATCGGCTGAGGGTCAAACCATTCGAAATCGACATTCACAATGTCCATGTCCTACGACCATCATCCTGTGTTAGCAAGAAAGAAAAAAAAAAAAAAATCATGATGCATGCGAAGGTGGTTTACCTCGTCGGACTCATCGCCGTCCACGCGGGGGTCTGTGCCGCCCATTTCGACATCGTTATCTTTAATCTCCTTGCGTTTACCCATTGTGATTGCAGTATGAAAGTATGGTTAATTCGTGGGGTATTGGTTTGTCGAAATCCGTCGTTTTGGGCTTCATCGGCGGCCGATAAAAGTTGCTCCGCTCTCGCTAAACCTTTTCCGTACATTCTATCGCGGGGGGGGGGTCTAATGAAGTATACATCTTGAGCAATATATGTAGGTTAATAAGCACAGATAACATCCAAATGATATGAATATATAGGCCTAACTACAAAATAGCCTAAAATGCATTTCTCTACTCATTCCTCTATTAGGCTCACATTCAGTCGTAAACAGACAAATCTATATACCCAAAACCATTCCCCCCAACCCAAAATCAAACATCACTTTCCACCTCCTCAACAGTAGGCACTTTATCCAACACCACCCCATAAAACCCAGCAACGAGCTGAATACACTCCCAAACCACCTTCACATCCTCCATGCTAACCCCCAACCGCCTCGTCCCCCGAATATGCCAATGGGTCTCATTCTTCAGATTCTGGCTCATAATAGCCGGCAACACCACCATCTGCGTATCCAGATCATCCAAAACCCCCCGATCCGACAAAAACAACCCATACGTAATCTCCTTCGACAACCACCCGAAATCCTGATGCGCGCGGAACAAGTCCAGCGTCCCCGTCGTGTTCCGCGCATACAGCTTCTCCAGCCACGCTACGCCGCGGTCATGGTTGGCCTGGTCGCATTGCCAGTTCTCTCGCGTGAAGGTGTAGTCTTTGTCTTCTTCGCGTTCGTATTTGCTGATTGCTAGGATTGCTTCGATGGGTTTGCACACGCCTACGATAATGATGCTTTTGAAGAGGGCTTCGCGGAGGCGTCGGACTAGTGCTTGTCTAGCTGAGGGGGTGCTGTAGGGGGCTTGGTTGATTAGGTGTAGGTAGAGCTGGTCGCAGCGTTCTGGGTCCGGACTGGCTACTATTGTGGAAATGGCGAGGATGTACCATTTCTCCGGAGGGAGGGAGGTTTGCGCGAAGCGGGTTGAGAGGTCGTGGAAGAGTTGGGCGTAGCGGGGGTCTGGTTGCGGGGCTGGCGTTGTTGATGTTGGTGCTGATGACATTTTGCGGGTTTGGGGTTGGCGTGCTGCTGGGTTGGGGAGGTTGCGTGTCTGGTGGTTCCTGTAGGTACGTCTTGCTGGTGACGTTGTAGAGATATTGTAGTAGTATTGGAATTGTTGTGATTTGGGCACCGAGATCGGACGTGGGTTGTTGATGATCAATGGTGGTGCCCACTTGCCTGTATTAGTATATAGGTACACCTGTCTTTTGCAGGGTGCATATCGACACATGATCTGTAGAGAATAATTGGTTAGAAGATTGACAGTGAGAAATGGACGCGGAAACATGACAAAGCATGGAATAGGAACATGCCGAATTATTTTCTTAGGATATTCTAGATCCGTCATGTACTCCGAAGGTGTAAATCAAACAACAAGACAAACCAAACCCACACCAACCCTACCCAACTCCCCAAAAGAGAAAAAGAAAACAACAAAAGGGCTTCCAGACTAATCCTACCTATGATCTAATCATGTCAAGTCCAGAGCGCAATCCCACAGTAACTGGAGTTCCCCTTCCAGATATTGTTGTAATTGCGCCCCACCTATGATCTCAGAGACCTCAACCATGACATCACAACATAGCATACAAGACAGTATAAAGCATCGTCTTGACCTCAATCCCCCAACTCAATTCAATCAACTCTCTAATTCTTAAACTATCCTCAAGTACTCAATATCACCGTTACTTCCACTTCCTTTTTCGAAGTTTTACAATCGAACCTCAATTGTTCAAAATGTCAGCCGGCCAATCTAGCGTGGGCAACCGCAGTCTCTACGAAGCAGGCGACCAGCGCAACCAGCCCCAGTCCATCCTTAACGAGCAGGACCGCTACAACGAGGGCCAGAAGCATAGCCATAAGAACTTGGATCCGAGTATGTTCTTCGCCAAATGCTAACCATTTGATGGTTGTTGTTGAAACGGTGCTGACTCGAATGCAGAGGACAACCGCTCCATCGCCAACAAGCTCGCTGCTCGTGAACAGCAGCCTGACCCCAGCCATCATCACAACGATGATATTGACCCCGAGGCGGAGATCAGCAAGAAGGACTCTACTAAGCCGGTATGTTTCCTCCCGTTTAATGATTGTAGAGGGATGTCTGTAGCTAACTTGTTTGTGACCAGGCCAAGCTGCATGGCAATGAGCCATCAAAGGGAGCCAAGATTGACCAGGAGCTCCAGGAAGAAGACGAGCAGCGACTGAGGGAGAAGGGTATCAAGAAATAAACTTATACTGGGAGTCATGGCGTAACGGCAAAAGGTTATGCTTCTTCGTCCGCAGTTTGGTATAATAAGGCATACTTTGTAATTTTAGCATGTACCGGTTGACGAAATAATGGGAAATTGATGAGCATTAACGTGCATGTTTGTGTCCATTTCTATATCCTCTGCTATTATGCAACATTATGAATGGTATGTATATACATATTGTAATCGGCCATGTCGTCGTTTCGTAAGCAGCGCGTGTTGTGTACCTTGGATTTTTCAGGTAGGCGCTCACAGCCACGCAGTCGTGTCAAAAGGTTGGCTATGCCAGCATCCGTGATAAGGATCGTCGGGCCGAAAACTACGTCGGTAGCGGCTGCAGGTGGCCCCAGACTGATTCCGAGTGGTATTCACTGGGACCAATTTAGCTTTCGTCAACAAACTTCGGGTCGTCTTCATGTGGTTCCGCAAAGACTGTGTTCCAGTAGCTCTCGACTTTCTCACATACGCCCGGTTTACCTTCCCACGTTCTGAATTCTATGTCGGGATTACAGCTAACCCATTTGATCTCTTCCCAATAGGCTCTCTCAATGTCAATCCCAAATCGGCGCAGGACGTCTTCAGGGGCAGTCCATGCGCGCCCCTCTGTGCCATCGGGTCGAAGGGTGGGCGTAGTTCCCCATTCGTACCCAAAGACATTCTCCGCAGGATTGAACTTGGGGTAATTGGCATGGACGAAAAATACGCGGGGAGCTTTGTCCACCGAGGGGTCCTGTACTCGCCATTTGCCTTGGCTCGTCAGCGCATGGTCTCCAATAGGGTCCGATTGCGCCATTGCAGAGCCAGAAAGCCCTTCCGCTGTTTGATGGCCGAGCGCCTGAACTCTTTCGCTGACCGCATAGAAAGGTTCACCCACTGCAGTCGCAGCCTGCAGAAACGTTTCTTTGTCTCCCTCGCCCGGTGCGCCTTGAGACAATAGTCGGAAGTAATGCGACGGTCCATAGTAGTTATAATAGGCAGCGAGTAGCAGTGTGAGATAGTGCGTCTTCTTGGAAACGAGGAAGATACCGGTCTCCGAGGACTGCCGCTCGGTCATCGGAGGCATGGGCTGCTGGGAGATGTTATAATATGCCGGAGAAACCGACGATGCCCAGAAATCGGGCCACGTCACTAAGCCAGTGGACGTGAACGGTTCATGGTTGAGCAATATCTCGGGCTTGTCCATCGGAAAGCAATCGGCATCCATCCAAACAATCTCCTCGAACGAAGAAAAGAGGACTGCAAAGACCTTTAGTTGGTAATGCTGAATGACATCCTTGCCTACAACATCGGAGAGTATTAAGCACCGCGCACCCATATCCGGGAGGATGTTGTCGCAGATTTTCTTTTCATATTCGCTTGCATCCTTCATGTACACCTCCACAGGCAAAGTTGACCCTGTACGGCGTAGCATCCGCAGGGACGACAGAAAGACGGGAAGATAGGAACCTCCGGCCGTCGTAACTATACCCCGAGTTCCGGGAGAATGAGCAGGACGCAACTTCTTCGCCGTCCTGATATCATTGAGATAATTCGCATGTGCCTCCGTCAGCACGTCGAGCTCCTTCTCGCCGAACACAATCAAGTCGGGACGGGGGTCAACTGTTGTCGCATTGAAATGGACTGCGCTCACAGAAGCCTCGAGTGTGGGAGACGGGCAATTGGGCGCATGTGCATCTAAGATCGACCTCAATACCTTCCAAAAGGCAATCTGACGTTCGGTGAGAGGAACTTCAAAGGCAGTGCTAGGAATCGTCGAAGCTGGAGGCGGAGTCCAATAGAAATAGAAAGTACAAATGAGAATTATTGCGGCCGTTGCTGAGAGAACCGTCCTCAAGCGGCCTGGCCGAAAGATTGACATTGCTATGTTTGACAGTCGGTCGCAATTGATGGCAGAGAATGCCGTGATAATCTAACTCGGGTGTCTACACAATGTGACCCAAAGGTGCGGTGGAAGCACGATACGCGCTAAGAATTGACCAGAGAACCCCAGTCGCTGATCCCAGATAATAAACAGTCTCAATTAACAAAGAAGGTCAGCATGACAGGCGACATTGGCCGCAACGAGTCGAAATTTCGACCGTCCCAACACAAATCAGGAGGTTCTTTCTGCACGACTCTTAACGGAAGACGTCAATCCGAAGTGGCCGAGGCAGTGTTTGTCGAACAATTAGCACTGGACAAGCGACTGACAGGCCTCAGAGGGTTTCGAAACAGTCGTTGTAGCTGGGAAAGGTGATGGACAGCAGACTGAAATGTAGACTGTTGCCTTAATCAGTGGAAATTTTCTCCACAGTTTGAAATCTGATGTATAGACAATGAAATTTAGAAAAAACAAAGACTGCCCCTGTGTGGAAGGCGGTGGCAGAAACAAGGTACCGAAAAGCCGATACTACACTGAACACAGTACGCACTCCATATTCTGATTATACGGAGAACTCCGAGTCCTTATTCCGAGAGCGCATAACTTAAGTTTTCAAGGCTCCACTCTTCGCAGCTTCTTTCCGTAAAAGACCAGGGTTCAATTGCGCTCTACAGTCTTCAAAATGGCATCCTTGGGAAGTTTGAGGCACTTTTTAATCCACGAACGCTCATAGGCCGAGGGACAAGCTATGCCAATTTTAGAATGGATATCATAACATAATATGTGGATATCTCCCACGGACCTAGGCTTTCCCTTGTCAATAGTGGATTATAGGATAAAGCCAAGAAGATCTGGAAGAGTCAAAGATTGAAGAAGAAAACTAGTGAAACTAAAGGACAGAACCGTGTGTGAAGACTCGCCGATCCTCAGGAAATTACTTTCAGCCATGAATTCAAAAGTACCAAAAAACCAAAACTCTGCAGGATGAACGGCTCTTAATTCCCTTGGGATCCAACAAAGTTCACTCACTTGGAGGCTAGAGAGTGGGTCTTTTGCTGGTATTGCCGGCAGATCTTGTGCAACGGGAACTGCTCTAAAGAATTGCTTCAACTTGGTGAAAAAAGACAAGAAACTTCGCACGTGACGGCACATGATTGCGTTGATTATCTCGCATAGTGAGCCGTCCTTGGGATTACTATTAAGACCAACACTGATCTTTTGCTTTTTCTCCACCTATACTATCATCATCTTCTGGCTCGGCCGGTCGTATTCCTAAATAGGGCCACAGGTCAAACTATCCCGTCTTAACTAAAGTGCGAGTGGCAAACACTGGGACTCGGTTCGCGTCGTCATAGAATTGGGGCTTTTTTAATTTGATACCTTCTCGTGACGAAAATTCCCGAGTTGAACCAATCAGTATCACTTGTCTCTTCCTGGTTAGTTGCAAAATCTTCGTTTCGGCTCTATCGATCAACTAGGTGATATTAAAGGGCGGGCAAAGCCGCAGCAGCGATCGTCACTTATCGTCCGTCTCTACTAGTTCCGCGTGTTAGCACTCTCGGAGCAAACCCAGAAACAACCCCCCAAGACACCGGTCGCTGGTATTTTGAGGCTAAACTTCTTATTACGACAATTCATTGGGTTTCTTTTTTCTTCCTTCACCTCTTCCTCTTGCTTACTCAACGCATACCGTCTTGACTCTCTGACCTAGCGGTTGTTCGTCGATCGCTCTATTATCTATGGCACCCCGCAACGCGGGTCTTCTCCGCCATTCCGCCTCTCCTGTTTCTGACCAGTTAAGCCATCTAAGACTATTGGTTCGATAGCGATAGCTGGTCGACCGGGTCCTAATATGGAGCCGGCTTCTAAAGCGCAAAACCGTAAAGCTACCTCGACCACGGATCAAGCCCCCCGAAAGAGACGCAAACGGACTGTCGTTACTGGCGCAGCGGAAGATTGCTTCACCTGCGCCCGACAAGGGTTTTCCTGTGATCGGCGACGCCCGTATTGCTCTCAATGTCTTGATCATGGTCGGGAATGCTCGGGTTATAAGACCAAATTGACCTGGGGTGTTGGCGTTGCCAGCCGCGGTAAGCTTAGGGGATTATCGCTTCCGGTGAGCGGGTCACAACCAGCTACGACACCGTCAACAGCACCATGTCCAGCAGGCCTACAAGAATCACCGTCGATATCACCGTCGCCTTACAAGTCTACACCCTCTCACACGACTTCATCAACGACTTCATCTGTTTCCCAGGATCAACAGCGGCCTCCATTAGTATCTAAAGCCCATAGGAACCTAATATGGACAGCTAACACCTCTAACACCCAGCTATGGCCCACTGGAACTCCACTCTCAGTGCACTATCGCCCGTGCAGTAAAACGGGTACCCACGAAACAGATGTCTCAAAAGACATACCGAACCTCGATGTACGGTCACATTTTCAGGAGAGTCCAGACCTCCCCGCGGGTTGTCACAATGCGATCAGCACAATAGATGTGTGGTCTAGTCAGACGCAAGTGCTATCAGCGATGCCACAATGGCCATACCAAGGGAATGCCCCGGAGCCTGAACCAACAGAAGTAGTTGAGGAACAGGAGGAGCGAGAAAGTACAGGCAGTCCTCCTCTACGCGCCGAAACTTGCCATTCACCATCACTCTCACAGTTGCTTCTAGCGCGCTCTGTTGGGCGGACTCCACGACTCCGATATCTAATAAGTTATTACGCCGAAGTCATCGCGCCCATGATCGTTGCTTTCGATGGCCCAGCAAACCCATTCCGCACTTATGTTCTACGCCTAGCGCAGAAGAGCTTATCGCTTCAGGAAGCTATCGCTACGTTATCTACATGTAACATACGGCAGAGGCATGAGCGGAGGATGAGGCCGACGGAGCGATCCCTTCCAGCACGCCTCTCATCGTTAGCCCACCGCGCCTTAACTGACGAGGCGTTCCGAGATGAATGCGGGGTGTCAAGACCTGAGGGATTTGCTCGAGAGGAGCAATACCATCGAGGCATGGCTGTCAAAGCTTTGAATATGGAGTTGGCCGATCCGCATGAAAGATTGTCGGATTCCGTTCTTGCAACACTGCTGGTTCTTTGCCTGTTCCACATGTGTGATACTGGAGTCGCTCAATTCAAAACTCAGTTCGCTGGGGTGACAAAGTTGCTGGCTATCCGAATGCGCAGTTCTCCCCGAATGTCGGAGGAGTTGAAATGGTTCATTCGTGTTTTCACCTGGTTTGATACGATGACGGCTACCACCAATGATCGCGAAACACAGCTTCGTGGTGCTTGCTTAGATATTGCGGCGGTTTCAGACGGCGAGTGGGGGCTCGAGAATCTTGCAGGTTGTGACCCCAGCCTGTTCAAATTCATTGCGCAGCTTGGTCGTTTGAATCTTTTGGGTCAAGATCAGAATATCAAGGCACCGGGGCTTGCAGATGTATTTGTTCCGTCTTCGGCGCCTCCGCCATCGATGACATACCACTATTCACCTTCGTCGAGGTCAGACATACCTGTAGTTAGCAACAATTATTCTCTTCCGTTACCCTGTCTACCGCAATCGAGCGACCCTACAAGGCGACCATTATCACCGACGTTTTGGACTGAGTGGCATTCGTTACGGCAAAAGCTTGAATCATGGCGTCTCCCACGGCAGGATAGTCAACCCTTCGGTGCTGTCCCCGCGTCTACAACAAATGCTTACATCTCGCCACCTTCATCTCCGTCATCCCACGCCGTTGTTGCCCCCCAGAACCTCGAGGATGTCTTTCATATCTCTGAATCATTCCGTCATTCTGCGATTCTCTATACCGAGCGACTTGCGTATCCAGATTTGCCATCCAGTCACCCCCGGATTCAATTACTCGTACATCGTGCGATGCATCATATCTCACTGGTTAAGTCGGACGTATACCTATTATGGCCGCTTTTTATCACCGGCGCCGAGTGTGTGCTTGAAAAACATCGTACATTCATCAGGGAGCGCTGCAAGGACCTTTCCAAAGATTCTGGATTTCTAAATAACCTCTCATGTCTAGAGCTGCTAGAAAAGATATGGGCAGAAGTCCCTATCGTGACCAATGTTGGCGATAATACCGATCGTGCATCACGTGGCACATATCCTGACGCATCTGAAGACGCGGTGTCAGCCTTGGATGATAATGTGCCTCATAGTGAAATGCCAGCGTTTCCGACCCAAGCACCGGTTGCGAGACCGCATGGATTCCGATGGCACCGGGTGATACAGGCTAAACGGGCCGAAGGGGAATATATGGTGGTGTGACAAAATCACGAATCTACCCATGGGTACATAAAACTACTCATGCGCCAGTGGACCTATTCGGTAATCTGGCTGATATGCTTGATGATATACAACTAGATATATTATGGAAATAGGTATAGCATTATGGTAGAGTTCTACATATATGTACATAGCAAGGCTATAGCAGCAATTGTGTTTACCTTCAAGGACAAAAAGAAAAAGTCTTTCGTATAGTGAAGTCATGTCGTAACCACATAGCAACCTAACTAATCTCATTAACAACCACAGCAACCCGATGAAATACCAATTCACCAATAACGCCCCGCAATTCCATGACCAGCTATAACCTAACACCAGATCCACCTGTAACGAGTCCAGCGTCGCCAGCGTGTCAGATGCTGATTTGCCGATCTCAACTCCACAAGTCGGAGATTTATGTATATGCACCCTGGTAACCGCAGAAAATAAAAAAGATGGTGGAGGCATTTGGGCCGGGAAATCCATCATTGGGCGCATGTATGTACAAGCCATAGTCATACATTCTGTGGAAGGATCAGGAGGGGTCATGGTAAGCTGATAGGGTTGGTCGGCGATACCTTAGCTATCCGGCCACGTTAGTTAGCGTGGAGAACGATCTAGTATATGCACGTTCAGTCAGAACAGGGAGTCCAATGTACCACTCCACCACACTGGTCTGCCTATAAGAGGTATCACTACTGTGAGGGGTACACCGTACCCACCGAGCCACAGATGTAGCTATGACGACGTACAGTAACTTTACTTTTTTGGTAGCCCATCGCTCGCTCTGTTAGGTAGTCGAATACGAACTAATTGAGGTCGCGGAAGCCGGAAGCGCTGCATGCAGGTTTGAAATGAGTCGGAGGTCTTGGTCCTACCCTGGTTCAGGTACTTTGATCGTGTCTGAATCAGCGAATAGGAATTGAGAGGGGTGTGTTTGTTCTACAGTAAGTCTCACGCTATCTGCAAGGTTCGTATGTATGTTTTTCTGTACGGTGTGAATGGGCGCTTGATAGGTTTGTATTGACGCCTATGCAACGACCACTGGACGCTGGGTCCCACTGATGTCTAGCTTGCTGACTAGGGCTCAGGGTAAGGGCTGAAGTCACGCGCACAATGATGCTCGTTTCGACTACGCGATGAATTAATTCTTCAAGCTTATTGGAATGGGGCGGGTGAAAAGGTCAGAGGATGAGACAAGACTACGTATACCCATGAAAGCAAGTCCGAGTGGACTAATTAGGCGAGCGATCCAGTGTTGTGGCTTTGTTTTGAGTGGAATTCTTCATCAGGGCTGAGTATGCAGGATTCAGGTCTCCGTTGTACCAATGTGGGAATAAATCATGGTAATCTAGGCTGGAATATGAATGCCTACGGGACTAGAATGTGGTACGTATCATACGTACTAAAATAGGTAACTATGTATGTACCAGTACATACCGTACATACATGGGATGAGTGTGCTTGCCCCTTTTGTTGCAGCACTGTGCTAAGATTTCCCTCATATATCCTAATAAGAAGCTGTTGAATATATCGGCCGGATGGTGTAGTTGGTTATCACGTATCGTTAACACCGATAAGGTCCTGGGATCGAGCCCCAGTCTGGTCATATATTTTTGCATCTTATTATTCTAGCCTCCGAGCTCTGACCAACGTTACACGGTTGAAATCGACCCAAAAAGAAAGGGTCACCTTGACCTAAAGGTGTGTTACATTACCGTTTCTCTTTTTTTTTTTTTGTCTTGCCGCTCCAGTCATGTCTTCAAGGATTTGTAGAGCAAATCTTCTCCAACCTGAAAACTTCTTCCTTACGCTCCCACATGTAAAATTATCCCGTGTCTAAAACAACTAGAAACACTTCACCGCCATACAGGATTCTAGATCGGTTTCTAGAGCAAGGGCAGAGTGAAAATTCTGCTGGTGGGTCTTGGCTGTGGAGAAGCCGCTTTGACTTTGATGCAGGCAAAAGTACCGGGTTTCCGTGTGAACCTCATCTTCATTTCCTCTTTGGGAGGGGGGTTGGAATATTACAAGATGTGTTCTCCCTTGATTCAGATTCATATCCCAGTGTACTCCGTGCTGTGTACTCCGGCGCAGCCTGGCTCGGGATGATGACCGTGTCGGCAGTCATTTAATATATTGTTCTAAATTAATCCTGCATGTGGCTGAGGGGGGGGGCTTCAATCACATCACCCATCACACCTCGGCCAGCCTATGCAATTGAACCGTTGACGCCGACCATCACAGCGGCTATGACGAGACTAGTCCTCAATTAATATTAGCATTGCCGGCGTCGCCATTTGGTCTTTATCTATCCAGGCCATGTTCTAATTTACCAGTAGTATTGTACAGTTTTTCCACCGTGTAACGACACTAGTGATTCGTCTCCTTGAACCTTGAGAGTCATAGCGCTTGGTACGACGGTGAAAAGTCTATCGCACAAAAAAGCAATGACAATAAACCAGAAAATTAATTTAGGAGAACGTCGCTTCAGTGCTTCATCAAATTCGAATAATAGATACGTCGAATATGACGGGATGACGGGCTGGCTAGGGTTCCTTCTCTATCCTGTTTTTTGTTGAGACTAAACATGTACAATTCATGTAGGTTTTGTACCATGTTATACATATGGAGTACTTTGCATGCGACATAGTATGAACCAGATTCTTGGACAAGTTTCATTTGCATTTCAGGTATTTTCTCTCTTTACTTTCTTTTTTTATTTTCCCCCCACCCTTCTACGGACTCTTTCCGTCCTTAGATGTTCAAATTGCGGTCTGTCTACTGAAGCCCGATCGCGTTGTGCACTTGCTGCCCAGCAGCGGTAAAGCCCAGCAACCGAATGTTGCCCAACAATCATTGTTTTTTGGTCGATGGAGATGGTGGGTATAATTTATACTGTGGGTGTTTATGACAGAAAAGGTCCCACTGAACTAAAAACCCCTCTAGACGAGCTTGTTTATCTGGAACCAGAGATCAGGGAATGGAACCATGGGATACGGCGGGAGATACCCATGGAACAGGTTTATCTTAAAGCTCACCATGTAATAGCTATACACGAGCATGTACTGAACGCTCTTGTTTCTCTAGTCCCCAACTCCATCAAATCATACTATGAAGTCCCAGAGCACTCTATGGGATGATTCATCCGCAGCTGTGATCCTCGGACCGGTGCTATCACATTGCCACAGTCCTAGGCAGTCGTGCGATGACGACTCAGATTACAAACGAGGCGAGCAGTATTCGTGGAGGGATGCGTCTTGTTCAGCTGACAAGCTTCTGAATCATAATCTTACCACTCTGAAAAGACACTATTATACTCTGAGCCACAGTTGTGGCCACTTAGGCACTGACTCACACCCGCGCCCGTATACGCGCCCTCATAGCCAGCTTCTAGGCTCCCACTACTAGCCGTATGGATAGGATATCAAGATGGTGTGATGGGAGACTGAACCTACAGCAGCCCGTGAATGCCTTAGGTACGAATAGCCATGGTGTATGACTCCGACCTGGTAGAGCTTGCCGTCGACCAATGGTGCTGAATATCTGATGGAAGAGTGATGCAGTGGATTACTCAAGAAGGGGGCTCACGAAGAAGGATGACTGGATATATATGGTCCATATCACAATTTTGACTCCTAGCTTATCAGTCAGTACCAATAGCGACCCTGGATTCGGCTATTTTGTGCCCTATCCAGTTAACCAAGAGGGCACGACTAGGCGATGCCCAACTAATCAACGCTCCAGATGACTCCTTCAGCGGTACCGAATCTGGCTACTGCAGAGAGTATATAACATATCATATGTGTTCCGGCCATATTGATCAGCTTCGAACTCTTCCCTGATGAACTTAAATGCGCATAGTTTTCGTATATGTAAGAGGGAATTTTCAAATGAATATTCACATTTTGCAACCATCATAGGTGTCCTTATTCTCAGCTGTGCTTGTCGGGCCTGAAACAGACACACACACATACACACACGGAGCTGAAAAGTACTCCATCGGTACCGTACGGTACTAGACCAAACCAGACGGGACCGAATGGAACCAAAATTAGCGTTGTGAAATTTTACAGCCCCCCCACCCTTACCCGCAGTGCCCCGTTCCCGTGGACTCCAGTCACCATCCATTACAAAAGCGCTTGGGGTTCGCCTGCGCGCCCTCCTTTCGCCATTTTACTACAATTATCGCCCTTCAAAGGGTTCACTATCACCTCCAGAAATTAGCCACCCCTTCAACCAGCAGTCGCACTACCTCCTGGGTCGACTCCTGGAATATCACATAGATAGAACAAATAGATCCTTCAGGAACCTGCTCGAATATTTTCGGCAATCGTTTGGATTCGGTGTTCTTTCGCTTCACAAGGAACCGAATTCGCCTCCCACACAGATCAGTCGCTTAACCCGTCCGACGATTGACGACGTTCAAATGCACTCTCAGCACATAACAACATCCTGTCCCTCCTCTCCCCTACACGCCGTGCCTCGGTGACGGTCCTCATTATCGATCTTCCGATTTCGTTGTCCTTTGCATCGGCGTCGATCGGGTTGTTCTGAACGATATCCTGTACAATATACCTGGGTTGTGCTTTTTTTTTTTTTTTTTTTTTACATTTGCTTGTCTCCTTGAGCAGCTTGGTTACTTGGGACTCTAAAAGTTGTCGATTTTATTACCCGTCTTTACTACTACCAGCATCGTGAGCCAGTTTTTTATGCTCAACTTCCGATAATGTATCATTATTCCACTCCACCTCCCGGGTGGTCATCCCATTATATGACTTCGCCTCCTACATCTCCTCATTACGCCTACTACGCTACTCAGGTCGCCAATCCCTACGGCTCCCCTCGACCATCATCCAAGCGCCATAGTCGCAAAGCCAGTTATGCCGGCACCAAGGAAGCCGCAGGATGGCAATATGCCGGATATGGTACGCCTTTCTACGATGCGATGCCTGAATTTAGCACGCCACCGCGCAAGCACGATAATGTAAGTGCTTTTTTTGGTGGCTCTTCGTCCTATCACCGTCGCCGTAGCACCATGGGCAATGCCCCGGCAGATCCTTGGGATAACGCTAGTCCGCGCCCGTCGCACTCGACCCGGAAACGACCCATCTTTGTAGATGTGGTCGACGATGGATTCGATGACGCGCCACGATTCCCCTTCCGCGAGGAAGCTAGCCAACCCCGTCGATTCTCGTCTGCAACTCCACGCAAGCCAAAGCCACCCACTGATCAATATTGTTATTCTAACCAGGTTCCCGTACATGATGATGATTCACCGAAGCGGTCCCGCGCGCGTCGCCAGTCCACCTCCACGAGGACCCCATCAAAGCCCAAGCCCACGACATCATCTAAGCCAGCTCCGAAGGCTACGGAAGAGGATGCGGCTAAAGCTGGCATCCCCGCGGGTTATTCGATCAAGAACTGGGATCCCACTGAAACCCCTATCATTCTCTTGGGAAGTGTCTTCGATGCGAACTCCCTCGGCAAGTGGATCTACGACTGGACGGTCTTCCACCACGGTGCTTCGACTCCGATGGCCGATGTTGCGGGCGAGTTGTGGTTGTTGTTGATCAAGTTGGCGGGTAAGATCAAGAGAGCCGATGAGTGTGTGGATCGGATCAAGCAGCCTGAGCACCAAGAAGTGGTGGAGGACTTTTTGGAGAGTGGTGAGCGCCTGTGGGCGCGGTTTAAGAAATTGCTGAAAACCTGCGAACAGTTCATGTGGAAAGCGGCCAAGCGAGAAGGTGGTAAGAGCGTGTCTATGGGCCGCAACGCAGGCTGTGAATTTGTCGAGACGATATTTGGTCGCGACCGCGAATTAGAGAGCACAGAGAAGTTGATGAACAGCGTTCGTCTATGGAACATGCGGTTTGACGCCAACTGCGAGGACATTCTTCGACGACCGTCGGCATAGTCGTCGCAACCCTTTGCGATATTTTACCGGGCATCGACCCAACAAAAAAAGTACACTTGATTGATTCGGTTCTTTTCATCTTCAAGAGTCGGGAATGAATAATCGGAACTGCAGGGCAACATCAGAGCTGCTGTTTGAGCTTCCTTGGCATTTTACTTTTGATCTGTCGGATTGCATTTGAGCGCGTTTGAATTGGCCTACTGACTGAATTGCTCTTTGCTCTCAGTTACTCGTTCAAGGGACATGACCGCTACCAGCGCGGATCACTCTGACAAATTTTTTTTTTTTTATCTTTTCTTTTGTTCTTCCCTTTGTCATTTCCTTACTGTGGGCACTCTTAATTCTTTTCATTCTGCTTACAACTGGGACGGGGCTTTGCTTTCTTGTCTGGCGTATGCTAGCTCATCGGGAATCATTTGCATTTTTCTATTGCAAGTTGGAGCCGATGGGCTTTCTTTGTCTTCGATGATACCATTTTGCGACTCGTTCTATCTCGGACACGGTTGGTTTGATTCTTTCGTTGCGTCTTGAACAGCATATATAGACACCCACTACCATCGTACCGATAGACATTACAATTTTTACCACTTTTGATCTTGTCGTTTCGCAATCAACCCCGCTATCACGTCCTACTAGAATATTAGCGCAAGCGCCGATCTGATGTCATCTGACATCCCACGTAGACTACTTATTTTACCCCTCACTAAAAGCGGAGCCTAAGGTTATCAATCGGGCGCCTCGGAAAATAGACAGATGACAACTAGTACGATGACTAGTCCGGAGCAAGTGTTCCTGACTGGATAGGTTATCGCCGGAGGTGTTGTGATATTGGTTTTTTTCATGTATGTACCTGGTTGTACTGTATGTTAGTATGTTAGTATGTTAGTATGTTATTCCAGCCTGTTGTATTACTCTGCTTACCTACTAGTCAAAGTCGAGTATATGATGATGAATATGATCTCTGATTTGATAATATACATAGTAAGATTACCTAAGATCGTAACTCATGCACGGCAGAAAAGAAAGCGGTTTTCTATATGCAAGTAATATAGACTAAGATTTCAGGGTTTGCTGTTCGGGAAATGGAGGTGTGAGCCGCATCGTGGAATGTCGGTGTATTCCTGCTGACAGGCAAACTTGGGGGTCTTGGATTAGAAGATGGGGCTTTTGAGGCCTGATTTGCAGTGGAAAATTGGGATGTGCTATTTTAGTTTAGTAGAGTATTACAGTTATTACTATTGGTATGTGGTGGTTCTTGAGTGTGCTTGGGATAAGGAGGGGTGGGGGTGGGGGGGGGGTCAAATTTTGGATTTATGAGATGTCAGGCTGGTTATGCTTTTGGACTGTATCTCGTGCATGTGTATTAGAGTAGGGATAAGGAGGTTTTGTGGGACGATAGTACTAGTTGTCTTGGAGTACGTAGTATACTGTGTATGTAGCTTAGATAAACGGGGTGTGCTAGCAGAAATAATGAAACGAAAATGAGGTAGAAGTTTCGTCTCTACTCTCTAGATGGTTTGCGTTGGAATTCCTGTACGAGATGATATACAAGACATGTAGCTTTAAGAACTTCGAAATATAATAAATCAATTATGGCTTCTAAAAAAAGATATTCAGTAGATGAGTGAGGTGGAAACATCTTGAGAAGAGGAATTCTCGTATCTTTAGCTGAAATCTGACAGGTGCTAATATTGTTCATATGCATGACTATGGGTTAACTAAAAGTGCCGTGAGTAGAAGGAGTATGGCATATCGAGATGTTTCTTTCCGAAAAAAAGAGCGAAACTAGCTATGATGGAAAGTATGTACCTCGGACTCCCTAGCATGAATCTGTTGAGTTGTTACTATTAAGACACCAAGTCTATGGCAAAGATTAAACACACATGAGTATGAGATCTGGATCAGGCATGTGCGGAATTCCTATACGATCTACTCTAGTTACATTTTTGACCAGAATCGCTGCTTTGGGGAGCCAATCTTTTCTTCCCTGGTAAATATATTGAGAATATCTGTCAGGGGTCTACTCCTAGCTTTTACCTGGTTTACAGTCTCTATCAATAAAACCAAGTTCGGAATCTACTTTGATCGTCTAACTTCTATTATATTAATATATTTACTTACGGTAATTGTGAACATATAATAGGAATTATCTTTCGTCAGCCAAGGATTTTATTGGAAGATACTCTTCAAGAATATCACATAACCAAGATTAAGCCGGGTCCATCTCTTCCTTGCATTTTCCAAACCCTGCCAGCAGGCTGCCGGTTGACAATCAGAGAATAGCTAGTTACTGGAGAGTTCGAGAGTGATAACTCCATTTGCACCATAGAACTGTTGCCCTTATGGCTAATGCTGTAACCCCCAGTGAAAGAAGAGCTCTTCACCGAATTCTGTAATCCAGGGAGCGCTGACCAATCCCATATTACCCTTGTCATGACTCTACTATCAACTTCAAGGGTTATTTCGCCTCTGGTGCCGCTATCTTTGCCACAGAAGCTGAAGGACAGGTTCTGCATCCTATGTTGGATTTGGGTTTCATTGACATAATTCCGAAGACAGTTCGTTGTCTTTTGTCAGGCCATTGGGAGAAAATACCCCTACCGTGCGAAAACTCTCAGCAGAGCTCGGATAAAAAAAAGAATTGTACATAAACGTACTCGCTCTGGTGAGCGTTGCTAATCTTGATGGTGTCCGGACAGGCATTCGTGATATTGAATGCGATCCACTGTTCAGACATCTCGGGGCGTTTTCCTCCTTCGGTATTGGATAGACTGGGTAAACTAGGTCGAATTGAAGACGAATTGAGAAGAACTGAAAGTTCTGCTTGATAAATCATGAAAAGGTCAAGACAAATTGAGCAGTGAAGGGCGACTTATGTGATTTACTGCTGAGATGAAGGGGCAAAGATGAGAACTTACAAGCAGACGCGAATATTGTAAACTAGAAAGAATGTGACATGTTTACTCTCCAGGCGCAGTAGATATGACGTGGTCAATGTTATTATTTGATCCAAAACTTGATCCCATAACTTATGGATCTGCTCTGCCAATTCACCTTTGCATGCAGATCTAATTCGGTGCGGGAAACAAAGATTCAGGTGGACAAAAGTTAGAGGCTACGCTGATTGCCGTGATATCCATGTTTACCTGATTGACATCTATTATAGCGTGTAGAAAGGTGATACACTGCAACTAGGGAGGCCAACTGGACATGCTCCTAGAAGACTTTCTTGGCAGTGAGGTGTATTGCACCAACTTTTTCGAAGCGCACAGAAGCCTGTATTACACGATTTAGATGATCCCACCACCAGCTAAAGCGGTAGTAAACGCTTACTTTGTACAAGAGTTATAGTTGGTATCTTAATATTCGAGCATCTGCACCTATTAGTCGCTCATTACGTTCTACTAGAAGGACGAGAAGGACCTTTTCCCCTACTTGGTCGATATTGATATAGACAGTTCTCAGTACTTGCTCGACGATCTGTCAGAGTCATCTACATTTTCTCTATTACAAGCTGGGACTTATAGCTTGATTCATTTTGGTAAATGCTATATGATAATTTGTTTTATTTTAGATATAGACTCGTCTATGTCTGCGATCAGATGGAGTCAAGAGCAGGAAAAGGGCCTGTAAAAAAAAGAATTCTCGGGGATTCTTGGTTAATAGGAATCCCTAGCGCTTTATTGCAATACAAGCGGGTCGCTCCGTCGAAATCAGATGCGTTAAGCCAGTGTCGAGCAGGATCATTTCCGGTGGACGCAGATACTCATTGCATGGTACCACATCTGTGGCTCTTCGAAAGGCAGACCCTGGATATTTCAACCTGGTGCAAACCCCATATTCCTGATCTCAAAGATATGGCACGCGATATGAGATGGCATAATAGTGATATCGCGTATGAAGTGCTCAATACGAGGCTCTTTATTACATACCATGGGTCGATAGGATTGGCAGCCAGACCAGGGGATCAGATTGTGTACAGTGGTGGTCGATATCTATTCATCTTTCGGAGTCGTGACGATGGTGCAGTCAATCTGGTAGGAGACTGTTACGTTCAACGAGTTATAACACTCCTCAGTACTAACATTGACATGCTGGGATGTTGGCTCTCCACACAAAACTGCTATATGCTATTCTTTTATAGGTGTACCCATTCATCAGCCGTGGGATCCTATCTCCCCTGAAGAAAAACCTGTTTATCTAGACAGCCATCCAACCGCATACAAACCCATACTCACCCTTACTAGGAACTTCTAGATATAACATAATTCAAATACCTAATTATGTTCTGTATTATCTAGCGAAGGCTCCTCTCCCTTCACCCAAACTCACAGACCAACACATCAAGAAAGACAAACCCACCTATCCCGTGAAGCCCAAACACCATCTGATTTGCCATGTTAAAAAAAAAAAAAAAAAAGAACCTCATTGTCGCCCACAGTGAGTCACCCTTAGATTCTTGATTACTCTTTATTTCATATTAATTTCTCCGAGGTGAAAAAACTACCCACCATCAAGACCAAGCTAGTCCAAATAAGCAGGTAGATGCGACAAATCCAAGCAAATCCAAGTTATCCAACTCCCTAAGGAAAACTAAGAAAGAGGCAGTGCAGTAGGCAGCAGCTTTCCAAGGGTTTAAGCTAATTCTTCACCTTTTTTTTTTTTTTTTTTTTTCCCTGGCCAAGCTAAGAGAGAAATCATCCACTCAGAACGAGGCATTTTCGGAAAATTAAGCTTTTTTTCCCTTTGCGGTGACATGCACGTGGGGCTGCTCAGCCCTATGGGGTTGCGCAGGTGGGTTAGTTTAGACCACGGATGTGATTATGTAGACTATGTAGTATGTACTAAGGAGTTTGGGGGGGGTGGGTGGGTTGAGGCATTTTGTTATCCCTGGTGCGATTGTTCACGATTAAATTAAATTCCTGGTATTGGGGTTATCCGATTGTTATTGGTAGTAAATTAATCATACTAGTATGCTACGCTAAAAGTTATTCTGTAGTTTCTTTTTACTGTGTAGCTTCACATGCTACCACTGTTAATTGTGGCGAAGTTCTCATTTTGAGGAAGTGAATGTAGGGGAGTATGAGAGTGCTGGTGGGGTTGGTCTGTGTGTGCTTAGTTTAGGTCTTACAAGTTTCAGGGGGAGTACTTCGTATAAGAGATTATTTCATATTTTGTTGTATACTGGATTTATTTGCTGTGGTTGATTGAATGACTGAATAACAAGAGGTGTTAGACATAAATGAAGAAAAACAAAATACGAAAATATCAAAACGATAACTTTTATGCTATGCCCCTATCGGTTGAGCGAAGGGGGAAATTGAGGGACCAATCTAATTGTAACGTATGTTGAAGCGAGACAGCCTCGATACATTTAGGTTTCTAGGAATGAAGTATCATTCCTTTGACTCAGTTGTTGACTGTTGTTATCTTGGATGATAACTCTCTGTGTCCATATCACAAGGCTTTTTCCAAGAATCAACTGTGGCCTTCTCAGCGAGGTCTACTCACTCTCGAGGAGCCGCCAGGTATTCCCGAGCGTCTTTAACAAACCAGAGGAGTCTCTGTCGACGGTGATAAATATTGGTCATATCAACTCTCGCGCTGGCATCCGCATCATTCTGACCGGTGATCAAGATGAGCATGAAAAAGGTCTCGATAATACTGGGTGGAATATTCGAAATCAATTGTCCCGTCGTACTCCACCGCATCGCACTCGAGCCAATCACACAGCCAATGGTGAGCAGAAAGCCAGCAACCACCATAAGCAGATGCGAGCAGACATTTCCCATCGCAATCGAGATCCGGTGAGTGACAGAGGATGTATCAAGATCATCCTTGGGCGGGATTGCCATTTGTGTCTTAGAAAAGAGGGTCATGTCTCTTTTCTCCAGGCTCTGAACTTGACAGACCGTGTACTCTTTCACTTTGCCTTGGATATTGCGCAGAATGAAACTGTCAAACAGACCGATTAACCCCGCATATGTACCAATCAGCAGCCACCAATTGTCGTTGAAGTGGAAGACCGGTCCGACAGCTGCCCATGCAATGATGACCGCCACGAGAATTATGATTCCGGCCAGTGTCCCGATGATGTCGGCATAGTAGAATACGGCCACTTGCAGTGGATTCTCACGCGGTGGCTGGAGCACCTCGGGTTCGTTTGGTAGGTGGTCTTCAGTGATGCAGCGGAGCTCTTTCTCAAGTGTAGCATCTAGGCGGAAGATGGCATCCAGGCAATTGTTGACATAGTCGGCATAGCATTCCCGCAGGCAATCCAGGAACGCAAATACCAGGACCATTAGAGCCGATGTCGCCGAGTTAATGTACAGCTGCCACTGGTCCGTCCAGCCACAATAGTGTCCGAAGCCCAGCCAGATAAAGATGCAGACCCAATACATGCCCACAGTAACGATATGCCCGAACGCCCACGCGGAGAAGATGATCATTCGCGCAAACCAGCCTTGTGTCCGTGTCCCTTGATCCAGTGCATCCAAGGGCCGATTGCTGCTTATCTGAGATACATGACTGACGCCCTCTGGTCCCAGTTTGCTCTTGAGCTTCGTGAGCATTCGCTCGTGGCTGTTCCGTCTCGACTTCATCTCGGCCATGGCCTCTTGCTGTTCGGAGTATTCGCGGAGCAGTTGGCGCATGAGGAAAGAGTCGAACACGTAGCACAGGATAGCCTGCACATCGGAAATGACAGCGGTCCATTTAGCAGAATTTCCAAAACGAATGCCCAAAAAAGCCCAAACGAGAAGAGCACCAACGATAAAGCAGAAGACCGGTGCAGACCCAGCAATGCGGACAACTGTGTCCAGCCACCTGTCCAACAGCCGAGGGCTTGCTTTGACTTTGTATCCGGTGACCTCGCCAGCTATTGTCACGATGCCTCCTTTTGCCTCCTTCGTATCTTGTTCGATGGACAGATGCTGGGTCTCTGCGACACCCTTAATCTCGCACCGGAAAGTTGGCTTGTAGTTCTTCATTTTGTTCAAACAGGGTGGCCATAAATTCAGCCGAGACTGACGACACAATGGACGGGATTGGGGCTCTAGGGGGGTCGAGTCACTTCTGCAAATTCGCAAATTGCCTCCAGGTCGGTAAGAGATACTGGGATCAAGGATACGATCACAGTAGAATTGTTCATAAGCTTAAAATCAGCCATTCGAAAGAGTTATGGTACTGAAAAAGATAGAGATGTGTGTCCAGCAGTATCGCGTTCACAGGAGAAACAACAATGTTGGAAGGGTTTGATTCAGAGCCTGGATAAGCGGACGACGGAGAATTTATGAGATGAATTTATATACAATATACAACCCAAAACAGCAAGTTTTTTTTTTTTTTTTTTTTTCCCTGCTACTCTCCGTTTACATAAGAGTATTGTTCTTAAATTTTTCTTAATCCACCAGGACCCACTAGTCGAACCGATGGAGAATGTCAATCGACCCATTGTTCCCCAAAGGTCCCTACAGGGGCCTGGGTTAGTTAGGGTCCAAGGCAAGATGTCATTCTAGACTCAAGCTGGTCTATGTCAGTATTTGCTCCACCGGTACAATTGCACAGCCAGCATAGCTTGCAGCCCACATGTAACCCTACCCCGGGAGAAAAGTCTGATCCCCTTCTCGGTCCGAGATAACTATGGGTTCAACCTAGAAAGCAAGGCTGGCAGGGTCACTGCTTCGGCCTTAAACCATGAGCGATTTTTCCGCGGTAGTAATAATAGGTTACCTCAAGCAATATGTGGACTGATAAGGTGACTCAGTGAGGTTAGGCAACTGTTATTACAACCCTAACTAATCATTATGGACCGAGCCGATCTTGATGCGTTGTATTGTCTGTCTAAACCATGGATCTAGGCTATGTACAGAGTTAGATACACAACTTATCTATTCCAAGGTAGTATTATCAGTTCTTAACAATCCTTTTAGCAACATGAGACATAAGCATCTGCTGCAGGATGTCGGCGCATTGACCGTAGAAGCTAGGCTGATTTTTCACCGAGGTCCAGCCATTTACGTCGATCACGTAGCTTTTGCCTTTATTTCGAACGATGTCGAATCCACAGACAGACTGACCAAATCCGGTCGAGATCTTGGCAGCCGTGTCTGCCTCCTCCTTGCTGACCTCGGTGGGTAGTCTTACTTCCTTGCCGCTTGCATCCCGATGGACCACGCCTGTGACTGCGGGCGATTTTCGTGTCACCGCAAAACAGTATTGGGGCCCCACTGCGTAGGCTTTGACATCCTCTCCATTGTCGGCGTTCAAGAGCGGCTCGTACACGTAACTATTGGTCGTGCCCTGCTCGGTAATACATCGGGGTACGATCAAGTCAGGGTCGTACTCGGAACACTTGTTGCCAACTTTCCGAAACAGTCTTCTCCCCCCGCCGGCGCCCTGGGGAGTCGTTGGGAAGTAAATGTAGATGTTGTGGTCTTCCGCACTGACGGGTTTCTCCACAAAAGGCTTGTGAAGCGTTCGACCATCCACCAGAAGCGTATTTCCATCTTCCGAAAGGGACACCCTCGGTGGATGAGACCGTTCATGGTTTGCCTCTCCCTCCCTAGGGCCTGGTATCCCCAACCCCATACGATCGTACACGTGTTGGACGAGACCCCAATCATGAGCTCTGGGGCCACCATCACGGTTTACCTCAAGCCTCTTGGGAGTCCGCACACCAAGATGATCCAAGACTCTATTACAGAGCCGACGATCAAAGAGAAGACCCTGCATAAGCAAGTCATTATAGCAGAGCGGCGAGCGGAGCTTCGTGTACGAAATGACCTTCTCGAGGGGAAACCCATCAGAATAAAACGCAATTAAAAAATCACAGATTGGCCATTCTTCCGGCCTCTTACTCAAAAGCGTCTTATCACCGAACAGGACCACCTCGATAAGACCGTCTACGTGTAAGCGACGGAAAATCTCCTGGTTGGCCTTGCTGAGTGCCTTGTCGTCCATGGCACAGATGCCGAGTCTCCAGGGAGAACGCATGATGTGATCTTTCTGCACGGGGATCCGGCATAACTCGGTCGATATGCGTTTAGCCGAATATTTGGGCGAGGGAAGTTGGAGGATTTCGATTTCCTCATCGTTCATACGAGCGAAAAGTCTCATGTGGTTGTCATCCCAGTTGGCCTCTGAGCCATCCTTGACTGCCGCCAGTTTGTGGAGTGCTGACATTGTTATGGGTGTTGAAGAAACATCGGTCGCTTAGTTGTGTCGTTGCATCGGATACTTCTTGAGCCAACTTAGGATCTCAGAAGTGGTTGTCGTTTTGCTTGGGTGGGACCATTGAGTAAATGCCATTGATGAAGGAAAGGTAATGAGTTCGATTCTCAATCGAAGATAGAAATGAGTAAATTTTCCAAGCGCGACGAGATATTTTCGTCGATTGGATGCGGGAGACTCGTAGGAGTTGGGAAGAGTTAGGGCTATTTATGTGCGGGATTAAGTATAAACGATTGACAGCTGGCAGGCGGACACAGCCGCAAAGCGTCACTCGGTTCGTCACATGGAGACGAAAAGTTTAACGTGAGTAAGAGAGGAAAAAATGACAGGAAGTAAATGCCGCAGTTATGCAGTCATCGCTCGAAACCGATGCTGCCGATCTTGGTTCCGTGGTACGCTGAAGAACTGTGGCATTCTATTTCAAATGGAAAACCGGCTGCATACCAAGACCGAAAAATCCACAAGATGTCTGAATTCGATTCTCGTTTCCTTTATGTAACCGGATCTGGGGTACCAAGCAGTCTAGACGTCATGTGTCATGTTCTGGAAGCTCAGCTTTTGACCCACAGCCCCGTACCGGACTGTCGTATACTGAATATTCTTTTACACCCATTGTCCACCGTACAGATGATCTAATCATGATGGGTTGATTATCTGTATACCTTGTTCTGTAGATAACCCAATTATTCAAAGGGGGTTTGCAGTTACCCGCGTGACCGTGCCAGGAATTCCATCCCCTTTGGTATTTATTGCATGCTGACTTACGCTAAAACTGCCGCAAAAGGAAACCCATCACGCGCCGAGTTCTTCATTTATATCACTGTTTGCTGCCGAACTACTTCCCTGGAAACCCTTATTCTGTCATGTCTTATATGTATCGTGAATATTACCACCTATCTTCTGTTTGACAACGGACAGACACCGCCGAGTCAATACTCAGATCCTTCTTTGTACAAATAGCAATTTACCTAGTACGATGCTGACAAGCATGAACCCTGCTCATCAACCTAAATAGATCAATCAATAATACTACGTGATCAAATTTGTGAAATGGATGATTATATTTTACCTGCAGCGCACAACCCGTTTGTATGAAAAGCTTCTTAGTTAGCTCTACTCCAGCTATTTGAGATTAATCCAATACTAGGGTAGAGAGCGGAATGTTATATACAGTGTACATTTAGAGGCCTTCTCCGGATTTAATTAGGGGAGATACCACCCACAATACATCCAGAACTTAGAATTGAGATATACATGACCAAGTTTAACTAGTAGTGCCTTTGAAGTTCGTAGCTCAATATTGTAAGGATTGCCGGATATAATGATTTAGAAATCTTTAACAGAAAGTCATAGATTATAATACTATGAGTTCTGAAGATGCCTGTACACCACTGTTCATCGGTTCTAGTCAATATGGCTGTCACTAATTTAGTTAAATGTGTTTTTCTTATTTCACAGAGGGTTCTTTATGAAGGATGTCGTCTGCCTACTTTTTGTTTCTACTAAAAAATCGATTTCGTTCCTAAAGCTGTATCCATGAGATATATATCGTTCAACTATATGTTAGTATACTTTCTATATTGGAGTTGGACTAGTCAATAACCACAGCCTCTTGATTTAGCACTTAGATGTGTGGATACTAGCGGACTATAGGTCACGCGCGGGTATAGTAAATAATTTATACACATAATAACTTACTGGAGCTTTTCACCATCTTAGTGAGTTTGTGAAGCTGATTGTATTGATGTCAGAGGGCACCAAGGATATAGACAATGTTTGTTGCTTTATGGAGTGGACTTGGAGATATCCACCGGAACTTAGTCTAGTATCTACCCAGGCTAATGCCATTAGCTAAAGTATGTTATGTGGTAAAACATGTTTGTCGGTAGTAGTATTGATTATTGTCTCAATGTTTGACGAATGTTCCAAATGCCGAATACAGTTGACAAATAACCTGGATCATGCGCCAGAGGAAACCCAGAAAGAAAGAAAAAGCCACAGCCATACCACCCCACAAAACCAAGTACCCAACAGCCACCTGGAAATGCCGTCTAATGCATAATACTAACAGGCTAAGGAAGAGGTGCTGTTTTGACTGACTTCGTCTCGCCGACAGCAAAGCCCAACCACCACCGGGTAAGTAGATCTACCGTTGCCATATCCTCCTACTTCATATCGTACAACTTGCTTTCCAAGTATAAGATTTTTGCCGTTGAAATAAGCCTCCAGTACGCGAATTTGTTGTGGACCCATTATGGAACATAACATAACCTGAATGACAGTTTCTATTAGCAGGGCTCCAACCATGTTGTAAAATGTAGATATCGCCTTTGGAGAAGGAACAGTAACTTACAGGGGCCATTGTATGAGGGCGGGGGACTTTGTGTTCAACCGAGCGGCCATGACTTTTACAATAGCAATGAGTTCATCTCGAAGTAATCGATTGTCTCCAATGACTTCGCTCTCCATGAGGCATTTCATATGGGGTAATCGATCATGAGTGGGTAGTGCAAAGCATGTGGATGACGCCGACCAATAGTACTTGGAATATTCGGCTAGCTCCCCGAGGTTGAGGTCTGCCCAGCTAGACAATCACTGTTAGCCTCCATCAAAGTGGTACTTGGGTGAGAGATAGGATATATATACTCTTTATAGCAAGCACCGAAAGGCTTGTTGTCATCTTTTGGAGATATCCCAAAGCAGCTGTTCATGTAGCGATGTAATCCTTGTATATTGAAACGATCTTCCATGTCGGGCCCATAGGTTGGATGGTCTTCACCTCGCTCCTCATCGTATTCATCCTGGTATGGATCGAAGAAGTACGGGTTGTCGGAATTGGATTCTAAAGACATGAAACGCTGCTGAATACTCGCTTTTTATGCGTCATGCTGGTCAATGTTTTCAGTCTCTAGGTGACGGATTGTCTGCATGATCGGCTAGGAAAGTGGCTGGGAGATCAATGATATGTTTTGAGTGGAATCCTAATGAAATGGTTGGTTGGTCTTAGCTAGTAATTGTGTATTTGGATTATTTGGTGATATGTAAGGGGCCTGTCTTGTTGTGTAAGGTAAGCTTAAGCATATAAATAATAATTTTGTAGATCCGGCAGAGCATCCGGTGAGCCTACGCTACAATTTGTATGGCCAGGTGGAGAAATTATAAAAAGGAGATCTATGGTCTAAATTAGTCTAATCGAACGCTCTAATCACATATTAGCTCCTATATCAACACCATTAAACATCTTGAAAACCTCCGCACATCACCATGACTGCCCATCGCTAGGTACCGATCACTTGGAAGGGGCAGTCTCCGCCTTCCAAGCCAACCATCCAAAAGCGATTACCATCTTAAACCCAGCAGCCATCCACAAGGCCGACTGCATTCCTCCACTACTCCGACTCAGCCACCCACCTACAATAGCTCCCACTAACAGCATCACCACACTTCCGATACGTCGGTTCCGCTTCGGGTTGGTCGTTGGCACAGCCGCCAGCTTCGGGTCCGATGCGACGTCGAAATACACGCTGGTCAAAACCACCGTTGGGATTTCATTGTACCCCAGCGCCCGACTGGAAGTGATGGAGCCGGCGGACTGGAACGCCAAGAGCGCAATGGGGATCAGTTCCAGGAAGAGAGGACCACCTGTCAGAGAAGCATCTTCCGAGGTGTGCGGGATGAGGTCGCCTTCGATCAGGGCGACGGCAATGATGACCAGAAGAGACTGGAACACGAATGACAGGAAGAGCGTGCTGCGGCGGCGGGCTCCGGCGCGACGGGTGACATTGGCGAGGGTAAAGGCGCCGATGAAGAAGAATGCGATTGAACAGAGCGACTTCAACCAGCCCCAGGGTTTACTGGTTGGCTGGCCTGAGGCTCCTAGACCGAGGAAAATGGTGTTTCCTGTTTATTATCAGTATCGTGAACTGTACATTGTTTCAAAGGGAGTTGTGCTGTCGGAACCTACCCGTCTGCATCGCCAAGAAACAGGACCACGCATTATAGGCGCTGCTGTCACAGAGTCCGGTAGTGAAACAAAGCAGAAGACAGATGAGGTCGGTATATTTGACGTCCACGGATTGTGTCCACCATGCTGAGAATGAGGATTTCGCTGGTGGTTGATGGGCTTCGAGGTCGGGCGGGTTGCCCGAAGACGGATTTCCGCTCATTGATTCGGGTCTGATGTGTTACCAGATAAGGAATCAGGGGCTCAGGTGGTTAGAAGAATCGTGTGCGCAGTTGTTATTTTGACTTATAGCCCTAGAATGCTTGCAGCGGATTTACCAAGGAAGGTGGAATGTCGGGTTTGACAGACAGCGCGGGCGCAAAATTTGCAGTTGGAGTCATTTGGGGTCGGAGAGTGTCCGATGTCGCCATAGTTTAAAGACTAGGGATGATCGTTGTCGTACGGAGAAAATTGACCCTCACTATTTCGGAAAGGGTGAAGTCTTCCGGTCACTCCAAATGGCTGGTGCCTAACTTTCTGGGCATGGTTCGCGATTGCGACATTGGCCCTAAGCAGAACCATTGGATTGTATTTCTTCTGCTGCAGAAAGAATCCCCATTTTCATCTCACGAGTGGACCAGGCCCACGCCCCGCACGGATAGGGCTGACGACGAAGCCATCAAAAAACTCCGTACTACGTATGTATTGAAATTCAGGAGGGGGTTGAAATCCTCAGCCTTATGTAAAAGTTAAAAGACAGCAGTTTCCGAATTAGTCCGTCGGATGGATGGCCCGTCACCTCGAGTTCAATTCTCCGAGCAAAGATACTAGTAGTAATCATGCAGTTTTAGTACGGTATCGGATCCCTGCATGACGGCTGCCCAGCCAATAGCGAGAGTCTAAATCATCTGACAGCGTGGGCGGAAGGTAAGTAATTTATTTTGGAAATAACGATTTTCTACATTTCTTTCCCATTCCTCCTGCTATAGTTGAATGTGCATGTTTGGTCAAAATCAAACCGACAATGTTTTTACCCAGGTAGATTTCTTACCCTCTACTATTAATAGGTGGTATAATTTCCCGCTTCTGTGTCCCCTCATGGTTTCAAGCACCTCGATGAATGCAATTGACGCATATTCCCTACTATACTCATACTGGGTCTTCCCGTGGGTCTTGCATCATCCCGATATTCTGGCTTTCACCACAATGACTAACGGCCAATGAGTACTACACCCGGGCAACTGCCCCATGGACAGTAACAAGCTTCCATCCCGGTTACGCGATACCATATATGATCATTATCCTGATCATGGCTTGAGCCACCTCTGTCGATGCGGAGAACCTTCCCACACGCATGGACGGTTCCAGACAGGACCATCGGTCGTTCTGACTGGATACCACCCAGCGAGCATACTTCCTTTTGCGGACTCTCGAGCCATAAGTGGCTCGCATTATAGTCAATGACCTTGTACAAACAAAGCATGTCCAAGGAAGTGATGATGAAAGTCGTCGTCATCACCAGATCATGAACGCCACCGATTAAAGTATTAATAGACCCCCCGCAGTCGAAGAGGTTCTTCTGTTTCATACCGGATTTTGTTTATGGATTGCTAAACTGATCTAAACTATCAACAACAATTCTCAACTGATACGTGAGTGTCTGGACTTGATTGATTCAAGGAAAGGATCAGGTAGTGACTTGTCAGGCCATCGCCATGTTTTCGAAAGCTCAGGATACGTTACGCCAGGGCCAGGAGGCCGCTCAAAAAGCAATGAGCTCCGCGACCGGCTCTAATAAGCCGGACTTCTCGAAATGGAATACAGAGGAGATGCTGGAGACCACTGTTGACAAACACGGAAACCCCGTCCCTGACGCCTCATATACTGATTATGACAAGTTGTCGAAAGGAGAGCTTGGTCACGACTACGCGGATGCTTACGTAGCGGCGAATAAAAACTTTCACCACCCAACCAAAGAGGATGATGCCGCCTTCAATTAGGCCGTTTTTCGTGTCATAGTATACCGCTGTCCGACCCGGCGCACTCCTTGTCTTTCCTTGATGGACCCTTGTGGGTGAGGAGAAACGATGAAAATGTTATAATGAAATGTACGTATGTATGGATGAATGAATTAAATATAGTTACTGCCGTGTCGGGGCGTTCGTTATCCGACCGGCGACATTTCAGGGTCGAATGGAGAAACATGTGTAACTGTAGATGAGCCACATTTATTTAAATCGTATCACGTTATGACATGCATTGGGTAGACAGTCGTAGACTTCCTTGGCAAGTGGACTCCATGATCTTGGGCGGGTGGAGATTGCTATGGCAACCACACCTCCCGCGGGCTGGCCGCTCCCTGCCTGAGGCCTATACCAGTCCGGAAACGGCAAAACCCAAACGAGCGTCACTGGCCGACCGCCATGTGAAGTCGGAGTTTTATCTTCAGGTTCAATTGCAAACGCTTGCGTTTGTTATTAGACCCTATCTCTGCTTCTTGGTTGTTTTTGAGATACCAGGGCTTCTTTGTTCGCCCCTCCTCCCCCCTTGCGCTCATTTACTGCATGTTTCTCTCTTTCACTTTCCATCGCAGGGACCCCTCTCCAGTAAACTAACTCTCGGCTGTTTACTCCCCCCCCCCTGATTAAAAGGAGTGTCAATGTACCTGTCAATATTGGGTGGATACTGATCCCTTTATATTCAATCTTCAACCGCAGGACTCCCTGATCCGCAAGAAGGGAAGGCACCACTTACTCCCTGCGCCGGGTCACAGCGTCTTGTCTCCATCCTTATTTGAACACCATTTCGGATCGCCTTCCCTCCGGCTGTGGTGCACTTGTCTGTATGTACCGTCAACTAGTGAATCGCCAACGTGAGCTCAGCACTCAGTTTGTACAGTTATTGAGTGAACATAGTTTGGATATGTCCTTGGATCCGCGGTTTTATCACCATATCGGTCATGGCTATGGGCCTGGATCACAATCATCCGCCTCGTCTTCCGATACCTCCGCCCTAACGAGTATCACCAGCCCGTCAATCCGATCGACGACTGCTTCCGCCGCCGCACTACGATCGAACGCTTCCAGTCCTTCTCTGCGCGCAAGGGAAGGCGGAGCCATGCACGGCACCTATCTGGATGGCGCCTCAAGCCCAACTCCTGGTGGCAATGTCCGTGTCGTGGTTCGGGTGAGGAAGTTCCTGCCCAGAGGTATGTAGGGTGTGTGCGCGCCGGAAGGCGTACAAAATTACGGTTTACTAAAATTTGGATGTTCCAGAAATCGAGCGCAATGCGGAGTGCTTGATTAGCATGGATCCTCGGACGCAGACGACCAAGCTAAGGGCGCCCAAACTTGATCCAGAAGATGAGGGGAAACCGAAGTCACAAGCACGGGGTAAGGTCTTGGAGGATAAATCATTCATCTTCGATAACTCGTTCTGGTCTCACGATATCGACGACAATCACTATGCGCACCAAGAGGACGTGTACAACTGCCTGGGAGAAGAATTTCTAGATCACAACTTCGAAGGATATCACACCTGCATATTCGCCTATGGTCAGACAGGTTCCGGCAAGAGTTACACTATGATGGGCACTCCGGACCAACCGGGCTTAATTCCACGGACCTGCGAGGATTTGTTTCAGCGCATAGAGAGTGTTCAGTCACCCGATATCAGCTTCAACGTCCGCGTTTCGTATTTTGAGGTTTACAACGAACATGTCCGCGACTTGCTGGTGCCTCGGACCGACCCGCCTCATTACCTTCGGATCCGCGAGTCACCCTCCGAAGGCCCTTACGTGAAAGACTTGACCGAGGCAACGGTGAAGAATTTCACTGAACTTATGAAATGCATGCGCAAAGGTGATGTTTCCCGCACAGTAGCGAGCACCAAGATGAATGATACCTCGTCCCGCTCCCACGCAGTCTTCACAATAACCCTAAAACAAATCCACCATGACCTCTCAACCGACGAGACGACGGAACGTACAGCACGAATTCGCCTGGTTGACTTGGCAGGATCGGAACGAGCTAAATCTACGGAGGCAACCGGGCAACGACTACGCGAAGGATCGAACATTAATAAATCGCTCACGACATTAGGTCGAGTTATTGCCGCCTTGGCGGATCCGAAGCAAGGCCGGTCCGGCAAGCGGAAAGGCAAGGATGTTGTCCCCTATCGCGACTCGATCCTCACCTGGTTACTTAAAGACAGCTTGGGAGGCAACTCGAAGACCGCCATGATTGCCTGTATTTCCCCGTCAGACTACGAAGAGACGTTATCTACTCTCCGCTATGCAGACCAAGCGAAACGTATCCGTACTCGTGCTCGGGTCAACCAAGACCATTTGTCTGCTGCCGAGCGCGACAAACAGATCGCCGAAATGGCGGAGACTATCCGTACGCTGCAGCTCAGTGTCAGTTTGGCGACGGCAAATCGTCGAGAAAGCGAGATCCAGAACGAGAAACTGGAGGAATATCAGCAGAAGGTGGAGAAAATGCAGCGATTAATGGAGGAGACGAAGATGGTCAGTGAATGCAAGATCAAGCAGCTGCAGACAGAAAATGAAGCACTTCGCAATCACCTGAAGTTGGCTCTCGACAGTTTGAGAAATCCGATCCCACCTGTGACCGTTGAGAAACGCAGAGGTAGTCTTTCGCCTGTGACGGAATACAACAAGGAAAACCGTCCCGGATCGCCAATTTCTGATGTGGAACCCGAGCCCGATTTGATCTGGGAAGATGAGGACACGATCCGAATTAAGGGTCGTGAACTTGAAGCTCATGATATGCAAGCTGATATGGAGGATCTGCTCATGGATATCAACCTATTCAAGCGTAAGCTGGCCTCCGATCATGAACGATTCCGAGCAATCCAGAAACCGGGAAGCCGGAAGCGACGGCGAGCGCTGGGAGAAGTTTGGACGAATAACTGATGAGGTTGGGCGGCTTGGCCTGCAGGGTGGCTTTCTGATTGACGGGCGCTGCGGAATTTTGGTGTTTGGGTTAGGTTTCTGGTGGCAGAGTGCTTTTCGTACATGCTTCTCGTTCATGATATCTGGATATTCTTTTTTCTGTTCGGTGGACATTTTGCGATTTTTATTTTCTTTGTTTATTTTTCATGGTTTTTCTTTCTTTCTTTTTCTTTCAGGTATCCTTCCTTTTAATTCCGCGATGAATGATGATTCCAGTATATGTCAGGATGTGAGGCATGATTGAATGATCGACTTGATATGGAATATATGTCCGATATTAGTTATGATTCAATAGAATACATATTTAAAAAAGAAAAAAAGATGAAACTATATATTATAAAGGTTCAAAGAAGATACGATCCATTAAAGATTGACATGCTTCAAAAAAGGCTAAATCACTAAATAGGGTAGAAGAGACTAGGGCTGCATTAGTGCTAGTGTCGGCTTATGGCATCATGCCGAATTTGGTGAGTCAAAGTCACATTTCATTTGAAAGTCCCAATCTCATCCCCACAACCCTCTACTATCGAAAAAAAGTCGCCAATGCCCCTCCGCTCCGTCGTCATCGTCCTTTAGTCCGCTTTTTTCCACCATGGCGAACCCCATCGACCCTGCGCAGACTTCTCCTCCCTCCACTTCACCAAGCCCTGCGCCCGCGACGCAACAATCGACCCCCGACATGTCCTCCCAGCAACCCCCCTCCTCCCAACCACCGCAACCGTCCAACGGCGCATCCAAACCCGCCAAGCCACCTAAACAGCCTAAGTCCAAAGATGCCCCTCCCGCCGCGGGCGGAGCTCCAGGGGAGGAAAAACTCAGCCCAGCTGAACTGAAGAAAAAAGCGAAGGCCGAAAAGGCCGCCCGCAGAGCTAAAGAGAGAGCTGAAAGAGAAGCCAGCGGAGGTGCAGGTGCCGGACCAGGGCCCAACGCCGCACCGCCTAAAAAGGGCTCGATTGGAGGCGGCGCTGGAGGGAAGGAGGCTCCGGGACAGCCATACAAGAGTCAGAGGCATCGACGCGGATCTGCTACACAGGCCAGCGCTACGGAACAGAAGAAGAAGCAGGAGGATAAGAATGTCGCCGTCTTCGGGCATTTGTATGGACAGCCGAGGAGAACTACTATCGCTGGTGCCGGAAAGGAAGTGCACCCTGCTGTGTTGGCGCTGGGTCTGCAGATGAGGGATTATGTCGTGTGCGGTAGCAGTGCTCGTTGTGTGGCTACGTTGCTGGCTTTCAAGCGGGTATGTATTTGGGAGTCCTTTGTTTGGTGGCGCGCTGTTTTATTCTGATCTTCTGTTTTAGGTCATCGAGGCTTATACGACTCCCCTGGGCACCTCCCTTTCGCGTCACTTGACTACCCACCTATCCCATCAGATTACCTATCTCTCTACATGCCGTCCTCTCTCGATCAGTCAGGGTAACGCTATCCGTGCGCTTAAACTGGCAATCTCCTCTATTGATCCTTCCGTCCCCGAGGCCAGCGCTAAGGCAACGCTGAGCGATTTTATTGATAACTTCATCCGTGAAAAGATTACCGTGGCCGACCAGGTCATTGCAACCAGCGCCGCAGAGAAGATCCAGGACGGTGACGTGATCGTCACTTTCGCCGGCAGTTCGATTGTTAAGCAGACGCTTCTCACCGCACACAAACAGGGCAAGAGGTTCCGCGTGTCCATCATCGATTCCCGTCCGTTGTTCGAAGGCAAGAACCTGGCCCGCACGCTGGCCAATGCGGGTCTGGAAGTGCAGTATTCTCTTGTCAACGGTATCAGTCACGCTATCAAGGATGCTACAAAGGTATTCCTCGGCGCACACGCCATGACCAGTAACGGACGACTCTACTCGCGTGTCGGTACAGCACTGGTCGCCATGTCGGCCAAGGAGCGCGCCGGCGGCGTCGAGGTACCTGTCATTGTCTGCTGTGAGACCGTCAAGTTCACGGACCGTGTCGCCCTTGACAGCATTGTCGTCAACGAAATTGCCGACGCAGACGAGCTCGTCCCCAGCCAGCCCTTAAAGCAGGTGACGGGTCTGCCGGACCCCGCTGACGAGGCTGATACGAAGAAAGGGGATGCGAAGAAAGGTGGGAATAAGGCCGCCGCTAATGCTCCCCCAGCAGAGTCGACACCCCTGCCTGAGGGTTCTTCGCCTCTTGCAAACTGGAAGGAAACGCCTAATCTACAGCTCTTGAACATCATGTACGATGTGACCCCAGCCGAGTATGTTGACATGGTAGTCACAGAGATGGGCAGCTTGCCGCCAAGCGCGGTTCCGATTGTGCATCGGATGAGTACGAACTTGTGAATGATGGGCACTTTGTTCCCTTTGATTCTCGTGAAATGAAAAATATAGCTCAGGTTATCGGGATATGCATCGGTTTTTAATAGATTCGGGCTTCGCCAGAGGGTATGATTCAAATATGTATGGCATGTGTAAACGACTTCTAGCGATTATACTACTACTGAGTACCGTCATTTTTGTCTCCAAAACCCGTAAGTGAGTACATAAAATCCATGCCAATTTAGATAAGACAACAGTCACATGGAGATAAACCAAACGCGGTGAAATACTGCCGTCAATTCCAAGATGTTTACATCCATTCATCTACATCCACCTCATTTACAGTACATACATACTTTACAACGTTCTCAATTACCAATACCTCACTCATCTAACTACCCACAAAAAGTCTCAGCCACAAATCCAACATCAAAACCCTCAAAATGGTACCTTCCCCTTAAACCACCATCACCTCACCTCACCTCCAACCAACCCGCTCTACTAACAAAACCCCCAAACAAAACAGAGCAAAGACTCAACCCCAACTCACCTACACATGCACCACCCCCGCCTAGCCGACTACTTCGAAGACTTCACGCGCCCCCACACTTCCGCAACCCCCAGCACAGCAACAACCTCCCACCTCTACAACAACCACACCGTCACCTACGGCTCCTCGTCTCCGACCCTCATCCCCTCCTTCCTCCCCATCGAGGACATCTACGTAGCGCCGCAGTATCAGCCCCCAAACCCCGAGGATGAGGATGATGTTGTCCCCGACCAGCATGCTGCGTTTGGGATTAGTAGGGCCATGGAACGCCGGCGGGAGGCGGTTTGGAGGGATTTGGGATTAGAGGGGTTGGTGAATTCTGCGGGTGGGAAGAGCGTTGGGGTTAGGGTTAAGGAAGGGGGGAGGAGGATGGGAGGGAAGAGGGTTGTTTGTTTACGGTGATTTTCTTTCTTTCTTTCTTTCTTTTCCTTTTGGTTGTTGTGGGGGAGGGAGAGGGAGAAGAGGGGGGTGGGATGGATTGGGACGGATTGGGTTGTGGTTTTTTAAGCATAGATGGGTTGGTTGATACCCCTTTTGTTTCTTTTATTATGTTTTTTCCCTTGTGGAATGGAATGTTTCATTATCATTATGACGCCCGACGCCCGCCTTATACATGCTATGGTATATCTAGTTAATCCAACGAGGTACTACACTTTAGATGCGAATAACGTCTACCCGTGTCCGTTCGTACAGTTTGTGGCTGATGTGTTTTTGTTCGCGTTCTTCTTCGGTGATTTCTCGTGGGTGGATGGCCATTTGCGCATAGGTTCCTGCTGCTCGGCGTTTGGAGAGTGTGCCTGGGTTGATTACCAGGACGCTGTCTACTACCTGTTTGATATTGTGAGTGTGTGTTGTAATAGGTGGATGGGGGATGGAGAATAGGGGTACGCACTTTGACGAACGGTGGGAGCATGCTGGGAACGATTAGCACGTCTGGTCGGACGTTCCACCACTCGCCTAGCTTCATGTAGCTGACATCCAGGGTAGCGCCCGTGGCTAGTCCGTTCTCGATCCCGGGCTTGGGAAGAGCGTCTCGCGATGACGGTGGGAAAACCGGGTAGAAGTGCCTTTGTTCGACGAGGTACTTGGACAACCGGGTGAGCAGGTTGCCTTCTTTGGGTTTGCCGTGCAGAGCCTCTTCTCTTCGCAGCTCGTATAGGACGTCGTGAGAGCACAAGCCAATGACGGTCTCGTTGAGAGACAGAGTGACTGGGTTGGATACCATGCGCACCTGCTTGGGCAAGCCGAGTTCCTTTTTCGGGAGCTGCTCCTGCGGCCAGGAGACGTGCTTGCTCACGGCGTCGCGGACGGAGGGAACCATCACGATCGTGATGCTAGGTACTGCCGCGACTAATCTCTGTAAGGGTGTCGTGATGCAGTGCCGGAATACTGTTGTTAGGGTGGCGGTGTCTGGATCGTATCCGTTGGTTTCTGGGAGGTCGAAGTCTCCCGATGCTAGCAGTGGGTGTTCGATATCTAAGAATGGACCCATGAGGACGAGTCCGTCTGCATAGTTCTCGGCCGCCTTCTGACATATCTCATTGAGCGGCTCGAAATCTAAGTTATCGTCGGCTGTGTATGGCCCCGAGGAGATTATTATATTCAATGGAGAAGAGCCTGCCTCCTCCAATCTTTCGTTGATACCTTCCATAGTGGGCACAGATGATGCAGCGGGCGGTAAAAGCGGGGTGGATAGGACTTCCTTGACCGAGAAGTAGTTCCCGGACGCATTAATACCCTGCAGAGCAACAATTTGTCCCGGGAAAAAGTTCACCGATGGTAGAGTATCCACCTTCAGAGGCACACGTACTCCAGCTCCTGTCCGTCTCGAAGTCTCAAGTACAAGAGAGGCCGGGTTAAGCTTTCCTTCCATGCTGTCTGACGCAATCCGTCCGACCGCAACGATCTCGCTGGTGCTCTGGGTCGCTGCACTGCCGAAGGGGAGATCCTCTGTTTCGTATTCCTTCTGGAACAAGGCCGTGAACTCGTCAATGCGGTCATCCAGGATCTCGGATGCTTCAGACTGTCGCATTGCCATTGGCTTGTATCCGAACTTCTTCAGGTCCGTGTTCGCAGTGGGCCGTATCCGTGCCTCTGAAAAGGGAGCCATGGGGGTCTCTGGCATCGACAGGTGCGCATTGAGGGTTTCAAGCGTCTGGCCGGAATTCTGGCGCTCCGAGAAAGGCACAGACCTGTGTCCGCAGTCAATCATGTTGCTCCAGCAATGCGGGATAGCATTCTCCAAACATACTGCGCTCCATCTCCTGTAGCAGCCCCATTCATAGGCTTTCGCAGAGTCTTAGAACCGATTGGAGAATCGACCTTTCCAAGTTTAGATGCAGAGGGTGATGCGAAGTCCGCTTTCCGCTTGGCTGAGTTCGGCGTTCGACCGTGGGGCGCATTTGGGGTTAATCCGTCTAATCTATAGTAACAATGTCAACAAACTCCCCTCCAGATACGGCATGCCTCTGCGACTTACATCCCAAAAACATCAGTTGCTGCTGCTGCGCGCGGGGTAGCGGTGGGTAATTGTCGGCTGGGCTTGCTTCGAGTCTCTCGCTCCAGCGATTCCTGAACATCACGCTTGAACAGCCTCACAGTCTCTAGGTTCAGCTTGGTCTCTTCGGAGCCCATCTTTAAGCAGAATGACTCCCATTTGTAAAATAGTTCCTGAGGAGCGATCGAGTGGACTCGCAGAAGGGATTGAAGCTCTGCGAGAACATCTTTAGGAAGTCCATCGGGAGAGGAAGCTGCGAAGAGCTCATTGAGCTCCCCAACAATATCCTCCATGGTGACACCGAGTCAGTTCTAACGGCGTTGCGTTCGATTGTAGGAGCAAAGTAAATTCCCCCAGTGCTGGTAATCCGAAATTGGAGAACGCGCGGAGAACGCGCGCCGCGTGCTGGGTACAGGACGGGGAAATTAATTAAAAGGTGACCGCCTTCCCGATTAAGCTATGGGCTCAGGGAAACAAGTCCACGTAAGTACTCCGTCTATTATTATTGTGTCGAACGATCATCCTGTGGGCCTGTCGATCAACACTGAGCCTACTCAGCGCTGAAACTTGCGCAGAAAAGAGCAAAAACTTCCAGGGGAGCTGCCATTGTCTCCAGTCTATATTATGCGAGCCATTGCCCCCTGAAATACTGCCTAGGATACCCTCCATAGATCTGAACTTAATTGAATCGCATACTATTTCTATTCCTTGCAATAATGAGTGCAACATCGGAACCCCCTGTCCCCGCTACGTCAGCCCGCAGCGGTGAGGCAGTCGACTCACAGACAAGCGTGCCATCGGCAATTGCTGAAAATTCCAGTGACACTGTCGAGCAGATTCAGCCTGCAACCAATGGCAAGGATATTGAACTGGAGCTCCCATCCTCAGCGGCTGATGGGCTCATTCAGAAGCCCTTCCCTCGTCCTCTCGACTCGGCCAAGCCTACTCCGTCTGCTGAGCTCACCCCCGACCAACAGGAAAAATACGATTCTGTTCTTAAGGCCGTTTCCGCTTGGACAACAGTACCGACAACGTCTGCGAAGAACGCCCCGACAGAACCCCTCACTGACAATGAGCGCATGTTCTTGACCCGGGAATGTTTGCTTCGATACTTGCGGGCGACGAAATGGAACGTGTCCGAAGCAATTGCACGACTTGAGCGTACTCTGACGTGGCGTCGTGAATACGGCGTGGAAAAGCTGACTGAGGATTTTATCTCAGTTGAGAATGAGACGGGAAAGCAGGTCATCCTTGGATATGACATCCATGCGCGTCCTTGTCTCTACCTTCTGCCGTCGAATCAAAACACTGAGAAGAGCGACCGCCAGATTCAACATTTGGTTTTCATGTTGGAGCGGTTGATTGATCTGATGGGGCCGGATCAGGAGACTTTGGCGCTGATTGTCAACTACAACGAAACGAAGTCGGGCCAGAATGCGAGCGTCGGCCAGGCCAAACAGACCCTCAACTTTCTCCAAAATCACTATCCCGAGAGACTGGGTCGAGCGTTGGTCATCAACAGTAGGTGACGCTCGCATCTCTATCTTTTCCTTATACTGATCTCACTGTGTGCATTAGTGCCCTTCATGATCATGGGATTCTTCAAGTTGATCACCCCGTTCATTGATCCTTTGACCCGGCAGAAGCTCAAGTTCAATGAGGATCTGCGTCAACATGTCCCTGCAGCTCAGCTGATGAAATCTATGGGGGGTGATGTCGAGTTCAGATACGACCATGCGACCTACTGGCCAACTCTGAACCAACTTGCTGACCAAAGGAGGGCTGCGTACCGCGAGCGGTGGGTCCAAGGTGGAAAGCGCATTGGAGAGTACGAGAACTATCTGAAGACGGGGACCAGTCCCAGTCTGGCGCAGAGAGAGACCTCAAATGGCGCTCCATCGGAGTAACCACCTGCGTATCGACAATCCGATATTCGCAGCCACTCTCAACATCATGCCATTTTGCCATCTTACCTGGGCTTCAATTGCATACTAATGTTCACTGCCCCTGCATCTTCTGCATAATACTTCCTAACATATTGTTGAGCTCATCTTATACATATACATCTAGACCGCATACGTTACATCATGCTTGCTTTGTTATGTTCCTCCGACATTCACGAACTGGCGAAAAGGACTTCCGGGTCATTTTGTTTTGCTTTGTTCTCATACACTGGCCCTCAGAGCTGAGCGCACTTGAGCATTTTCTTTATTCCGGTCCAGCAGCTTAAGGGATCTATTTGGAGGCTATTACTTTGTCAAGAAGCAACAGCATATCTTGTATATAGACATGGTTCTCTGAGGACGCACGATGACTTCATATAATAGATCATCATCCAGAAAAGCCCGGCATACCCATACAGTTGCACCCCAGATCTGTGTCACGTGTTAGATGGCGGGGTATCTCTTGGTGGCCTCCGTGTGTGATATCAGATGCTTGGTGGGGGATTCAATTGGTTCGGTCGTAGGATAAAAGAAGTCTCAACTGTCATCCCTGTCTATCCGAGACTGTCTCACCATTTTTCTCTCCTCTCGTTTTCGTCGACTGGATTTGCCCGTTATACGGCAACAGAGCCGTTGATCTACAAACTTAAAAGAGAAAATCAATATTCTTTTGGAAAAGCTAGCTAGTTCTTTTGATAGGGCACTATATTTTACTTCTATATCTGCGCTTGTTGATTTTCTCAATCAACAATCGATATCGCTATCCATGATGAAACCTTCCATATTACTATTATCATGATCTCCTGTATTATTTGTCGTACTCAGCTCCCACTGGTGTTCCCAGCTCCCCTCCGACTTGACTCTTGACTACATTGTTTGTTCTTTGTTCCCTGGTACATTACGTACCCTGAAGAAGAAGAGAGAAAAAATAAAGAGAACTCTGGATACTAAACCCATTTGGTTTTTCATTGAGCCGCCTATTGTACGCTACAGGTAATCCCTCTAGCGTTGCCCCTCCAAACTACATGCAGGTTCCGAGTCATAAGTTAATTCCGGCCTCCTCTCACCGTTGGCCGTGATGCCGATGGCGGACAAGAACCCCACGGGCAGAATCAGACTGCCGCCCAGACCCGCCACGACGACGACCAACGACACTACTGTTGCTGCTCCTTCTCCCGCTTCCCCCATTACTACGACGACTCCAATTACCACTTCCATCCGCAACACCAACAATCTCACCTCCATCCCTAGTCGTCACCCTGTGTCTGGTCACGAGGGAGGTTTTGTGCAGCCCTCCTCATACCTCCGCCCGCGCGGTCTTTCGCATCCAATGCCCCCAACCCAGCCCGAAAGGGCGATCGATCGGGAAGAGCGACAGGGCCTAGTGAGTTTCAATTTTTCTTAGAGTTTTTGTTTTCTTGGTCGGGCCTCTTTTATTCGCCCTAATTATCTCATCTCCGGCTGTTCTTCCCTATTTCTCCCTTCCCCTCTGCTTGGTATTGTGGGCTTGTGGCCCCCTCAGTCCATCATGCTACTATCTCCGAGCACGAGCTGCGATTCCCTACCATTCATTCGCCCATACTCTCCTTTCCGAGCATGCTCAGTAGATATAGTTGGAGACTTTGGCTAATAACTCTCCCTATCGATCATATCTGTCTGTAGCGTGCCATTCGCAACTTCCTCAAAGTCCGTAACAGTTACGATGTCCTTCCGCTCAGCTTTCGGCTTATCATCTTCGACACCTCTTTGTCAGTGAAAGAGAGTTTGAATATCTTAATCCAGAATGGCATGTACTTCCCTTGTTTGGTGGATAGTGCGGTGCGCCGTGTCCCCTGCCCGTTATTCTTCCGCGAAAGGGTGCGACGTCGCAAACGGGCTATTCGATGTTCAGGAGGAAGATGTACTGACGAGGTTTCACATTGCTTAATCAACAGGCATCGTGTCAGCTCCATTATGGGACTCTAAAACCTCGACTTTCGCGGGTCTTCTCACCACCTCCGATTACATCAATGTCATTCAATACTATTTTCAGAACCCCGCAGCTTTGGGTGAAATAGATCAATTCCGACTGGACAGCCTCCGAGGTACGCCACTCACCCCTCCCCGCAATTTAATATACCTTGGACCGGTACTGATAATGAGCTACAAATATAGAGGTAGAAAAAGCTTTAGGGGTTGCTCCGCCGGAGACCATTTCTATCGATCCGGAAAGGCCTCTCTATGAAGCCTGTCGGCGCATGCTTGACTCTCGGGCTCGACGAATTCCTTTGGTTACTAATGATAGTCAAACGGACAGATCACATGTCCTGAGTGTAGTTACACAGTACCGTATCTTGAAGTTCGTCGCCGTCAATGTCAGTGAGACACAGAAGCTGCGCAGACCCCTGGGGGAGATATTGCTAGGCAGCTATGAAAATGTAGCAACAGCATCAATGGATACGCCTGTTATCGATGTAATCCATATCCTTGTGGAGCGGAGCATATCGAGTGTGCCTATTGTAAATTCGGAAGGTATGAGTTTGCCCAGCCTAACTTCTATCCAAGTACTAAAAGAACCACTTACTTCCAGGTGTTGTGTACAACGTCTTCGAATCAGTTGATGTTATCACATTGATCAAAGGTGGTGTATACGATGACTTAAGCCTAACGGTTGGAGAGGCGTTGAAAAAGCGGTCCCCAGTATGTTCTGCTGTTGAAACTCTCCTCTTCTCTAAGGGCTGACATAGGACCTCATTAGGATTTCCCTGGTATCTATACATGCTCGTTGAATGATGGTCTGGATACTATCTTTGACACAATTCGCAAGTCTCGTGTTCACCGCCTGGTAGTGGTGGACGAAAACTTCCGACTAAAAGGCGTTCTCACATTGAGTGATATTCTGCAATATATCCTTCTAGAAGGCGAAAACGACGAATCGTCTTGATATAATCCAGACATCGCGCTAAGGGTGCCTGGTGCACAATTAAAACTTGCATGGTAATGGCGTTTGATTCTACTTTTTTTTAAAGGTCAGTGACATGGTCTATTGTTAAGGATTCGACGGAAACATGGTTACGTTCCAATCGCCCTTCTCGTCTCCCACTGGGGCATGGACTCCTCTCGACTTGCAGTGCACAAGGAAACAAGGTATTGTATGATGATTTAGATTTCTATTGGGTTGGCCCTCAGCTTGTCGGGTTTATGTTCTGCCCACGTATTCAGCATTGGCGTTTGGATTGACCATAATAGATTTTTCTTTTATGTATGGCTATTGTTGTGAAGGTCCCTGTCTCTGTCCGTCAGCCTATCCTCCATTGCCTTCGTTGGAGTATGTATTGTATCTCTTCTATAGTTCTGATGACACTGTATGGTGCAGCTGTAGCCGTATACTTTCATACGGTAAGATGATGTACTCTCATAGAGCTGATGCGTTTAGTTTTTGGAATGAATGCCTGCCACCGGCTGACATATTGAGCAGGGTCTTTGTACGCATTCAGCATACTCCAGAGCAGAAGGAGCGACTAGTACATTCGCCGAAGGAAGTTGCTGCTATGGTCTCTCTTACTGTGTTTCAAGTTTTAGTATATTCGAACTCGACTTGGTGGTACATAGTCCTACTTTCATTTTACCAAGGGGCGTGGTCTACGACTTCGCTTATTACACGCTGCGCCTCTCACTCTTGATATATCTGGGGTAGTAATGGGGCTCTTCAGCCTCTTTTCCAAATCATCCACAAGCGAAAGCAGCGCACAAAAATGGACTCGTGCAGGCCATGCGAAGTTAAGCGATGATCGGCACCGCCAATATGGAGGTTCACCAAGTGATATGAGCCATGATGCGTCGATTGGAACCGGATCAAATCCCGCCTGCGATGAGCAGTCCAGAGAAATTCACTCTAATTCCTTATTCCAGAACAATCCACAGGCGCAGCATGAGCAAGCACCTTTGCTGAAAGATTTCTTGTCTCACATAGGCGCCAATAACACCAAAATAACATCCTTGGACTCGCGTGCCAATTCTCCGCATTTGGTCAAAGGCTCTGGGCGCTTCGTGACCCTCCTTCGTTCCCGCAAGTCTCGACGCCCGAAATCTCAATTTAGTGCTCCCGGGTTCCATGATAAGTATGCTGCTGGGAATTTTGATTGCTGCGACCATATGTGTACCGTGGGCGACAATACTGGAGGCTATCGAAGCGCAAATGGACAGAGGCTACTCCAAGACCACAGGAAACGAATAGGGCCTTTTGAGGATAGAAAGGCTAGCGACAAAACAACACACTCACACAAGTCTGAATATACAAGCGTGACCGTGTCTCATCACCCGTCAAAACGCACCTTAACGCCTATTGCCCTCTTCCATAAGGAAAATGTGCGTCAGAACCTGTTTGGTGAGTTTGTGGAGCCCTGTCGTCGAGTATCAAGCTGCTACCCCCTCTTGGAGCCATCGGCGACCACCACCAGCTCCGCGACACAGGCTAGCTCGTATTGTGGCGACATGGATCCTGAGATCGCTCACATGGCTGGAATGCTTGCAAAGAGCGGAAATCCCTTCGATCAAGAACTTTTTTGCGACCATGAAAACCTATCACTCATCAGTTCGTCTCGAACCGTATCCAGAGACAGCACTTGGTCGTTTCATATCGATCGACACACAGCCGCTGTCGCCTTCAATGAGCTTGCCGCTCGAATACATCTAGACCCACTGGAGTTGGACAAATATGACCCGGGCAAAGAACTTAGCCCGGTTTCCCCAGGTAAATATTCCCTTGGAGTGCCCACTTGGTGTGATAAACCTTTTCTCATGGAGCTACAGTCGATAACCCCAGCCTGATCGAAGACAACGAGCCCCCACGACGCCGCGATAGGGTCATTGATCGGATCCGGGTAATGCGGTCAACCCTACATATGAGAGTTCAGCCCGCCGTGACCCATGCACGAGCGCTGCGTCGGATGAAAACATTTGCCAATTTTTCTTCTCGGTCCTGCGAATTGTCTGTACTGAAAGGCAGGTCTTTGGAGAGCCTAGCTCGACTAGGGGGACATAGCTTTCTGAGCCTTCCAGTGGAGTTTGCACCGGCTACCCTCAGGCTACCGACATGTTTCGTCGCGACTATTTCCTATTTGAAATGCTTTGGTAGGCATCTCCTATTCATACACTACAGGCCGTGGTTCTGGAGTCTACTTACTAACGCAATGATCAGCGTTGTCCACACCAGAAGTGTTCTGTAACGCGGGTGACATGAAGATGGCCGCCCGAATCTACGATTACTTTGCGAAACAGGTGTTGTCCGCTGAAAATGTGCATGATAGGATTGAGGTGACTGTCCGGCGTGGAGAAATGCCCGTAGAATTGATGAAAATTCTCGGCCATGGCGCTTCCCCTAAATTCTCTTCACAGGTTCTCAGTGTTGGCTGGGTGTTCAAGGCTCTACTGGCCGGACTGCCTGGCGGAATCCTGGGGTCGGCGCGCTTGTACCGGATACTCGTCAGCATTTGCTACGGGCGTATCGCGGATAGCAATGGGTGCAATGGCGGCTATGGCGGTGGTCTTTCTCCCCCAGGTCACACGAAGGTGCAAGCGATCGGTCTCGCGGTCCTGGCGCTCACCACGCCAATGCAGCTGAATCTCATCTGCGCCTTTTTCGGGCTCTGTGCGATGCTACTGTACGAGACCGAGCGCACGGGTGAAGTCGATAAACTCGGGGGCGACGTTGGTCGAAGTGGTCTCACCTTGGAATTGTTGAGTTTGGAGCGCCTCGGCTATGTTCTTGGTCCACTCTTGACCCCAAATGGGGACAACGGTGGGCAGGACACATTCCGGGCCATCGAGCGGGAGATTGAAAATCAGCGGTTGATGACGATGTTGATCAGCAGTTGGTGCAGCATTAATCGACAGTTGCGAATCTGGCAGAATCAAGGATCGGTCGCGCGGCGGGGGTCGTTCTTCCGGTTATTCAGTTGGGAGCAGTCGTTGGCCGACGCCGAATGTCACATTGGCGGGTGACGAGTTCAAGACAAGAAATTCATCAGGATAATTCTCAGAAAATTCTTTAAAGAAATCTCATCGTCCTTGTTTGATCTGCTTCGGGCCAAAGGTCACAAGCCCCCCTTCCCTTTCTTTTCTTTTCTTCTAAAAAGAAAAAAGGAAAAAAAAAAAAAAAATTATTTCTCTTGGCATACTATAAACTTCTGGTGTATTCCGCCCTGTAGGCGAATCATAACACAAAGAACGTATCTTTACAAAAAGACATTGAGGGGCAGTGTTGGTGATTAACGATCATCGTCTGACGGGAGTCAAGGTTCGCCAATCGGACAATTATCAGCAGCGATAATTAGGTTCTGGGCTTATGGGGGGGAACGGACGGGCGAGCATGGCCAATGCAGGATGCGGCGTGGTTGGCACAATCTAGACCGTCCAGGCCAAACGATTATATCCGGTTTGCTTCCAATGTACGAAGCATCGGAAGGAGGGAACCGCACCGCTTGGAGCCTGTTATTGGTAAGGGACGTGGCTAAAGGTAGTTCGTTATTTGGTGGAGTCGGCAGATAACACAGAGTACGGAGTACAATCAATCAATCTATCTCATTAAAATGAGGGTCCATTTTATGCGGAGTAGCAAGTAAGCTCTGTCGATCCGTCAACGTTGAATCGTCGGCCCTCTGGTCCGGAACAACTAGTTCAGTCTTTTCTCCATCCTTCCATTCTTGTTTTCGTACTGACCTGGAGCAGTGTCAGTACTTTTCTCTCTGCATATCATATCATATCATCTCCCTCCATACAGAAGTACTCTTGGTACAGTACATACACACATTGATGGTCTACGACGCAGAGTCAAAATAAATGAAGTTACAGATCCTTGGTGCTTGAATCCTGTTTTCGTCTTTCTCTCTCTCTCCCATTTTTCCCTCTCTTTTTATTTTTACTTTTACTTTTATTTGATAATATTTTTTTTTTCTTTTTTTCTCTTTTCCAAAACCCAATTCAGCGCGTCCTGAATATAGCAGGCAAAGGTTATTGAATCACGGATAAATCGGATACGACGGTATGTATACTATGTATGCCCCGTACCGTACATACATACATATCCATACATACATGCATCTCACTTGGCACCAACCAGCTCCACCTCTAGCTCTCTCCATTCTGATACCCATCTAACCTGCTTTTCTAATCTTCCCCGTGCGAGAAGAGGAAGGATTCTTTAGGGTGTATCAGCTATCCGCTATCGACCTAGTATATCAGAGATGAATGCGGAAGACTCCACCAGGGAAGGGCAGTCCGCCAACCAGATGATGTGCTGGACTCCTCTTTCCAAGACAAAGAGCATCTGCGCTGTGGAACCCAAAGGTTTCACTCTTGGCAAGAAGGTGACGTTTGCACCCTGGGTTCCAGTGGCAGTATTTTGTTTTCTCGCTGGTTGGACCCATGGTTTCACTGCCCACCTCTTGGACGGAAGAGAAGCCAGGGAGCTCTGGCCAACGCTGACAGAATTGACTCGACCTTGGTTGGCACCCTTTCTGAGCAAAAGGTCCTTCCTCTCTCAGTACATTGACAAAGTCTCCGTGGTCTGAGGTTCACTGTAAGGTACAGACTCTTTTTTCGTGTGTCTCCACATTATATCATGCCGGATACCTCCTGTTGCCATATCCGACCCCTTTTACCTTTGTCGGAATTGTTGAGAGAATCCATAACAGTCCAAATTGCCAATTCAGGCAGGTAGATAGACTATAGATAGGATGAAAGAGCCTATTGATACCCCATGCAAACAACTCCATTTCGTTGCGAGTGGTTACCAGCTGTCCGACTCGAGTGGTACAGTAAAAGCTTTAGAGTGTAACTGACTCGTGCAATGAAGATTCATGAGTCAATGTACTTTTTCGACTTGTAACGTAATCAATAAATATAATAAGTTTCATTATTATTACTATTATTATTATTATTTTTTTTATTTCTCTAGTTCTACTTTTCTCTACGTTGACTCCTCTTTTCTCATCATGTTGATTGGGGGGTTCTTGTTTGGACTTGGAGATCATGATACACGATTGCTCTCTGGCCACCCAGCGGGCGGCGATCCCCGATTGTCTCCATGTACTCCATAAGTTGATATCACATTCTTGATATAGTAATAATAAAATTACTATTATGATTATGATTATTATTATTATTATTATTATTATTTGATTATCGTCGATCACAGTTGAAGTTCCAACCGTGAGTCGGGGTGCCATAATCTTTTTCCTTGTCTATTAAGTTTGCCAGGTCGTCAATGAACGAGCCGAACGGACACTCGATGATTTCATCCCCATGGCGATGGAGGGGAGTACTTTTGAATTTTGATTGCGTTCGGAGGATCTTCGAGATTTTTAGCAACTTCTTGTTCATTCATGAAAGGTATCGAACAAGCGCTCCAATGCAACTTTGAGACTTCCAACCCCCGGCCATCCATGATGTCAACGACAACCCCACCAGGAAATCCCCATTGGCGCTTTTTCCTCCCCGTGGACCTGGTCCGGGATGAGTAGCCCAACCAATCAAGATTGTCAGGAGTGGTTTGACAGGTTGTTTAATCGCTGGGACGGAGAGTTCGGGAGGAGCTGAAGTCAACCTTGGAGGGAAGAGAAGAAGGCTGAGGTTGAGAGAAGACCTCGAATGTCATCAACCCCAGCTCGTGATCCGCAGCCAATCATGGGTTTGGACTCAACAAGAAAAACAACATCAAGTCAATCAAACAAACAAACATGACCACTTTTCTCAAACTCTCCCATGTAGAAGTTCAGTTCACTTTCAATTCGATTCAATTCAATTCAATTCAATCCAAATAAATTAAATCCTTCCAGAAATTCAATTTGTTTATCTGTCCATCCATCATGATCCGTCGTGGTGTATCCCCATATAGGGAGCTCATTATCCACCTGGTTTTTCTTCCTTCCATGATTCCTCCATAGTTCTTCATTGCCTTTTGCCTCCCCCCTCCTCCTCCTCCTCCTCCTCCTCCCCATCTCGTATCACAAACCTCTTCCAATTGAATCACCCAATTTTTTTTTTTTTTTTTTTTTTCACACCTGGCTTGTGGTGAATATCTCATTGACGGACACCGTTTGAATGCGAGTCATTGACCAGGGTGAATCTTCTCGCAACGTCATCCGTTCCACAGGGTTGCGGTTGCACTTCCACCCAGGCTGGCCCACTTGCCTAGAAGCTTTCTGCACTTCCTTAGCCTTCTCGTCCTTGGAAGGTCTGGACACATGGGCCGATTCCAGAGAGAATCTTCTATCGCTCCAGTGGGTCCCCTTGCCTTGATACCCGGCCTTGGAAAGAGGGCTCCTCGTCTACGGATTTATTTTCCTACCGTCCGCTCTGGTTGAACAACGTCTTCTTCTTCTTCTTCTTCTTCTTTTTTTTCATCATCATCTTCTTCTTCTTCTTAATCTTAATCTATTCCTTTCACTTTGTTGGGAGAAGACCTTTTGCCCATTCCCGTAGTGTCAACCGTGGTAACACTGCCTGTCGGCCACCCGCACCTGCCTTAAAAACATACTCTTTTCCCCTCTCCGCTACCAAAGACCTTCAGCCACCACCTGAAACTTTTCCCACCTGCTATTCTCCTGATATTCGATCATACGACTCCTCTGCTCGCCGGCGAAGAGGGTCTTAACACTCTCGCTGGAACCCTTTCATATCTAATCTACCTCGATCTCTCTCTCTCTATATCTCTACCCCGTCCTTTGTCGGACTCTCCCTCTCTTGTGTGCCTTCTCTGATTTCCAAAGTCTGACATATATTCGTCGTCATCTGGCCCCTCTTAACTGTCGCTCCCCAATCAACATCGACGACCATCCTTTGGGCGTTCATCTGTATTCTTCGTCTCTTCGTCCCACCGCCAAATACCAGTTATGTCGGTGGAACACACCCTCTATAGCCGCGCTCCAGCAGCGATGGCAGATCCCTCCTGTGCCGGCCCAGCTGCCTTCACCGCGGCAGGCGCTTTCTCACAGCCCGACTTGATGGCTTTCTCTCTCCCAGAAGAAGAACCGATTTGGGGCTTCGACACCATCGCACCGTCCATGGCCTCGTGGCAAGGCAAGGTGGACCAACAGGCTTTTTGCAACCCCAACATGGAGAGGGGCCTTAGGAACACTCACGTCCGTAACGGACAACCCACGCCGCCTCCCTTTGATGACAAGAAAATGCAGCCTCCCATGGGGGAGATGTACCCTCTGGCACAATATCCGTTCAACAGCTCACCGCCCGAGTTTACCCCCCCGAAACACCGCAGCAGTCTCAGTGAACAATCGCAGACAGATGGTTATGGCGTCAGTACCCGACGTCGCAAAGCTTCGGCCGTCGATCAGGGGGAGCAACAGCAGGAGCGGGAGAAGCGAGAAAAGTTCCTAGAACGGAATCGATTAGCAGCCAGCAAGTGTCGACAGAAGAAAAAGGAGCACACGAAGCTCCTGGAGACACGGTTCCGCGAGGTATCCAGCAGGAAAGGCGAGCTTGAGTCCGAGATCGAGCACCTGCGCAGCGAAGTGCTCAACCTCAAGAACGAGATGCTACGGCATGCGCAATGTGGGGATGAGGCCATCAAGCTCCACCTCGCCCAGATGGTCCGGATGATCACCTCCAAGGACACCCCCAACCGCGACCTAGTTTCTCCCATGCGATCCCCTGAACAGAACACGGCGTCCACTCCTCACGGGCTGTCATTCGGATTTGACGGTCCCATGCAGCTTCCCTCGGAGATGGGATCGCCGTTGGATCAGCGACGAGACTCGGAGCAGTCCATTATGACTGAGTCGTCCTACGCCTTCTCCACAGATGACAGTTTTGATGAGCTGATCAATGTTTAACGAGTCACGTCACTAGCCTTTTTATATTTTTTTTTTTCCTTTTCTTTCCTTCCTTTTTTCTTCTACTTCTTCTTTTTCTCTTTTATTATCTATTATCTCCTTTGTTTACGATATTGCTTACTATATCGCTCTTTTCTCCCTGCATCTCGGTAATGGTGTCCGATAAAAGCGACTTGCATAATGCCCGGTTCCCCCCCCCACCCACACGCACACACACACACACACGAGAAATGAGATGTCCGAAATGTTACGAATCTGACCGAGTTCGCTGCTTTGCTTACGATGAGCTTTGGCGTTTGGAGTTTAATGGGATACAGGCAGTTCTTACGATTCGGAGCCTGGGCGGATTACTCTAGGGGAGTTGCTTATTACTGGCTGGCTGTATTAATAGATGTTGGAGGTCGATGTACCGGCCTTGCATTGCTCTGGGGCATCTGGTTGGTCACTCGTTGGCCTCGAGGGGCATTGCTATTACGATCAGATGTATAATACCTTCAGGTGTAGCAAAAATGGAAAATGCCTGGCAAATTGCATGACCTCTCGTAGACAATGTCATACTTGGAGTAAAGGAACCACCTCGCCACAAATAATAATAAGCTCTGGATCTGCATAGACTTTTCCCCAGGCTATGATCGATCGTGCCACACATTACATCAGACTTGATATCAGACCCAGCCCGTGAGGCAAATCCTTTTGATGGTGGCAATTAGGGCCAGGAACGGAGTCTATCTCCGGATGATTGTAACTGGCGACCCGTGAACCATCGTTGAAATAGAATTAGATCCCTGAGAGGGCTGAACTGCACCATGAACATTTGCTAAACTTTCCCTTTCTTTTTTTTTTTTTTTTTTTCTTTTACTTTTTTGTTCCATTGGCGGATATCCTTCCTCCTATCAAGCGGTCTTTATCCGCTTCCCTTTTTCACATTATCTAAGGTACTATGTAAAGTTCGGGGTCCCTGTTCTAGTGAGTTGCATAACGTCAGTTTTTACGTCAGTTGGTCAACGTCAAGCTTTTTTCTTTTCCAAGGGGCAAATGACAAGAGGCAAATTGGGGCTGATTTAGTCTTTACTGAGAATTTTATGGGTACTTGGTATGTAATAGGTAATAGGTATTAATTACTACGTTAGGAGGGGGAAAGGAATAGAAGGTATGATTCGTGAGGAATGGAATTGGTTTTTGGGGGGGGTATTGTGTGCCCATGGGGGTTGGTTTGTTGGAGATGAGTATGAGTATGTTGTATGTATGTATATACTATGTGTAGTATATAGTAATAGGTATAGAGATGTGGTAGGCAAGGAATATCCTTAATACCCTTTTAGTATTTTCCATGTAGTATACTCCTTCTATTATCCAAAAGAAACACAATAGAAATAAGAATAGATATGGAAATTATAGTAGTATCAATCAATGAATGGCATAATTCTCAAATCTCAACGCTATATAAGTTATACCAGCCATCTCACTGTTAGCATAGGACTATCACTTTAAATAGACGTGTCAGGATATAAATTTACTATTTACCCAGTAATATAATCATCACTAAGGTGGAATAGTACCTAGTAGAAAACCCCATAATGAGTCTTACTTAACTAGTAGCCTGTAGTTAACTAGCTATTGTACAGACAGACAGATGTATAGATACTGAGAGGTAGATAGAATGCTACTGGGGAGATAGATAGAGAGATAGGGCTAATCTCACCGGAAAATAGATCCAGGCGGGTATGGTATGTATCCATTGGTCCGAGATCCCAATTTCTAACTAGTATAGGATAGTAGTAGTCTACTTTGACATACAGTTATCCCTATGCGGATATGCCCTGTAGATCATTATTCCCGTTGTAGCTGTTCCACTGTGTCAACACGCATGTACTACTCCGTATGATACTCCGATCTGGAAGAGATCTTACGTCTAGAGAATTGGCAACTACGTCACGTCGCCTATTACCATTCCGAGTAGGTACAGTAGTATGATCCAACATTATCAATCAGGATCTGTATGACTTCATAGGTGACAAGCGGGATTTGGCGGCGTTTGGTGTGGGGCTTTTCTTTTTATTCAGTAGGGGTTTTGGTTTACCATTGACGTACTCCGTAGTTGGGGCTGAGCTGAGTTAAAAATTCTGCTGCCATTTCATTAATTGATTGAATTGATTGTAGATCATGAATAGACTAGCTGGGCTGACTTTTGGGTTTTTTTTCTGTTTGTGTGTGTGGTTTGTTTATCTTGGTGGCGTTGGGGTTAGGAATTGAGGGGTTTCATTGGTGTTTGGATCTTTTTGGTGTGGATGGGTCTAGATTCTGGTGGATCTGGTGGGTTATGTAGGTCTAGTTTTGGGTCTTTTTTAGGTAGTACTATTGTTAGATACTAATGCAAGATGACGATGTTTAGATTGATATTCAGTATCAGTGATCTAGTGCGTCTTGTATACTGTAAAATCATTCTCCAATAGACCCGTACCTCTCACCACCCTCTCTATTCTCATGTCTAGAAGAAGAAGAAGAAGAAGGAGAAGGAGAAAGAGAAAGGGAAGAAGACCCACCATCACTTCCCTTCCCTAAACAAGCCTCACCTTCCTCATCTGGTACAGTCTGCTCAAACAACGCCTCAATCTCCTCCAAGCTCCTCCCCCCGGTCTCAGGCAGACAACCCCACACAAACCCTGCAATGACTAAATCAAGCGCCCCAAATAACAAAAACGTTGCCCATCCCATCCCCGCCAAGATATACGGCGTACTCGCCGACCAAACGAAATTACCGAGCCATTGGGCGGCAACGCCAGCTGCAACGCCCGGTTCGCGGATGCGGGTGTTGAAGAGCTCCGCCGTGCAGGGCCACGGGAGGGGACCCCAGGAGAAGTTGTAGGCTATGATGTCTAGGTAGATTAGGGCGACCGTCAATATTCCTGTGGACTTTATGCCATTACTGGTTGTGTGGGCTGGGGTAGGGGCTGGGTCAGATCTGACGACAAAGGCAGTGGAGACCATGCAGAGGGACATGGCCAGAGCGCCCAGGATAAGCAGCGGTCTTCGGCCGAAACGTTCGGCGATCCAGATTATGAACGCAAGGCAGCTGATTACTTTCAGGGCGCCGAATATCCCCGTTAGGAGTAATGTGAGGGACTGGTTTGTGCCACCGCCCCCCACCAACAGAGAGAAGAACTGGGGACCGAAGTAGGCCATTGCCGTGGCTCCGGTGGATTGCTGCGCGAGGAAGAGACTGATTCCTAGCAGGAAACGACGTGCATTGGGCTTTTCCAGTAGTTCGCGTACATGGAAGTCTGCAGTGGCGTGGCGGTCGGCTTCGATACCCTCTTTGATTTGGGCGAATTCGGCCGCGATGGCGGGCCCGGAGGATGCTCGGATCCAGGTTAGACTGGTCCAGGCGCGGTGGGAGTCTCCTTGGCTGAGAAGCCAGCGAACGCTTTCGTCAAGACTTAGCATGCCAAGGCCCATTAGGGCGCCGGGGATGAGTTGTAGGGCTAGTGGGATTTGCCACTGGGCGGCGGTGGGGGCGCGGAATTGGATTCCGTAGTCGATCCAGTACGACACGAGGATGCCTACGGTGAACGTGAACTGGTAGCAACTACCTAAGCGGGCGCGCATGTCCGTAGGGCTCATTTCAGAGAGGTAGATGGGGATCACCGTGGCGGATCCCCCGATCCCGAGTCCGCAAATGACCCGGCCAAGGTAGAAGACTGGCAGAGAGTGGGAGTTGATGACCTCGAAGACGACCCCCAGACAGAAGATGGCCGAGCAGTACATCATAGCCCGTCGACGACCATGGTGGTTGGTGATAGGCCATATTGCCAGACAGCCAGCCAGGGCGCCGGCCTGTTGGATCCCCACCGCGATAGCACTCACGCGGGTTTGGACCTCAGGGGTGCAATGAAAATCGCGGAGAAATGAGTCGAAGGTGAGGACACCCCCTGCGGATTATTAGATAGATCTGAAATGCACGCCATGCTAAAACCAACCGATGACGCCCGAGTCATATCCGAAAAGTATGCCACCGCAACAGACAATGGCTGTGAGCCAGTATATGCGGAATACTCCTTGTCGCGACAGGAGCTCAGGTTGTTGCACTGTGGTGGGATCGGTAAGATCCCATTGCGGGATCTGTGCGTAAGACCTCATATTATTCCATTTCGCCTGCGGGATTTCTCCTGAAAGATGATATGCATCCCCTTGTATAGGAAAAGAGGAACAAACGAAGTACGTACACTGACTACCCAAAAGGGGATGCAGCTGACGTCAGCTGATGACGCCCAAAAGCGACAAACAGCCGACAGCCGATACGCAACGAACAGCCCTAATGGCGCCATATCAACCAGGAAATGATATTCATTCATCTGAGGACCTCACTGGAGGTGGCTTTCAAGCCCTCCATTCAGCTTGCTTCTACTCCAGATAACATCCATACCCCTGGGGATCAGACGTTTTCGCAAAAGCCGACAGCCGACAGACGATCGGATACAATCAAGATACATAGTTGTAGATAGAAGTGATAAATAAAGCGCGCTCTGCTTTTCTGACTGGGATGAGATCTCTTTCCTCTTTAGCTTACATTCTATGTACTATTAACAGACATCATGGCTCCCAAGCGCCCTAACTTCCTCGTCGTCGTTGCCGATGACCTGGGCTTCTCGGATATAGGCTGCTTTGGCGGCGAGATCCGCACGCCGAATCTCGATCGCATCGCGAAACAAGGTGTGCGGTTTACTGACTTTCATGCTGCGGCTGCATGCTCGTGGGTTTCCTCTCATGACATTAATACTACTTCCAGTAGAATAGAACTGACCAAGATATAGTCCCACCCGCGCCATGATCATGACCGGTACAGACCACCACATCGCCGGCCTGGGCAACCTCATCGAATGGACCAACATCTCCGGCCAGAACGGCCCAAAAGGCTCCGCGATGAGCACCGCTCCCCAGCGCGGCATGCCAGGCTACGAGGGGTATCTCAATGAGCGCGTTGTGGCACTCCCCGAGGTCCTTCGTGACGCAGGCTACCACACCCTCATGTCAGGGAAATGGCATTTGGGCCTGACGCCCGAGCGTTCGCCATTTCACCGCGGCTTTGATCGCTCTCTAGCCCATCTCCCTGCTTGCTCAAATCACTACGCTTATGAGCCCCAGCTACAGGGCACGGACGAGACACCCACTTTCCTGGAAGCTAGTTACATCGCCCTGCACATGGAAGATGACAAGTATGTCAAGAAACTGCCCGAGGGCTGGTACTCATCCGATGGATATGGCGACAAAATGCTCCAGTATATCCGTGAATGGCACGGCCGCTCCGATGAACGTCCTTTCTTCGCCTATCTCCCCTTCACAGCTCCACATTGGCCCCTTCAAGCCCCTCGCCAATATATCGACCACTACCGCGGTGTCTACGACGACGGTCCGGAAGCGCTTCGTCAGAAACGTCTCCAACGTCTCAAAGAACTAGGCATGATCCGCTCAGACGTAGAAGCCCACCCCGTCGTTGCAGACGAAGTCAAGCCCTGGTCCGAATTCACGCCAGAGGAAAAGAAGCTCTCCTGCACCGCCATGGAAGTCTTCGCCGGAATGGTGGAGTGCATCGATGCCAACGTAGGCAAAGTAGTCGATTATCTCGCTTCCATCGGCGAGCTGGATAATACCTTCGTCTGCTTCATGTCTGACAACGGTGCTGAGGGCGCTGCCTACGAAGCCTACCCCATGGTACAGAGCGGTGTCATGCCCCATCTCCAGAAATACTATGATAACTCACTCGAGAATCTCGGTAATGGTAACTCGTTCATCTGGTACGGGCCCCGCTGGGCCCAGGCTGCTACTGCGCCGAGTCGATTGTACAAAGCGTTTACCACGGAGGGTGGTGTCCGAGTGCCATTCTTAGCTCGGTTCCCGTCATCTGTTTCTGTGGGAGATCATGTGCGCAACGGAAGTATCACGGATCAGTTTGCGACGGTTATGGATCTTGCTCCGTCTATCTTACAGATGGCGGGTGCGACGCACCCGGCGCCTTCGTATAAGGGTCGTGAGGTTGTCTCCATGCGTGGTCGCAGCTTTTACCCCTGGGCGAGTGGTGATGCGCCCCGGATTCATGAGCAAGAGTTTATCCAAGGTTGGGAGACCTGTGGGAGAGCGGCGCTGCGCTTCGGGGACTGGAAGATCGTCTATATCCCCAAGCCGAAGGGCCCCGAACGGTGGCAATTGTACAATCTCGCCGACGATCCTGGGGAGATTCATGATTTGGCCGACCAACATCCCGATAGGTTGAAGCAGTTGCTGAAGTTGTGGGACCAATATGTTATTGAGACCGGAGTAATTCCGCTGAATCCAGACTTGGGAGATTTCCTGGAGGCAATGGAGGCGCAGATGCCAGAGAATGCGTGGATGGAGTATGATTATTGGAAGAAAGGGGCCAGAGATGAGCCTGAGAAGTTCATGAGAAGCCCGCCTAGGTTCCAGAGAGTTGTTAAACAGTTTTAACTGTAGATCAGTTAATGTATATCTCTGTACGAATGTCATGATTAATGGATATTGTACGTGATTCGGTTGTTGAGCTTCACGTCACGATGTCGCGTTATATAAGTACGAAGGGGTCTACGAAGAGTTCTCGCCGTACAAGGCGTGAATCTGCCCACGTTCGAGACGCATCCTGGCGCTTTGTCATCTCCTCAAGTAGCTGCAGGATCTTCTTCGCGTTGGGATGTCGCTGTGCTACGGGGCTGTGATCACTGGGCAAGTCGGCCATGCGCTGCATTTCCTGTATAATCCACCCTCGTTGCTCTAGTGAGCCTTCCAACCCGGCCACAAATAGTGGCCAGGTAAAGCTGATTGGCAGGTGATGATTCTCACTGCTGGACTCCACCGTGGCCAGCTGGATGATCTGGCCCACCGCGCGATGCACCCGGTCTGTCCGCGGATAGATAACAAAAGCCACTCGGTGGAGATATATGAAGATGGCCAGGAAATTGGCTATATACTGGCGAAACGTGCGGCAGACTTCATCTGCCACAGCTGGTTGAAGGGTGTTATATAGTTCTTCTGGCTTGTCATAAACATCTAATACCCGTGGTCGTTTATTCCAGAGGGCTTCTAGGTCGGCACCGATCTGGTGCGCAACCTGAAGGACTTCGAACTCATCGCTGACTGTCCCACGCCTGCGGTGATGCATGTCGAGGCAGACAATACGGCGGATTACTTGTTGTGCCTTGAATAGGAAGGAATATGCGGGGCCAGTAATGGCATTGTGTATGAGATAGCCCGGTTGTGAGAGGAGCTCATCCTCTGGTCGTTGATCCATCTCAGCAGTGCCAATTTGATCCAACATCCCTAGCTCAACAAGCGGATCCCCATCACGGCCAGCAATTAGCGCTCTAACATCCAGCAAAGAGACCCATGAAACTATCAAGTGGCCAAAACCGGTCCATAACCTGGTTCGGTGGTGGAAACGCTGTAGCAGCAAGTACGCTGAATGGAGAAAGGACGTACTAGAATCCCCTAGGTCTGGCAGTGATACTAGCTATACATGTTTAGCTCAGTACGCATGCTAGGAAACACCTACATACCTCCGACAGTATAAGCAGGAAAACCGCCGTCAATGTCCGCTTCAGTAGCGAATCATCCATACTCTCAGTGACACAAGACTGAATCTCCGAGCTCGCCTGTCGATGATACACCGGGGCCGCTCTCCACCGTTTGCCTTCTCCCATTGACTTATGTATATCGGAGTAACAATACAACGCATTTAACAAGCAGCTAGTATCTCCAGAATGCGAGATAATAACGTTGCGTACATAATTCCATTCTAGGGCAATAGACCCAAATGTCGTAGGCGGCGGGTCTATCTCCGCAAAATGAGACAGTAGCCGTTCTTCGTAAGTTTGCCGCGTCTCGGGCCATATACTTCTATCGCCTGAGAGTACATTCTGTACCCCATCTGATTGACTGTCGGAAGGGCTAGGAAGTGTCTCAGGGGATGTATCAACAGTCCAAGTCGGCTGTTGCACTATCTGGTTACTACCTCCAACATGCCCCGGCGTCGTTGGAGATAGCGCTTCACTGGTAAGATTAAATGCAGACACACCATTCGTCAAGTCGAGATGTTTCTGTTCGAAATCCGATGTAATCTCCCCAATAAAGCCGAGCATATCAAAACTCGGAAAATCAGGAACTGAAACCGACGTTGGGGGCAGGGTATGGTCTACCACCTGGTGAGGCAAAATATGCGATGCCCGACGAGGACGCAACTCACGAGGTTGCAGAACTGTGTCGAAGTAGTTGACATCCAGACGATCTGGAACATGAGTGGGGGCCGGGTCGATAGTGGAAGTCTGCTGAGGAACTTGGGGTATTCTCTGGATACTCCGTCGGGATGTAGTTCCTGGAACAATAGTTTTGTAGATGCATTGCAGCCGTAGTCGAGTACAATTGGCACAGGTTGGTTTGGCCTCGTCGCAGCGGACTTTACGTGCGCGGCACGTCAAACAGCCGGTACGGCGGCGGGGACCTGATCGGCCTGTTCCCCGTGCTTTCGGAACCTGGTCTTCATTAGCTATGGGTTTATGAAACATCTTGCGGGGGATTCACCTCCATAGTTGGCTGTGGTGCTCTGTAGTCATGGTGTAACGGATGCAGTGTAGGAGTTGAAGTTGAATTAGTTTCAAGAGACTAAAGATGGACGGCGCTTCCCCGCAATTCGGCAAGGGGCGTGATTGGCAGATCGTATAGTTTTTTATACTAAAAAACGAATACAAATGAGATATAAAAATACAGAAATAAATTGGGGTTGCTAAGTCCTTCTCATGCATTGAAATTTCAATGTTTTAGTTCTGTGTTTATCCTACGGGTGATACAAACAACCCCGACCATATATGCATATAGTTGTTATCATCACATCATATGTCACTAGAGGGCAACTCCCGACCAGAAAATCGCAGTTTATCACCTCCAAAGCACTTGGATGTATGCAGTAAATGCCCTCTCTCCTTCCGGACGTAGGCTGCGAAGCATATTGCTGCCATCGCAATTGCCCCGTAACTGATATACACCGGATACTTGAACTGCTCTGGCAGAGGGAAGACGATGGTCGTTGCAAACGAGAATAGTTCGAAGATATTCTGCAGTGCCATTTCCGTAGACGAAAAGCGGGCGCGCGCATGTTCGTCAACGCCCTATAACTGTCAGTAGAGAGGCTAGGGCTCTTTCAGGGCCGTTACTTACCTCCTGGACGAGAAACTGCACCGATAAATCAAATCCCCAAAGCCCGATGCGACTTAGAGCAACGCCCACAATGAGACTCACCGCAACGAGCTGGGAATTGTCGTCGAAGAACGCAAAGGCAGCAATCGCAGCGGCTAAGCAGGTGAATTGCCAATTCAAGAACCACAACCCAGATCGAATGGGTCCGATTTTATTCATGATGAATGGGGCTGCCCATGTCCCCGACAGTTCTGCGGTCACGGCACCAATCCTCATGCCACTAACTTGCAGAGAGTTGAATCCGGTGTGAAGTAAATAGGTGACCATCGTAGTCCCAAATGAAAGGACGGTAAGATAAAGTAAGCTAAGGGCAAATGACGCCAGAAAGAGAGGACTTGAGACATATTCGCGCCATGGGGCAACTGCACTTCTAGCGTACTGCACCGTGCTGTGGGCTATGCTGCGTTGAGCGATTTGACCATCGGAGGTTGCTTCTTCTCCTTCATTTTGATTCTCATCGGTTTCCTGATTTCGCACCAGCTCTGGCACTGATTTATATACCTATGTTTTCTGTGAGTGGTTGCGACCGAGTTAGAATGAATAATGGGAAGGTACCTGGGCAATTGCAAAATATTCTACCAGAACGCATGAAGCATTTATGCCCAAGGTCGTCCATATCGCACTCCGGGTAGAAAAGCTATCTATTAATGAGATAACCGCAGGAGCGAGAAGCTTGCAGAAGAGATCTATCCGTCTCATGGATGCATTCAAGTCTGACTAAATGTCAGTTCACTAATTCGGGCTACTGCAGAAGATCTTCTCACCTTGTCTTGGGATTTGTAAAGCATCTGATACAACGATTGCCTTTTAAGAATTAGAATATTTAGTTTGACCTAGATAGTGGAAAGGAACTCACCCAATCTCTTTCCACCGCCACAGTGTTGGCTGTATATGCCAGTTTTTCGAAGCACGCAAGCAAAGTGACCACGGCGAATAAAAGCGGAGAGATATATGACGGCCCTAATGGGGTCAGAAGCGCCGCAAAGCACGCACAAGATAATGCCACGGGAAGTCGTTGCCATACTGGACTCTGGTTAAATACGGGATCTCATAGCTAAAGCGGAATAGAGGATAGACAGAGCATACTAATGGACTGTCGGATCGCCTTCAATCGGTCCGACCGATCTACCACTGAGCCCAACCAGGACGATAGTAGTACTGCGGACAAAGAGCGCACCAGTGCATATACGGAAGCGTAGAGTAAAGTGCCTGGGAAGATCGAGGCCAGGAACAAGACCGATCCGAACTCAAACATGCGTGAATTCCATGTCGACAGGCTGTGTGAGATGTATAATCTTATAAGCACTGGCTTTGAAGCACGTATTGGAGTCTCGATAGACTCGGATGAAGATGACGGTGGCAGGAATGGCTCCGCCTCATCTGTTGAGTCCCCGCGAGACATGAGGTTGTATCTTCAGAGATGACGAATCTATTGACGAGTGGCCCTTCTTTTCTTTCTCTACCTCCTTCCTTTTCGTTCTTCTAATTCATTCTCGACTCGCTACATTTGAAGACTGAGTCACGGAGTTTATGGCGATGGTTTTTGGAAGATGAAACACACCGAAGGAGCGGTGGACTGATGGATGTGAAGGTCCCGGACCGAAGCGCATTAAATTTAATTTATCGATAACTACAATAAATCCAATTCGTTATCTGATTAGATTATGACTCCATCTTTCTCACCCAACCAACAATAGTCAACCGATACACTCTCGGTCCTTCAGTATATACAAGTATAGACAGAACAGGAGGGCTGGATCCACAAAATGATTACTTTAATACCATGAGATACTTCTAGTAGTCATTCATACCCACGGAGTACACACATCCTTTCACTAACAATACCTAGACTCCACCTCTTCCGCACGGATCATTTTACTATGGATGGAATTCAAGGGTCAATGAATGTACGCTCAAGGACAGATCTGATTCGTACCGTCTAGCTCCTGTAGTTTTATGAAACACACGTCAATAAAATTATACCCATTGTGAAAACCTGACAATCAAAAGTACAGAGGAATTGAAAAAATCGCCGTTTACTACTTTTCTTCCCTTATCTATTCCCAACGCAGACCCTCGGGAGTCTGAACAGTCCGTCTGGCCAACACTTCCGCAACCTTCTCCCGGACACCCTCCTTGTTGCCCCATTTCTGAACGAAGTCGTTCACCGTCTGCTGCTGGGTCTCTGTGTTATCGCGCACAAACTTGGCAATGTCGTTCTCTGTGGGAAGGCCATAGTGGGCGTGAGGATATTCATTGTAAGTGGTCTCACTGAGGAGTGGCAGGCGAGACTCCTCCTTGGGGATCTCAAAGAAAGCATCGACATCCGCCTGGGAGACTTCCTGGAGGGTAGCGGGCTGCCAGGAGGCCTGGCGGGGAGGCTTCGACATGAGACGGGCCTTGACACCCTCAACGAAATCTGGATGTTTCATGAACTTGCCGGCAATATGATGCTCACGCTGGAAGGTCTCGGAGATGGACCACTTCTTACCCAGACGCATCTGGCGCAGGGTGACCCTGAGCGAGGTGGGGGAGCGAATGGATAGAGTCTCCAGGGTCTTTTGGGCCCATTCCTTCTGCTCTGTTTCCTTCTCCAGCGCCTGGAAGATTTCTTCCACGGTGTTGTACTTGAAGCATCGGTCAATGGCGCTGCGCAGGCCGCCAGCAAGAAGCATTGGCTCCTCCGCCAGCGACGGGAGACCAGTGGAGAACTCAGCCATAGTGTTGTTGACCAAGTCCATACGTTCTTTGACAGTAGCCTGATCCTGGAAGACCAGCTCGGCCAGACGGTTGGTGAGGTTGCTCAGCACGCTAGAGTGGAAGTAGTGTGTGGCAATACCGGCATAGAGAGCCTGAACGCCGGTCAGACGCTCCGAAGTGAGGGCGAGGTAGGTTCCGATTTCGCCGTCAAGACGGGGCAGGAAGAAAGAGCCGCCAACATCTGGGAAGAATCCGATGGTGGTCTCGGGCATGGCGAAGACAGTACGTTCGGTTGCGATACGGAAGGGGGCATGAACACTGAGACCGACACCACCTCCCATGGTGATACCGTCCATGACGGAGATGAAGGGCTTAGGGTAGGTTGCGATGGTGTGATCGAGCTGGTATTCCAGACCGAAGAAGTCGGTTGATTTCTGCTGCCCCTCAGGGCCTTGTTCATTCTGCAGAGCGAGGGCAGCAACGTCTCCGCCAGCGCAGAGAGCCTTTGAGCCTGCGCCAGCAACCATGACAACATTTGCCAGCTGGGACTTTTCCCACTCCTATTCAACGCTTAGCAACCATAACTTTTGTATACCCTTTCGCCAATGTAGCTAACCTTCAGCCGAGGGAGGATCTTCCGAGCCATTGAACCGTTGAGGGAATTGAGCTTCTTAGGGCGGTTAAGCTCGACCAAGCGCACTCCGTACAAAGAGTTGAACAAAACATCATCGGGCTCATCGCCGGGTAACTCTTTGGGAAGGTTCGTGGAAGTTGACATCTATAGTGACAATCGTTAGCAATCGATGCATTAAGCAATGAATGAAGGCTCAAGTCCATACTGTGGCAGCTTTGAAAGCTGGGTTTGTCACTTTGGCGCGGAGAGGCATGGTTGCTGGTGAAACCCGCGAGATCCAGCTCGACGGTGTTGATAACCGGGAGATATTGTGTCGGAGCAACATTAGGCAGACCTTAGCCTGTCGGATGAGAAGGGGAAACAGATAAAGGGCGAAGAGAGGGGGTGTATTAGTAGTATCAGAGAAGCTCACGGTTAAAGACGATCTCCGCTTCGCTTGACCTCGGAGTTTTTCGCGGCGGACGATTTTCCTCGCCGACTGGAGCAGCCGAGCGTCCTGTAAACAGCTGATAGCCGGCCCATTTACCTCCACAGATCCATTTTTGAGGGGTTCTCTTGGTCCGATTATACTTTGTAAATTATTAGTTCTCTCAATCAGTACTAATTCAAGAGCGGACTGGATCTTTTTCCAACTATAGGTTGTAGGAGTAACTCATTCCCTATGCATATCCATATCACACGATCAAAACGACACGAGAAACGAAGCTTGTCTGCTTCTTCAGGTCAAATTACAAGTGACGATCATACATTGCTAGATTCTATTTGTACAGATAACAGTTCCTTAAAGCCCAAAAAGTAACATCCATTCGCCCGTCGACAAATCAATACAGAGCCTTCGCAGGTTTAGTGGCCAAGTCCCTCGAGTGATTAGCCAGGATACGGTCCAGCGCCTGCTTCTCGATAATCAAACGTCCCGTTTCCAAGAGGTCCTTGACATCCACATCCTTGCGGTCCAGAATCTTCGCGTGTTCGCCCACCTCACGCACCGTAGCAAAAAGACCCTCATCCGGCTGATCCGTGATCAGAGTCGACCGTCCAAACTCGCGGCCCCAGTTGTTAACTTTGAAGATTTCTTTAATCAAGTACGGAGTAGCGTCTTCCGGGATCGAGATGTCGTTGTCGATAATGATCAACTGGCCGCGTCGATATCGATAGCTGAGAGCTATACGCCATGCCTGGTCGTAGACCTTCTGAGGAAGACTCGTGGAGAAGTCTCGAGGGTGAGGACCGTGTGCAACACCACCTCCTTTACGGATGGGAGATTTCTTGTCGCCAACACGTGCTTTGCCGGTACCTTTCTGCGCATGCAGTTTCCTGCCACTTCCGTGCACATCGTCCCTCCACTTGGTGTTCGCCGAACCTTGTCTGGTCATGTCACCTTCGTAGATGACGGCCCGATGTAAAATATCCTTCCGCAGGGGCATCAAAAGATGGTTCCGAGGGTATTCAACAAAGCGCAATGGTTCCATCGAAGGGAAGGAGTAGGTGGTCGCCCGCGCAGGCTCCGTAGTCCATACAGTTTGGGGGGCTTCCCGGGTGAGGTGTTCGGTAGTGGCTTGAGATTCTGTAGCCATTGACCGTGAAAAGGACTTCGTAAGGCATCGTTGCTGCGGAAGGTGACCATGATTGTTAGAGTTGACGTTATAATAATTGAAATGAAACCAGGAACGTAAAGAGAACAGCAGCACATACTGTAGTGGTCTCAGACCCGGAGAGCAATCCACCAGTGCTCCGGGAGAGCCATCTTAAAGCACGAAGAGCGTCACCTCCAGGCATTGTGCTGTCAGCAAAACTCTCTGAGGAATGTCGTGACTGGGGGGGAGAATGGGGTTGCCAAATGGACGATGAAGCAAAAGTTCAGACGGGAGGCGCTAACCCGCTGAGGCTTGGCTCCGACAACGAAAAAAGTTCCGTCCGGCAAGGAACACCTACTCTCTCCGACGACTGTACGAGAACCACCTCGCCTTCTTTCCTTACACCCTTTCCCACCAAATCGTCTCCGTCAAAATGGCCCATTGCGAGCGGGCAGCAAAGCCTTTGCTCCAATGTCTTCAGAAGTCCTACCCTAGAGCCCTTCCGACCCTTCAGGTGCAGTCAACCCGGGCCTTCCAAACTACCGCTCTTGCTCGCGAGGAAGCCCAGGCTGAACCTAAGAGCCAACCTTTCCACAAAACGCCCGACCCAGCGCTTGTATCGAGTCCTCGATTGGAACGAAGATTATTACGACAGGGTATTTCGCCCATTGGATCTCGCAGACGTCGCGCAGCTTTGCAAAGCTCACCAAATGTTCCCTTCGAGCAACTGCCCTACCAATGTTTCCAGGAGGCACGGAAGGTTCTCCTTGCGGACCGGGAGGAGAAATTGAAGGAAATCGTGTCCATGAGGGAGAAGATCGCCAGGCTTCAGGCTGTCCCTGCGGAAGAAGCGGGAGGCGAGCAAGTGAAGAAGTCGCGACTGGTAGCCATGGAGCTCCATCTTGAACGCCTGAAGATTCTTGCAGACATTAACGACCCATTGGTGAAGAAGAAGTTTGAAGACGGACAGGGTGAGGATTCCCTTGTTGAGATATCGCACATCTACGTCTGATCCTAACCAAAAGTTGATTGCAGGCGATATGAGCAAGCCCATCTACCGTTATCTGGCCGACAAGAAATGGAGGGAGTATCGCCGCAAGATCCTTGTCCAAAGAATCACGCAGATGAAGGTTATCCCTGATGTCCTTCCTCACTGCGACCCTGTCGTCGACACTAAGCTCTATTTCGGCCGGTCGCCCGTTCAGCCCGGAGAGTTCGTCAACTCCCGCGTCAGCACATCTGCACCAAAACTTGACGTGCAGCTCTTCGAGCGAGGTGAGAAACTTGTGACGATCGCCGTGGTCGATTCCGATGTTCCCAATGTCGAGAAGGATGGGTTCGACTACAGAATGCATTATCTGGCGGTCAATGTACCCATCTCGGCTGTCTCCACCAAGGTCGATCTGTCCAAGCTCTCGTCGGAGTCGCAGGTCGTCCTGCCATGGCTGCCTCCTGTTGCTCAGAAGGGTAGCCCCTACCACCGTCTGTCGGTTTTCGTTATGGAGCAGAAGGATTCGAAGCCGCTCGATTTCGCCGCCGTCAAGGCCAAGGAGACGACCCGCGACAACAAGCTCCTCCGCACCCTGCAAGCCAGGTACCACCTGAAGGCCATTGGAGCGCACCTGTTCCGTACCGAATGGGATTCGACGATGGCAGAGGTCATGAAGGAGAACGGATACGCCGAGGTGGACATGGAGCTCCGCCGCAAGAGGGTCGAGCCTCTGCCTTACAAGAGGAGAAACCCATCTACCTTCCGGTAAATGGTTTCCCGCTATATTTCCCTTTCCGGTTATTCTATCATTGGCCTTATATCTGTACTGTACAATCAAACTGTATGAATATGCACAAATATCCCACAACTCCAGACTCCGCCATAAACCATGCTTGTAGAGGATACACTTAGTCGTCGAGCTGAGCCGGCTGCATCGTATTCTGAACCCATTGCGCCTTGGAAAGCGGCCAAACACGGGCAATGATCTTCCCATTGATCAAGCCCATGGGTATAGGTCCATAGTTTCTCGAGTCCCTAGACCAGGGAAGGTTATCACCTCCCACGTACACATGACCCTCAGGCACCTAACATCAAAAAAAAAACCCCCGTCAGCCACGCCGTACCACCGCCCCAAGGGCATATCATGAAGAACAAACCTGAATCATCTCCTGACTCTTCCCAGCTTCCGTACTAAACGGTAAATCTCGACAGACAAAATCCCCAGGCATCCCAATGACCCTCTTCGCCCCATTCACCCCCAAAAACGTAGGATGATAAAATCGCACCACATCGCCGACCTCAATCCCCCTGCCATATTTATGCACCCTCGATATCAACAAGTAATCGCCTCGCGGACTGAACGTGGGGTACATTGACGGCCCTTCACTGAGCTGTACCGTGATGAGATGCTCCCAGATAAGCGTACAGGCGCAGAAGAGTCCCACGCCATCCAGTGTAAGACGGAACACCCCGCCAGGTGTGGCCCTTCTCAGAGTTTCTCGAAGTATGCGCGACATTTTGCCTAGCTGGACATTTCTGGTTTGAATCTGTCCCCCGTTCGATTTCAATTACCAATTTACTACGTATAGCGGTTGCTTTGCTCTGCTACTCATTCTCCGGTGGAGCTTCGGGATGGTCACGTGGGGAGAGGTATAAAACTGCGGGAACTTTTTTTTTCGGCTTCTTTTTCTTCTGTTCTTTCTTGACATGCAAGACTTTCGCACAACAATGCCCGGTTTTTTTACGGGGTCAATTTCGTTCGCCCATGTTTTATGTGTTTTGATGGATGGTCGAGGGATATAAGTGCTTTATGATTGCATTTATTCTTCCCTTGACGGTCATTCGAAATCAATGGTCGTTGGTTTATGTTGCCAATCGCCTATAGTGTCTTTTTCCTCTTGCATGATATGATACACATCACAATCATACAGATATATATCTACATCGCTTCTAAAATTGCTAGAGCTCACCGTTGCCGAAATTAAACACCAGAACGCGTGAGTGTGGACAGTGAAGCAAGATGAACACATTTCGTCCGCTACGGTGGTCGATTCCCTAAACGATAGCCCGGCTTGGACCCCATTTAACTATGGGAATGGGAAGCTGGGTGGTAATGCCGGGAGACAACCTTTTTCATAGAATCAATATAGTCTTCCTTCGTTCATGACTTGTCAACTTCGCTTCGATAGGAACCATCATAAGCAGTAACCTACTTCTTCCACGCAACATCCGCCTCTACAACCCCAACGTCAGCCATACACAACCCCCAGAACAAACCAGAAGAGAAGAAGGAAAAAAAAAAGAGGAAAGGGAAAACTCACCAGAATCAATCTCCCACCCCTCTGGCCTCTCAATGCCGCTTCTAACATCCCTCTTATGTCTAACATCAACCCCAAACCTCTCATCCCTACCCTTACACAACCCCTCCAACCCTCCCTCATGCACTCTCTTCACATCCTCATCCCTAGTAAAACTCCCCATAAGCACCGGCGGCCCCAACGGCACCGGATCCCCACGATCCACCTGCCAAAAATGATACGTCTTGCCATACAACGGCAATATATCTCTCATCTCGGCCGTCTCGGCCGTCTCCCATACCGTCGAGGGAACGCCAGACGGCGCAGGCATGACTAGCATACCGCTCTTGACTTCGTATTCATGGGTGTGCCAGAGTTTCTTTTCCTCTGGGGGTAGAGTCGAGAAGAGACGCGGCGTTATCATGTATTCTACGCCGAGGAGTTTGGCGTTGCGGTCCGGCGAGGAGTAGAGGAGGCATTGTCTTAGGTCTGTGGTTTTGAGTATCATAGGGGATTTGTCGTTAGTGTGGGGGTGTAGTGTATGACATTGGTATAGGAGATGATGGATGGGGTGAGTATATGTATGGACGTAGGGATGTACTGTACCTTCTGTGATATGCGAACAGTAGTGGTTTGCCTCGACGCAGCGGGCCGGGTCGTCAACGTAGACGTGGAAGGCGTTCAGATGAGCGCAAATTTGTTTTACAGGCGTGAAGTCTTGGACAACTGCGGCGCCGGTTTCGAGGATTTGCGATTTGGTTGTTTTGGGGTCGCCGGGGGGGTCGTTTTGGGTAGTCATCTTTGATATGAGCTTGTTTGGGTTGGGATATGGATGGTGATATGTATCCTGCAGTGTGGTATTGTCGTGATGTAAAGTGTGAGTATGAATTGTTGGGACGTAGATGGTTTGTTTTGGTGATATATAGTATATAGATTCAGCCTGACGTCACGATGATTGAGGTGTTGCTGGATCATGGATACCTTCTCGTGTAGGTTTGTATTCAGGCTATTAGCGGATATTGGCCTGGCCTGGCCTGGCTTATGGATCAATTTACTATTTGTTCATGTGGGAATGTCTAGTTTCCTGCCCGGATATTTGTCAAATTCGTCACCCCCAACGCTCACCCATGCTACTATTTGTACATACACCACAATCTCACATTCACATCGCATTCTTCATCTCCCGCAGAGCTGCCATCACCTCTACGGGGTCTGTCTTTCCGGTCTTTTTCTGGATCCCGGGGTCCTAGATGTACCATTAGCTTTAAAAAATCCAAGATGATCTAGGAATGAGGAGAGGTCCTACATTGACGCGCATGAACACGTTATGGAGCTAAACATAGCTTGTCAGCCGCTGCTACACATAATATAACTGATTTCTGGGAAATACCTTCTCATCACCAATCGTGAACTTGCCCTGGGTCTGCTGGTTCTGCTCTGCGAAGGCCTCCAGCTTCTTGATAGGCTCTGACTGCGACACGGCAAGACAGAACTTCACGTTACCTTTGGTATACTCGTGGCCGGGCTGGTTTTGTATTAGTACTCGACCGAAAAGAATAGTCAAGAAATGCAACTTACAAAGACCTTAGTATCATCTGGCAAAGAGGCAAGCGTCTCGTTCAACGCCTTGTGCATTTCGGGGGCAGTGCCTTCAAAAAAGCGACCACATCCTATAGCATATAAGCATCAAGCCAAGCTTAACATAATTTGAATTCTCGAGGAGTTTCAACTCCATACCTCCAATGAACAAGGTATCACCCGTGAAAACGACACGTTCCTCGCCATCCTGCATGAAATAGCAAATGCTATCTTGAGTATGACAGGGGGTATGGAGAGCTTTTACGGAGATACGCTCTCCAATCTTGAATGTCTCACCATGCGCCGGAGTCTGCGTCACCGATTGACAATTCTTACCCCCGATAACAGGGAGTTTGCCAAAGATTTTGAGCTGAGACAGTTAGTCACTACTTCCGGGTCATGGGTAGGAAGAGATTAATCTCACTCACCAATTCATTATTGCCGCCAGCGTGATCCCAGTGGCTTTTACGGTCAACACAGCTCATCCTCAAAGGGATCGCCGAACTTACTGATGAGTGTTAACAATAGCTGTCAGGTCAATCTTTCCATCTTCAATTTGGCTCTTCAACACCGGTGCTACTCTGCATTTATCAACGCATGTCAAACAACGAATACATGTTGAGAACAATAGCTCACTCTGGCGGATTAGCCGGATCAATAATTACAGACTGCCTAGTTGGCTCGTCCGTCACCAGGTAGGCATAGTTATTGCCCTTCCCCGTCCCTGCGATGGTAAGCGAGAAGAACTACATAAAAATTCAATGTTGATATTGACAAGTCACTCACACATCGGAATCGATTGGATATGCATGGCTCGGATTTGTTGCGCTTCGGCTAGTACAGAACGATTCTGGACTCTAAATGGAGAACCGATAAGGGGTCGGAATAATCTTGCGAAGCTCATGGATGATGAGAAGTTGATTTGAAATCAAACGAACGACGGTGGATGCGGGGAGAGCTTCTGTACGATGATGATTGGGGATTACTTCATACCCTCCTTCAGCCCCGGCTGCGCTATTCCGGATTGGGTAGGTCTCCAACAAACCGTACAAAAGATATATACTCCTGTAAATCCATAGGAATTTAGAGCTAAGTATATAATCAAATAGAACCGAGTCATAGTCTTAAATACAGAAAGTATACTCAACTTCATTCACGCCTATCTCAGGATCTATCTTTGGATTTAAGGAAGAAGGAAGGGCAATGCCAGTAACATACAGCATAGTTTCTGGCCTGGTTATCGCTACCTCGATTGTCTCATTCTTCACTTGTCGCAGAGGTTGCAGTGCTGACGTTCCTTATCATTTACACAAGATACATAAGTCAGCCCAGTCCTTACCTCAAATGATCATAATCTTTGGTGTCAATGGTTACAAGGGGATCTCAATGACTAGGCCGTATGCTCTAGAGCACTGGTACTTTCTCTTGCGAAACTCGTTTCTGGCCCACGATGCCCCATGATTGATGATGGTGTGGTCATTCTTATAACTACGACGAAAGGATATTTGATCAAAGATCGAAAAGAACGAAAGTTTGTTGAGTCATGGGCAAAAACCATGGCCCATCCACTGCCGTAGTCCAGGACTCCAGATATGGTTATGCAGCAGTTCTCTCTCTTTTGTCTTCTTTATTCCCTCCCCTATATGGCCTTCACACCATACTGTAACATATGCAGTTCTACCGATTACTATATAGAATGATTTTTTGAATACTATCAAATAAATAGCTCAAGGGTATAGTTAATTAACTACCAATGTATACTTCAACGCAGATAGCAATGGGCCACATATCTGTAGAACAATCATTCAACACTCCTTCTCAAGCGCCTTACACGTACACCCCATCCAACAGCTCTATACTCCGGAGTAGAATACGCATAAAGAACGACTCAAGTGCAAAAGGACAGCAACCCGAAGTCATCCACGAGGCACTAACCTAGAGGAGCTTAGTGGAAAAAAAACGAACACAATCAATCTTCGGCATTCGATGACCATTTCAGAAAATCTTCAATTCTCAAACTCGATGAATCTGGGCAGTGTCAGGGTGCCTTACCTCTGACAACATCCTTCCAATGGATTATCCATTAGTTCAGGGACCGACATAGCCTCGCTCGTGCGGCCATACGCCTTCGGTCACCCTCCGCGCGCGCACAGGCTCACATCCACACACACACATACATACACCGCCCATCTCACCGTCGCAGACCTCCCCATTCTTCATTCCCCGTCGACGGGGTTCTTTCAGCCCCCATCGCTCGAGTGCGGTGAACTGACCCATCCACTGCATCTGTGCATGAACACAGTGACGATCTGATGAGATGGCGATGTGGGTGGAGGAAAGGGCGTGTCGGTGGCTTAGGTCCGTAGCAGGATGGAGCGGGAATATGGATATGATAGCCCGTCTTGGGTCAATCGGACAGCTGACAATGGAATCCGAACTTATTTCTCTCTACACGAGGACGCAGATAAACACGATGTGTCTTGACAAACAACGGTATGCGGTGGTTTACCGGCTGCACCACTGGTATCGAGGAATGGGGCACTACTAGTCTTCGTCTACTCTTGTTGGGGGGAGGTCAGGCCATTACGAAGATACTTCTGCCCAAGGCGAGTGATTGAGCAAGTCCCGAACATCAATGCTCGAGCATGGAGAGAATGACACCGCAGATGGGGTATTTCGCAGCGGTGGACCAGATCCTTCGAGACTCTCGGGGCTACCATCAACTGCGTTGATGACCATGGCTGAATAGCATTACACTGTGCGGCGTATGAGCGACATGCTGCTTACAGGTCTGAGCTAATGTTGATGCACGGAGTACGAATGGAGGGGAAATCCGCCCAGGCGCCATCCAGTATCACCTGCTGTTAAACGGTTCGCAGCTAATCATGTGTTTCAACATGAAAACCGGATTCGGCGAGTATCGTAGAACGTTCGAATCCATCGGGATTCCATTGTACAGTACATAGCAATGCCAAACTCGTATTCGACTGAATCGCTCGGCAGGATTCGTGACCTTACGGGAGTTTACATGTCGCATGGACTCAATAAGCAGCTGCCGGTGATGCAAACCACAAATCGGATCCTGTCAGATAATAACAGTCTAGAGAAAATATCAATTCACGGAAGATACGATGATAGGTTGGACATTCATCCGTCAATCGAATAGCATCGCATAGACAATCACAGATCTACATTAAACGCTTGACCTACAGCTCGCTCACCAATCCTTACTCGAGCGGGGTTTGCTCCTCCTCCTCCTCCTCCTCCTCGGACCACAAAATATATAACCAACAATCATATCGAAACCAGCAAACAAGAAACGAAACCACCTTACCTCCACCCTTACCAAGCCAACAGACGCCGTTGCTCCATGTATCAGATATCAAGACAGCCAACCACATACGTAGATAGCATCTCACACTGCAAGAAGGGCCCTGCACTTAGCAAGGTAACAAGGCAGCACAGACAACAAGTAAAAGTAAAGTAGAAAACAACAAATCGGATCCTCCACAGCGGGCATACATATGCATATTCATGCCAATACTACTTAGTAGTTCGCCTCGTCCATACTACTAAACTATTACCGCCGCCCCCCCTCCATGCAGTCGACATCACACACGTATCATAACAAGAAATGTTGTCCCCGCACACAGCCAGCTAAGGCCTCTCTTTCTCTTCTCGTCTCAGCATACATGTGACAGCCATCTTCTCCTCCTGATAAAACATATCCCAAGTTCCAGATATTACATTTATAATATTAAAATAGAAAGAGTCTAGACAAATATCTCCCCAATAAAAATCCTGGTGCCTAGACAAAATGTGGCTATGACATGCCATGACACGGGGCAAAGATAGCAGCGATATGATTGATGACTTACGCGGTCATCTGGAAGCCTGAGCCTGAGCCCGAGTCTAAGAAAATGTATGTACATGGATACAACAGTTCCATATCTCCTACCTACCGACATACATAACAAAAAACAACCCAGTATAATCGAACTCAACCTACCCATGGATAATCCGACCACGATCAGCAACAGCTAAACTAGCTAGCTGGCTAACTAACTCACTAACTAGATAACTACCACACACATCTTCCCTAGCTAGCTAGCAGTTCGCCACACGACACGTATGACAGTAAATGACCCGCGGGACTTAAACTAAAGCAACCTCAGCATCTGAAAACCGAAAAAGAAAAACGGTCATCAGACAAAAGTTTCCAATGGAACCTGCATAACCCACCCTTCCCCCCCGCCAATTAACCCACGTATGGGATAACTATAGTATAGTATAGTTATATCAAATCCAAGCCAAGACCTTAGGTAGGTGCAAAACCCGAATAAAAATGGAATAGTTTCTAATCTAAATCAATTGCACGAACGATTCCTATTCATCCACCCAGAAAGAAAAAGAAAAAGAAAAGCAAATAAAAAAAAGTTTAAGCACGATATCAAAGTAAAGTTCAATAATCCGATCCCATAGTCCGTCTCAAATCATCGTTCAACAACCCATAAATGAATCATAGACTACGTAGTAGTGCCCAGACTCGACGAACTTAAGAAGAGTTTCTATCTACCCGTAAGCTAGTCTAGAGAGAGCTAAAACAGATAGATGGATGGAGGGATGGATAGTCACTGGTTTTCTCCCCCCACCCCCCACCAAGTCCACGGAAATAGTTTTATGGAAGCGATCATCCCAAACGTGCCAGTTTGCCAGCCACCGAATAATTCGAGGCTCCACAGCCCTACTACTAATAAAATAAGCCAAGTATTCCGCGGGTCCCGTACTAAGTGAAAAGAAATATATTTTTTTTATTTCTCTTGGAAATACGAATATATTCGATTCTTATTTTGATTGGCATGGGATGGGGATTGTTATTTTTGCCTTCCCCCCCCGCCCCGGCTCAAGTCGTACTGTGGCTAGTTCTAGTTGATCACTTACTAGGTAGTAGACTATCTCCGGAGGATTTTTTAAGCAACCTTCTTTCTAGTCTAGTCTAGTCTTTTCTTGTGATTCATTTGATTTGATTCATGTAAGCAGATGAAAGGAGAATGTTGAAACCCAGCTAGGGCTGCGAGGTAAGCATGCACGCCCACACTTCCAAACAGGACCGCTGTTCTGTTCGATATGACAACATCAGATTCAATGAAATTGAATCGTGGTCTTTTCTGACATGTTCCATTACTTCCAGAGTTAGATGAGTTAGATACTGTGGTTAGTTTAGTTAGCCCGGCAGGTTCCCCATATAATTCAAACTTAGAAAAATTCAACAGTCATAAGCCCATGCACATTTTTCTTTCCCTCTTTAATTAGGGATAAATCTAAGAATACTCTCGGGGAAGTTACAAAGATTAAATAATAACAATAACAATAACAATAATAATGATAATAATAATAATAAATAAGGCCAAGTACCGAGACCAGGAAATGAAAAGCAAGCGGGCCCAATCCCCAACGGAAGTAGCGGCTATCCGGACCCAGATTTAGACTCAGGTCAGCCATGTGGCTTTCTTGTATCCGTAACCTAGGCGAAGACCTCCATTTGAGACAGAAAACAGTAGTCCAGACGAAGGTGCAGAACATGGATGGAGACTGAGACTGGAGAACGAGAGGTGTGTGCGAGACTCTCAACAGTGGTAGACTAAGAGATCATTACTCGGCCGATGATGTTTTGCCCAAGTTACCGCTGTGCTTGGACGTATCTGGACTAGGTTGGGTGAAATTGTTGTGGGCTGAGAAGTATCGGAGTATAGAAACGAATTGTTGATGGCGGTGGATCCCTTCTAGATTTGGATTTTCCTTGGAGTATACTACCTCCGTCGTCCGTTCCTCCCGGAGGGCGATAGATAGGCTTGCGACTAGACGGACTAGCTATCGCTTGCTCTTTACCTGTTGAGGGGAATGGTGTGTAAGTGGTCTAAGGTACACCCGGCACAGGGTTGGTTGGTGAAGTTAATGCGCCTAAAATCTTGGCCCCTTTAGTGGGAGAGTGGAATTCGGGTCCACTTAACGGTCAGGCGATTTGGAGTTATTGGTTGTTGGGGCAATTTTTTAGTGGAGCTGGTCTTGTGGGAATATTTGCCTTGGAGATATCTGACTAGAGCTGTGGCTACGGGTAACTCAGGACAGGGCGTGAGGAGTCCGTCAGTCGGTCTTCGGGGAGGTGTGCGGAAACAGGAAAAAAAGAAAAGAAAAAGAAAAAAAGAGAGAAAAAATTGCAAAGGCCCGAATCCCCACTGCAAGACAAACTTTTGCGACTGCAATACTTACATTCTGCCCCGTGCTCCACTTTGATCTACCGTGACACTGCAGCTCAGGATCTTAGGTACCGATAAATATATGTGGCCCTTTTGACGATATTGCCTGTTTCGGGTAAAAATCAGTGGGGACTCCGACTATCATTCATCAAGGATGGGTCGCAGGTGCATTTGTGTCCCAGTAGTATCACATCTCCTGGGATTGGACTCCCAGTCGATCTTTCCGTTGATAGGGGGATCTGTAGGAAGATCCAAAGGGCATGTAGTACGGCATTGGTGACATGGCTAAACTGGAACGGTTATGGGGGAAGATGAAAGTGGAACGCACTTCGTATCCCTTGACGAAGTCGAGAGGAGGGTCACCCGCGGAGACATTAGTATCTGTCTCGAAAGGAGGGGTGCTGTGAACCTGTGCGAATCAGCTATATTAAGTATCCAGTAGATGAAGCGCCGGATGCAATCACAGAGCCTGGTGGGAAAAACCCAAATCAAGAAAAAAAGTAAAGGTAAAAATAAAAAAATAAAAATAAAAATAAAAATAAAAAAGAAAACAAAAAGAGGGAAGAAAGAAAAATTACACATAAGTGATGTGCACTGCACTATCACTCTTACTAAAGCAGAGGGACTCCATCCCGTTAGGACACTACTCCGTAAGGTCATGTGGTTGCATCTCAATCTTTGTCGGTCGGTATGTGCGGATATCCTGCATATAGTCATTCCCATGCCTGAGTCACACTTGTGGCCTGACTTTAACTCAGCCAGTCCTAGTAAGTATGTAACTCTGGCTCCGGTATTTTTAGTTCCTCTGTTCCGACTCCAAGGCGGCATTACATAAGGTGAAATATAACCTAATCAGGACAGAGGTAGTACTAGGGTTCCAGACCGTCTGTTCCGTCGACAAGCCCAGCATCGAAGACTGCATTCTGACTGGTTGACTGCCACCATAGCACATTGGAACCTAACGAAGCACTGGCCACATTTTGTGATACTAAACCCATGGTACCTACTTTGCCATGTACTCTAGATCGGAACCCATGCAAGCGCCCAGAATGCTGCAGCGTGGTAGGGTAGCAGCCGCCGAGTTATGTGGTGCTGGCACCATGCATCCTGAATATTTTAATATATTTAGAATCCTGCTTTCTCTTTCACGTAACTTCGTTAAAGGGGTCACAGTCTTGATCCCTCCTCCCGCCCTGATTGGCAGAACAAGGAGCCCACCTACACTGGTTCCATGCATGCAGGTAGGGCGCATGTATGTAGGCCATTTGACTCATGGCCACCTGCAGATGCGTACAGAAGAGGCAGTTTTGTTTTTCCAGTTCCTCAGCTCGATGACATTTTTCTTTTTTTTTCTTTTTTGTTGTTGTATCGAAAGCAGTGTCCGAGTCGATAGGAGTATTGTAATCTAGTCGCCTGGGCTACTAAGGAATTTCTCAAAGCGAGGCGTCGCGGGTCTCTCGCACCGCATCTTCCTGCGACCCACTCCGGTAACGTTAGTAGCCACTTCCCCCCTCCGTATGGGACGCTCGCCTGTGCTGCACAGTTGACTGGATCAATATGGGCCAGGCATTGTGGCGCCGGGACCTGGGCACGCGGCAGTGCATCGAAGGATAGCCCACAATGAATGAGTGCGGTGTAATTAGTTGCTAAATTTTTTTTTTTGCTGCCCTTGTATGAAGCCCCAGGTTACTAGCATCATCATAAGGGCTAGGCGGGAGGAGCCTGCCGTGTCACATCCACGCGTTGCCGATAAACTGGGTTCCCTGTTCGGCTGCAGCCTGTTCGAGATTACGCTTGTTTTCAGCCCGTTGTAGTGAAGGTGGCTGTGTGAGTGTTATTGTCTCTCCCCAGGATGACTACAGAATGAGGCTTAAACGCCCAGAACTGGTCTGTTTTGATGGGATCAGTGGACGAGAATCGAACATCGCATGAGAGCTGCTCCAGAGGGGGTCGAACCGCCAATGACGACGCCGAGTGGCATCGTCGATATCAGATTCAGATTGTTCCCTACCACGGGGACCTCCAAAGTAGGGGCTGATGACATGCCACTAAGGCAAGCCAAATTAATTAGCGCCAATGTGTTCTATTGTTCTGGTGGGGAATTGAAATTTAGAGGCGCTCGGGCCTAAACCAAGGTTAGGTTTCGATGAAAAAGAAAAAATCAAAAGTAAAAAGCCAAAGTAAAAAAAAAAAAAAAAAAAAAAACTTAACAAATACGGAGAACAGCAGGTGGACAAGCACGGACACCGTTCAAAATTAAGAACGGGACAATCAAAGTAAAATTGACACCAACCAAATTCAAAGCTGAGTTAAGCCAGCATGATCAACATAGTAAGTAACAATAAAACCGGCAATTATAGAAAATACGAAAGTGAAAACCTCGTCTGAAGATCCCTACATGGGCTGAAAACTTTCTCCGAAACCCAAGCGTTGTTTAGTTTGTTGTCTCGGACGGCGACCGCCATTTCGCATCACCCCCCAAAAGTTGCTGGATTAAGCGTGGTACATTAGTTTTAGGCGGATGGAGAGATCCAATTCCTAACGACAATTGCAGATAGTACTTAATTTATGCTTTATACTCCGCAGGATTATTAGTTGTATTATTAATTATCCGGGTTCGGTTTTATTAGTTGGGTGTAATAATGGGTGAACCTTTTGTCTTACTACGACTACTATTAATATTAACTATAGCATTCCATTCTTTGTCACCGTCAAGACCATGAGATTTGATATGTAAATTCCCAGGATAAAGGGAGGTTCAAGATCAATCTCCGCCATGTCTTTCAACTGGCATGTATGAACAGGTCCTTTCAGTCTTTGCCGTGGTTTGGTATAGCCGGAGTCGGTAGCAAGGGTGACCAAAAAGTGGCGAGGGGTTAAGTTTCCTTTTTTCCCTTGCCATCTTTGGGAACAGAGCTTGAGCTTACTGATCTTGATTATCAGTGGGAATTTGAGACTTCTCAGTAAGATATTTTTATTTTAATATTATGTAATCCTTTTTCTTTTCTTTTAAGTTATTGTTATATACATCATGGCGAGTCATACCAGTTGCCGCTCGCATAAAAGGAAACATCACACTCACTAGAAGGGTACGCGCCTCGTATGCAAACGGAATGGGATATTCTTTGTTGGAAAGAGATCGACAGATACGGAGTCGTGTCAGCAAGAAAAAGGAAAGAAGAGGGTACCATCAGGCTGGAAAAAGGCAGAGGAGTAGTAGTAACAATTGTAATAATAAAAAATATTATTATTAATAATATTGACGGCAGTCATACCAACGTAAGTTGGCTTCATGATCATGGCTTAAAAAGGATCCGTCCGCGAGTTCCCAAATCCAAGGATCCATTAGCTTACCTCCTGCCTGGTCGAATCCCTGTTCGCCCTTGACTTCGCTCCCGTCCATACGGAGATAGGGAACACAGGTGAAAAAGGAAAAGAGGGAAGAAAAAAAAAAATAAAAAATAAAAGAAAAAGTGGGGCCTCTCTCGCTTTTTTATTTATTTTTTTTTTGGTCCCTCTTCGCCTGGCTTTAGGCCCATCATAGGAGATTTTGACCCCTGACCTTCTGGAATTTTTTGTTCTTCTCTTTTTCTCTGTTTTTCTAGCCCCTGCGGTCAAGTGGGTCTGCACATGTGTCCCGGTGGTCTTCCTCCTGTAATCTCCGGCTTCTGATTTGTAGGACGGGTAGACGATGATCTCAATTGTCCGATTAGTCGTTTTCGATGATGTCGATGAATCTGCAGTCCCGTGTGCTGAATATTGATGGAACGGTCGTTCAAGTTGGCACAGAAGATAGGAAATCAGACCAGAAAAAATTTTACAAGTAAGAAGATGGCAAAGATGAAGATCCACGAACAGAAATTAAATTGGAGAGAGCATAATGAACCGCAGAAGTGTTTCCAACGCATTGTCCTCCCCGACCTGCTGGGTTCGGGGAAGTAAGCTAGGTAAGTTGCCTATCTCAAATGGCCGGAGAGTTGCTTCTTCGGGCAAGGGAGAGAGAGGATTTCCATGTCTAGTCGCTGACTAACTTGTGATGGGGGGCTTCATGATAGTACAGGTACCGAGTCGATCCTTTCAGTTAAGAGAGGCGACCAGGAACAAGCGACCATTGATCGTCTCCTTTTCCGTCGATGATTGTTCAGTCTTCTCCTGCCTATGACGTTTAGTCTATTTTCCCAGGTGGTAGAAACGTAGTTCGCCAAGTACTCTAAAGCACGGAGGGGGGTTCCCTAGGTATGTACCCTGTATACAAGTGATTTAATATCCGCCAGCGTCAGCTTACTTTGAAGCCACTGCACTAGTGACTTAGTACGGTACGTACTAAGAGAGGTCCCTTGTTCTGGAAATGGTCTCCAGTAACCGACGAGGAATCCTCCGTTCCTTGGTGGTGATGGTGTTGGGCTGGGCGGATGGATACTCCATACTTCATACGGAGTACATACCCGCATACGTACATAACTTCAGCTGCACTGTCCAATCCATTTGTCTATTCGGTCCGGTGTGTGGTGCAGTTAGACTTGTCATAATACATTATTGGCGCCAATTACCCCGTACCGTAGTCGTCGGCCATTGGCCTGGCACAAGTCTGATACAGATCCTGTGCCTTAGCTTCCCCCCCACTCCGGGCGGTCTCGAGTTTTCTGAGCAAATTTTGTGTTGCCTTGACCTGGATGTTGTCATCTCACTTCCCTTAGCCGAGCTTCCCGTCGTTTTTCTTTTTCTGCCCACTTCTTTCCACACCGACGATGGTAGTAGGGTTTATGAAGTGGCGATGTACCCAACTTGTGAGAAATGTATGTGCGCGGCCGATGGCTATGAAACATGTGCTCCACCATCCACATTCAGAAGGCAGCGAGGGCTAGATTTGAGGCATTATTAACTTCATTCTCGTCGTCGTTATCAGGTCCAACCGGTCGGTCAGGTGTCATTTACTGTAACCGGTAATATTGAGGCAACTGAGAACTTCCGAGTGATATGTGTATCACCAAAAGTGATTACTGTTTCTTTATTTTTATTATACATATATATTCATTCACCACCAAAAAGGATAAGAGAGGTGTTATATTCCCTTGTTCGGTATTGATTGATGGTGCCAGCTGAGTCATAGTCGCCTCATGACCGAGAGTGTATGAAAGGGGAGATTAATTACCTATTATTGAAGCGGTTGGTTAGGAACAAGCAGGGTGGTACTGCACCTAAGAATAAAGAATGGCGGGATAAGCGCCCGGCAAGGCCGAAGGGTCGATCTATGACGAGGGAAAGAGAGAAACGGAAGATGGCCGCGTCCGTTGTGATCTCTCTCGTCTTGTCAAATCATGTTAAAGGACACGATAATGGACGTATGGATTCGCAATATCGAGGAGTAAGACACTACCTTACTGTACCAAAGCAACTTTTCCCGTTTCTGAAACCTTAAGGGTAAAATTGAGTAAAAAGGTCAAGGCTGAAAGGATGCGAAAGGAAGGACAAGGGCTCTGGAACATGTCCACATTATTGTAACCCTTGCGTAACGGCGTTGTAACTTGTGACGCGTTGGAAACGGTGAACTTGTGGGGACAATCAACGGGGGGTAGACTCGAAGGGGGGACGCTGAGCGGGCTGAGGAGTAGGAGCGTAGGAGGAGGAGGGGGTCAAAAATGGGCAATGGAGTGAAGTCGCAGGGGCTTTTTTGACGATCGGGTCGGATCGTGGGTCAGAACTGTATGTATGTATGTGCCTCTGCCTTACCCATCAAAAACCGTGGCTAGTACCGTTCTATCGTACTCCGTAATACACCGCATTCTGTGGTGTTCTTTCCCCCCTCTTCTCTTTTTAAGTTCTTGAGTAAGGGTAGGTGAGGTCCGGCGGTATGTCCACTTGGTATGCTCATCACTGGTTAGGTCGTCAATAGATGATTTACTTATTAGTCAAAAACGATGATCTCGTCAGTTGGTCTCGGTCTGGGTCCTGGCTGGCGCACATACTCCGTACTATGTATGAGTCGACTACTAGAGTACAGAAAGTGTCCCAATGAATTGGGACTAGTCCAGAGTAGGATTTGAAAGAAAGTTTGCCAATGTAACTGATGACGGGGAAGAAGACCAAGAAATCAGGCTTGGGAGGAGTTACAAGGGTACATACCTTAGTATATTCTTTGTAGGTACGTGCATTCATACAGTAGTGTCAGGACGGAGTTAGTAGGGTAATGAGGAAGTGAGTACCGTATGTATGTACATGCTTAGGCAGGAGGCAAAAGGGTCAAGTAGTATTGTACGGATACCATACGTAATCCCCCCGTTTTAGCCCCAGACTTAGTCAGGTATGGGGCTCTCTCACTGAGTCTTTCACTCTCACTCTCACTCTCACTCTCACTCTACTGAAGTTTGGGTTAGATTCGGCATGTCCCAGACCACATTTAGCTGTCCTTTTTCTGGTTCCTTCGTTTTCCCTGCCGAGTTCCAGTTCCCTGCCTGGCCCGCCAATCACTTTGCATTGTAGACGATTCCCTTTTGGAGTCACTTTCAAATTAAAACCCAAACCAAACTAAAACTCATTCATTTTATCGCCAATAATGGGTCTGATCATCCACCGTCAACATTATTCAATACTCTTGGTTCTCCACCACGACCAACCATTCGTTCATTCCCAGGATCCCAATACCATGGATCCCGAGGAAGTCCAAAGTGTCTGGGTCAAAGACGGATTGTCGTTCCAGGTCCCCATCTTTCCAAACGATGACCATGTGAGGGTACAAATTGAAGATTTTAAATTAAAAAATAATTTAAAAAAATTCAAAATTAAAATTCCCTACAGCCACCACCGAGTCAAAGTGGAGCAAACAACCGTGTGGCATGGGCACATCTGAATCATCACTTCTCTTCCTTGCCTTCCATCCTTTCTTGAATACCCACCAGCTAAACCTCTTTCGATGGGTGTCAACGTTGTCGGATGTCATGCTAAAATTCCCAACATGCGTCCGCTAATCCATCCTCAGTAATGGGATCGTGGAACTGGGGCGGATGGTAGATCAAGCAATGCGTTCCACTTGTATTACCTGCTATCTTTTTTTTTTTTCCTTTTTTCTTTTCCGTTTTTAATTTCCATTTTACTGACCGAGGGATAATTAAGTGTTTGAACTATTTGGGTAAGAAGTTACTTTAACTACTACCTACCCTTTAGTCTCATACATATACATACATCCATACATCCATCCTTCCCTCCATGGATCCTATGTATTGACTTCCTCCGTACCTTACCTCGAAGCCTTGTGACCCTCACACCCCCCTGTGTCATCTTTGAATGGAAAAGTCCCGATCTTTATTACAGATCCTTTGATCCTTTGCATATTGCATTCCTGCAGTCACCCATGGGGCTTATCCACACATAATATTCCCTACATATAAGCCTACCAACCCTTTTCTATCACGGGTCTCCCTTTCACCCTTCCATTTCATACAAATATGTATGTTTACATCTACCATTTCAACCCTCACACCTCAAGCTGATTATCTCTCCACCGCTAGCCTCCCTCTTCTTCACATACACCGTGACTGTCCATCTTCTACTGCTTTCAATGGCCAATTATATCCAGCCCCAAGTCTCTCAGCCGGACTCCCACTGGCTTCAGACAGACCAGCATTGTATGCCGTCTTCCAGCTTCCGTGACATGATGTATGCTTTCCCTAGACCGAGGCATACGGGTCGAGTGATGAAGCCTCGGAGTGCGGGCAACAGTCCCTCGTCTACTGGCAGATGGAGGGCAGCGGCATCACATGGGTCGCCAATCTATCAACCAGTCCAAGCTCAGTCGTATCAAACTCAGGTCAATCCTGCTCTCCTGGCTTCCGCTCTGAGAAGGAGGCGAGCAACGGCAACTCGCCCAATCAGTTGGCATCCAGCATCACTAGAAACTGCTGCGTATTCATCCCCGCCATACTTTCAAACAACAGCCGCAGAAAACTTTGGAGTCATGGCTCCGTCGACTCAGTCTATGGGTCCAGCCCCAACAACACTCGCAGACGGAACTATGCTGCCATTATATGCCTCACCGGAGTTCTCGGCACCAACGGAAGCATTCTCCTTTACCGCCATGCCAGACCCAGCATCGATGCAACAGTCCTCTTTCCTAGACATGAGCGGCTCCCAGATCGACCCGGTCACGTGGGATAACAGTGTACCCAACGTGACCACCATGGTTCAACCAATGCCCGATAGCTGGCCCTTCGACATGATGTCTATGAACAATAGCATTCCATCGGCAGATGTTGAGGCTTCGGGATATGCAAGTGCACCGTCGTCGGGCTATTTGACGGGACCATCCACACCCGACTTCCTTCCCATTCAGCATCCAGACAGTACCTCCAAGTCACTGCATGAATCGACCACTGATGAACAGCCTGGGGATGAACTTGTTGGAATGGGTCTTTACAATCACCCTGACCCTTTCCTGGACACCTCGTTCCATGAGGTGCCTGGGAAGGGTCTCAAGCTGGAGGAGACTTTCACACCCTCGTCGGAGGATGAAGCAGATGACAGCAAAGATGCCGAGAGTGAAGACGACAACCAAGAGACCGCAGAACATGCCAGCGCCTCCAGCTCTGCTCCAGTCCAGAAACAGCCGGCCAACCCAACGGCCAACATGATGCACAAGTCATTCTTCTTTGATGATGATGACATCGAACAGCAGACCATGTCTGCACCCCAGCAGCTCTTCAACCTAGGAAGTCAGCCTTGCATGAATTATGGATACGGATGGATCTAGCCGTCCTGATGACACTTGTTCATTCTCTCTCTCTTGTTTCTTTCTTTTTGTTTTTCTTTTTTTTTTTTTCACTGTATAAATCTTTTCTATGACCTATTGCATAGCGTGGCGTTTTGGCTTTCGACGGCGTTCTGTATGTACGAAAGGATACCCAAAGGGTGCGGGCTTGATTAACTATTATCGAAACACATGTATTAGACATCATCAACTTAGTGTTGCAGCAAACGAGCGTCACATTGACACACTCTCTTCACTCAGTCCGCAGTATTCTATGTAAAATAAGTTAGGGATACGGGACCCAGCCAGAACCGCGGACCGGAAAAACTGGAAACTCCGACCACAAAAAGTCCAAATTCCCCCTTGATCACAATATCTAAAAACCCCAATACTAAATACAAAAATCAGCCTCATCTACTAGAGGCTAATAATATAATCCCAAAAATGTCAAAAGTAATCTTCACACCATGGAAAGAACAGTCGGAATTACAAACAGTGCGGAGTCAATTTTATCCTCCGCCAACATACAATGGACCGGACATGCGGTCTAGAGCCTGCGCTACGGTATATAATATGGTTTCAATTCGATACGACTCAAATGATCCGGTACTAATTCTTGTATAAAGGTTGCGGCTTGGAAGTTGAGGGGCAATCTGCCCCATCCCGTGGAGGCTACGGCTTTGCTGACGGATGCTATTCTGCATGATGATGCGAGGAAAAACTCGATCTTTTCGATACGGGCGACGTACTCGGCAGCTTTTTGTCGGTGAGTTCTTCTTTTTATCCCCAACAAATATTTTTAATCCTTAAATATTAGTTTTGAAGTTGTAAAGAATGTTGAAGTTCTAATTGAATACAGGTTTGTAACGGGTCTTGTAGACTCCAAACTTCATGGCCAACGCAAGACTATGTTCCAGCGTGCCATTGATTTAGGCTTACCTGCCTCATTCGTCGAATTGCGACATGAAGCAACCCATCGTGAACTGCCGTCGTTGACGGTGCTGCGGAATGCCGCGCAACGGTCTCTCGAATGGCTCTGGGATTACTACTGGGCCAAGATTGATCTGAACGCCGGTTTTGCACCGGACGGTGTCGACGATGACATCGAGCCTGTTAAGGCTGCTACCAGAGCTTGTCTGGCACAAGTGACGGATGCGTCGGAACCGCTGCGGAAGAAGAGGAAGGTCCAGGTTTTGGCTGGTGTTGCGACGCAGTTGGTTTCGGTGTGTAAAAGCTCTGGGAAGGGGGCTGCTGCTGTTTCAGGGGTTTTGGTGGAGGATGAGGTTTTGGTTGCTGGAGGGAGGAAGTATGTTAATTCTTCTTTTATTTTCTTTTCTTTTCTTTTCTTTTTCTTTTTCTTTTTTCTTTTTCTTTTTCATGGTTTTGTTTTGGGGTTTGTGTGCTGACTTCTTATTACTAGGCTTGGAACATCTATGGATGATGAGCTTTCCAGGTGGGATTATTTCTTGCAGGTCATCGTTGAGGGATGTCCTACTTTCCTGGCGGCGCTTGTGGAGGCTATGGTCGATGTGCTGGCGTTTGCTGGATCGGCTGCGAAGGAGGATGCCCATTGTGAAGGAGTTTATATGTGGCTGGACCATATTCTATGCTCATCACAATGGGAGTCTAAGAGGCGGTTGCTCTCGTTTGCCTATGCTCTCTCTGCCTGTGAGCAAAACTCAAATCACTGGACGAATATGCTCAAGGAGAGGATACAGCAAGTGGACAACCGCTTGTCTGGTAGCCATGGGGATCCAGAGCGATTTGGCAAGGATAGGAATGCACTCCAGAGCCTACACACAAGGACAAGTCATGATTTAGATAGCCTGAAGAACATGGGATGGGAGGTCGTAGATACATGGGATAGTCGACCGTTAGGTATAGTCTAGTTGGGAACATGCCTACTACTCGATTGTTACGATTATCAAATTAAATATACATTTAATCAATAAGATTTTCTTACTATGTCTGCTTGGAGTCAACTACTATCATTCATAATGATCTTCAGTGAAGCCTGGCGTAGCCTAGTAACCTACCTGAGATGCATTGTTCCCACTGATGCTGTGGAGCGACGTCATAGCCGCGACTTGCCCAATGCGGCGTGAACTTCAACCAAAACGTCGCTCAAGCTGCGACTTTGATGAAACCTCAGCGATTTTCCCCCCAACATATGAACATACAAATTTAAAAATTTGAGTTTGGCTGTTGAATCATGGATCAAGGCCAGTTTAGGGATAATGCTGTACGGTTGTCGATTTACAGATCGTATCAGAACCGTAGCTAACTTGTCTCAAGGGCCATGGAGGGGCAGGTGGAGATACGGACTCCCACAAATTAGAGGTATATTTGACACGACACTTTAATTCCATATTGCATTATTAACATCGCGATGTTTCTTTCACTAGGTTGTGCTTACCCCGGATTGCAGTCACCGCCGTAAGTCGTCCTTGGTCATGGCGAATGAACCAGGCAAGCCTCGCCTTGACCGCGCAGACGATAAGACCGCCTGCTTCGTACATTCCCTGATCGCAGGTGAATGGATTTGCCCCCCGGGTCAAGCGAAGAATGCACCAATTGGGCGTGATGCGCTGGACGACGCAATTGGCTTCGACGATACCGTCGTAGATGACGATGGCGTCACCGTCACCGATATGGACGACTGGACGCCAAAGCAATCCGAGACCATCGTGGAGTCACGGCAGCTGACGAAAAAGCAGTTGTCTGATATGGCATGGAATGTACGAAAGTTGTCTAAAAAGCTGGATAGCATCAAACTCAAGCTGTCTGTCAAGAATGTCTTTGTGGTGACTAAAGCGGGCGATGATAGCGTGATTGCGTTTACGAGGAAGGTCACGGAATGGTTATTGTCTAAAGACCGTGATACGCAGTATAACGTCTACGTGGAGAGACGACTGGAGGCGGTTGCGGATTTCGGTGCTTCTCAATTGCTGAGGGATGAACCTTCCGCAGCAGGGCGGCTCAAGTTCTGGGATAATAAGTTTGTGTACGAGAATGCCTATCTCTTTGACTTCGTCATTACACTGGGTGGTGACGGGACGGTTCTTTATACGAGCTGGCTCTTCCAGCAAGTAGTACCGCCGGTTCTCTCTTTCTCATTGGGATCATTGGGATTCCTAACCAAGTTCGATTTTAATGACTACCAGAAGACGCTTGGGTCCGCTTTCAAAGACGGTGTTGCCGTTAGCTTGAGGTTACGATTCGAATGCACAATTATGAGGAGTAATGGGCGAGGAGATGAATCATTAACGCACTCGAAGAAACGAGATTTGGTAGAAGAGCTGATCGGCGAAGAAGTTGAAGGCACGTTAACACACAAGCCGGAAAAAGTTGTTCAAATTTTAAACGATGTTGTCCTCGACCGGGGGCCAAATCCCAGTATGTTCACAGAGTCTTGCTACATAGTTCTATGATATCCTGCTAACAACTGCTCAGCAATGTCCTCCATTGAGCTGTTCGGCGACGATGAGCATTTCACCACGCTGCTTGCAGACGGTGTCTGTATCGCTACACCTACGGGCTCGACCGCGTACAACTTAGCCGCTGGAGGATCTCTGTGCCACCCTGACAACCCCGTTATTCTGGTCACAGCGATCTGCGCACATACACTGTCTTTCCGACCGATAATACTGCCCGACACCATCGTTCTAAGAATGGGCGTGCCGTACGATGCACGCACCAGCTCGTGGGCAAGCTTCGATGGCCGAGAAAGGTGAGTGCATCCCGAGCTATTCTATCAAGCGAGAAGCGGAAATTAACATCCACGACAGAGTTGAATTGCACCCGGGTGACTACGTGACTGTTTCCGCCTCACGGTACCCATTCGCAAATGTGTTACCGCAAGATCGGCGCAATAATGATTGGGTGCACAGTATTTCAAAGACATTAAATTGGAATTCAAGGCAAAAGCAAAAGGCTCTCAAGGAATGATTGAAGAGCTTGGACTTGTATCTTTTTGCATGGAGTATAGACGATAATTATTTTGGTAAGGGGTCTTGTTTGTGGCGTCTGTCTTACGCGGGGGATGCATATAATCCATTGCCTGGAGTCTTAATCAATGTGCGTTCTTGTGATGAAGCATACGAATTTTGCAGAACTATATATCTCACCGGTATCATATGCAGCATTTCTTTTTGAAGATAGATATGTGTATAATATCCTGGAATTGAACCTCAACCAATTCTATGAATAATCGAAAACCAATCGAACATTCGATCTCGCATGCTGTGGAGGTGCTATTCAATTTTTGCTATTCTCTAGAAGCTTCGTATGGGTCGGCAGTGTTTCCCCGGCAGCCTGAGGCCGACTATAAAAAGCCCTCCCGTTCCGAAATTTCTTTCCTTCCCACACAACTTCAACGACGACAACAACAAATGGTCTTCAACTGGAGTCTAATGTGACTTTCAGTCCAAATTTGACTGGCTATAATCTATGGCATTGTTATGCTATTCGAGAATTCCCATACGCCTTTCAATTGTTCGCACTAACTAGGTGAGTTTTAGCAATTGCTTTCTCTTTTGTATCTTCGAACGACCAAGAGGCCCTTGGGCTCTTATGATGAAAAATTTTCCCACATTCGCAGTTTCCACGCTAGCCGTCGCTATGAACCCATACCAGACGTGCTCTGTGCGCAATACTTCCTTGGATGTCTGACATTGTTGATCATCGATACGATATGATTGAGCATCATAGTTCTGTTACAATACATGCTAACGACATACGCTTAGTATAGGTAGCTCTTGACCAATTGACATCACAACTGGAAGGATCTTATCAGAAGGTCTTTGGAAGAAGGATTGTCTCCGAGATTGCGTAAATTCTAGGGACAATATCCATTTAGATTATCAATGAAGAATACAATTTGTTTTATGAATTTTATCTTCTGCGTACCCCGTGTAGACGTCTTTTTTGTAGTTGTAGGAGTTTTTGCTACTGTATGGTTCGTAGTTCACGAGGAATTCATGAATCTCGGTGGGCACGATCTAGAATATCAAGTACTGTATTAACTATACTGAATGGTGTGGTCCTTGAAACTGCATTGCATGTCTGTGTGTTCCGCCGTAAGAACTCCAAACCGCTGCCCGATACGGAGGAACAACAACCTATCACCAAGTGTATGTTGTATGGACCAGCTATTCCAGCACATGTGCGCCTTTTTACTAAACCCCGCGGGTCTCTGTGGAATTGATATCAGTCGACACTTCTTTTCATTGACATATTAGAGTTTAATCACCATGAAGCACTATCCATCACTTGAAATATAACTTCCATCAATCACTACTAGTGCAATCTATCAGAACAACCAACGAAGTCATTTCCAAACATGGCACACCCCGCCCGACATTCCGCTATGATGTCCGTCAGCAACAGCGCCCCAAACCAGTCAAACGCTAGCGACAAGCAGCAGCAGCAGCAGCCACCGCAGCAGATTCAGCACATCGCAAATACCGGGTTGCGCGTCCCGTCGAACCGGAAAACCATCTATGACAGACATCTGAATCGCAGTCGAAATGCGGAACTCAGCCGGGCAAGTTTCGCCTTTCTCTTTGCGGAGATGGTCACATATGCCCAGAGGAGGGTAACGGGCATTCAGGACCTGGAGAAACGGTAAGTCCCATAAGGGGAAGTGTTGTGTTGCGGTCTATCTTGTGCTGAAACGAGCTTCAGATTGAATGAACAAGGATACCCTCTGGGACTCCGTCTTCTTGATCTACTCTACTACCGAACCATATCCAGCTCAACCTCATCGTCTTTATCTAGCTCGTCGACTTCTGCCGCTCCACCTAATCGACCCCTCCGTATCCTGCCCTTGCTCCATCTCATCCACGGTCCCCTCTGGCGACTGCTTTTCAATCGCCCGGCAGATGCTCTCGAGCACTCTGTGTCTCCCGACACACCCAACGAATATATGATTACGGATAATGACCCGCTTGTAAACACATACATCAGCGTACCCAAGGAAATGAGCATGCTTAACTGTGCGGCTTTCGTGGCGGGAATCATTGAGGGTGTCTGTGACGGTTGTGGCTTCGAGGCCAAGGTTACGGCTCACAATCAACCAACGGAGATGTGGCCTGGTCGGACGATCTTCTTAGTGCGCTTTGGTGAGAGTGTTATGGAGAGGGAGAAGGTACTGGAAAGGGCGGGCATCAAATAAACTCGCTGCAACACACACAACCTGAATTAGGACACGGATCCTTGACTGATTGCTACTTCTGACTGGCTATTATGATCAAACTGGACGTCGGTTATGATAAAGGGTGGTAAGGTTATCAATTCGTCGACTATGCTTCGTGTTAGGTTCTACTATTCGACGTTTGGAACGGGACAATGACATACTCAATGCGGTCAACTACGGCTACGGTGTTCATGTTTATGCAGAGGGAAGATTTTTGAGCAAGCTGGTGACATCGTGCTACACATTTGTGCCTAGGCAGATGTCCAATTGATCATTTGGCCAAGTTACGACCAGAAGGCGAACTGGTATAATTTATGTCTCCCCTGGTGCGGCCTCATTAAATACAGGAGGAAAGGCAAGAAAAAAAAACATTGGTTTCTCAATGCAAAGCGTCATAACCCTAACCCGCCCATGCTTTCAAGATACCCACAACGCCAATAGGAATAAAATGATTCTATTTGCACTTTTTCTGTTGCTTCTTTACGAAACACTTCTCATCCGTCTGCGCTTTTCGCGATCGTCATACGGAGAAGGGCTTCGTTTCCTGCGATTGCTCGAGTCAGGGCGGTACCGATCTCTGGAACGGTCCCGGTCGGGACTTTCACGACGTTCCTTTCTGTTAGTTCGTCGGTCCCGTCTTGGTGAGTATGACCTGGATCTCGACCTCCGTCTCTCGCGCACTGGACCAGCATTGGCTCCCGTAGGCCCCTTTGGTCGGTCATCTGGCCGATCTGGCAGGAATCGTTCATCCCTGACGCCAACCGGAGCGTCGCGACGACGTCTATTATCAAAGCCATCACCGAAGCGTCCTGTATCTTCCGTTTTCAGATCCTTGTATCGTGTCCGACCCTTCTTTCCAAGTTTTGTCATATCTCGAATCTGCATGTACTCAGGCAAAGTTTCGCGTGATACATCGTCCACAAATCTAGCACCCATGAGCTCTCTCCGGTCCAATCCTTCCTTCTCCAGGTCGTCGCGGAAGAAGGCACCCTTGTGAAAGTAGCGCTGCATAAATCCACCCTGTCCTCGAGTAGCTTCCTTCTCTTCTTGCTGTTTGGCAATGAATTCGCGGTCTTCGCGTTCACGCTCCTCTGCTGTCAAGTTCCGACGACGCTCGATCTCTTCGCGCTCCTTCTCGGCGGCCTCGATTGCCTCACGTTCTCGCTTGACGCGCTTGAGTTCGCGGAGTTTCCAGGCGGCATATTCGGCTTCGGGGTCTACTCCATCCTTGTCATCAATACCACTTTCTTCAACTGCCTCTAATTCATCGTCATCCCACTGCTTGTTTGCAGTGCTCCGGGCGATTGCATCTTTCTCCAACTGCTCGCGCACCAACATATCGGCCTTCTCTTGTCGCTGCGCTCTGCGGGCCTCTGCCTCCGCAACTGAATCCGCAGCGGCTGTATTAGGTGCTGCTCCTTGCCCGGTCTGTGTCTGATTTGCTGCAATGTTGCGCTTGTCCTTTTTAATAAACGTAGGCCGTAGAAGAACCCTCCTCGGCGTCTCCTCCTCCGAACTACTCTCTTCTTCGGAGCTCTCTTCCTCCTCTTCCTCCTCCTCCTCACTTTCTGCTTTGCTCACCGGTTCACCCGCTGCTTGAACAGGAGCTGCAGCCGCAGCACCCCCTTTGTCGCCAGCAACACGGGGGGCGGGTTTAGGCTCTTCATCCTCTTCCTCAGTAACGAAGCCTTCCTCATCTTCATCCTCTTCTATTTGCACATTCTTTACCCCCTTCGTGATGTTCCCGCTGGGGAAAGAAGTCGCCTTCGGTGCCTGCGCCCGCTGCTTCCGCTGTTGTTCCAACCTGCGTCGTTCCTGCTCCTTGATCTGTTCTTCCTCATCATCTTCTTCCTCCTCCTCAGATGACGAGGGATCTTCGGCAATCGGTTTTCCAGGTCGGTAACGGCTGGGTTTGAGGGGGTTTGCGGTCATACCGCGGTGGTGGGAAGGTAGCGGAGGTGGCATGGTGATTTGATCTGGAGGAAGCGGGGAATGGAAAATTGAAATAGATGAGATTTAGTTATGTTAGATAGGTAACCGCGATCATAGTACACTAGTAGCCGAGGGAAGGAACCCAGAAATGGTGAGTTTTCCTTCGAACCGTCGCGGAAGTATCTGATTGACGTACCGGCAAGCTTTCGGCGGAGATAAAAATGGATCACGTGAGCACGTGTTATAGCGCGGGTGTCAGATCCACTTTAGGGTTACTTAGTAAGCTCAGGAACGCTTAGTTATAGTTTAATATGACCTCGACATTAGTCTGATATTACACAACATATGTAAAGGAGTTCATGTAAGGCTCCAGGGCTGTTTCACCAACTTACCTGGCCGGCGTGCTGTCCTAGAGCAGTGCCAAATTCTGTTCACTCATGGAGATCTATGCCTCCCAGAGCATCATGGTCAACGATGGATGTGTCAGTGGAATCTTGTATTCTGGGGGTCAAAGATACTTTCAAGATTATACAGGCTGCCACGGAGAGATTATGCGTTTCGACATGCCTAAAATTCCTCCTTGACGAATACCACCATGGATATTACTGCAGGACCATTCTCAGACTGGGTAGCGTGACAAAATTACGCGTCGGGACCGAGGCATTCGAGAGGTAGAGGTGCGTCTTCTTCCTTTTCCTTTCTCCCTTTCTCTCTGGTCTGGGTATGCACTCGGATTACAGCTGTCAGAAGAGGAAGAAGAATCGACTGCATGCTCCCACATTGTCTCCTCACCAGAGTGTGTGTCATGTTTAGCAACGCGCCCGACGCGTTCCGACCTGCTAAACATAATTCAAGATGTTGGTCTTAGTCCGGATCCATATCCTCTTGGACTTTCTGTTATCCATTGAGCAACTGGCCTCTGCCATGATGGAATCAACACGCAGTTCGTCGGCCGACCCCGAATGGCTCGCTTTCGTTGATATAAGGAGTCCGGAGGGTAGGTGGCCCAGTCACTGCGTACTCAATACAGAGTACAGAATAATTCCATATGAGAGACTGAGATACTGACAAGGACACGTTCTACGCTAGCTGAGAAGGAGCTTTGATCAGATGAAACGAATCAATTGGTTTGGTACTGACCCAATCTATACCCGTTGGGTTCTATCCTTAGATGTCATTGTGCAGAATGAGGATAGAGCGGCTCCTAATGGAAGGATCACGGACAAGAACAGCTTCCTGAAACAGAGCTATTGCAAGAAGAGGATAAATGGATGAGTCGAATTGACCTGTTCGACTACAGGTGAGTCAACCATAGAAGGTGGCTGTCTTTGAATGTTAGGTCTAACTGGCATCAGACCCTACAGGCTTCGCGGAGGTAGGTTCGGTCAGTATATGAAATGAGATGGAAGGAGCGATGGGCCACAGGGTAGTTGCCGTACGTGCGCTTTTACCACACCTCCGCGGAACACTACAACACCATCGCACCAGAAGCCCGAGCAGTATATCTGAACATAACAATGTTGGTATATTGGCCTAAGGAATACCGGCCGAGAGCTCGACCCCACGGACGCTTGGGAGTTTGGTAGCGGATGCACTGCCACCTATGACTTTACTATTATGACGAACTGTACGGCACATTTCGCCACCTTGGGTTTCTCTCACTTCCGCCTCACTTCTGAACTCTTACATGTACTTTAGTCTTCTCAATCAAAAAGCATTTCCATCAAAGCCAATTCTTCCTGCCAGTAAGGCCTACCAAACAAGCCACACACACACACACACACACACACACACACACACACACACACATACACACACACACACATACACACACACACACACAACCAAACAAACGTTCATAAAAATGAACACCTTCTTCTTCTTCTTCTTCTTCTTCTTCCTCCTCCTCTGCCTCCTGGCAGTTCTCTTCGAGGGCTGCCAGGCCCTTCCAATCGGTGCCGACCAAACGGCACACACATCGTCCGTGGCCTTCGGGCTTTCTATTGGCCTAGGCCTCGGCCTAGGTGTCCCTGTGGCGGCGTGGGTCGTTATATGCCTGCGTCGCCACATCCACCACCTCCAAATCCGGCGCGACAGAAGACAATGGCGCCAGGAAATGGCGGTTGCTATGCGGGCCCAGCTTGCCCAAGAAGAAGCAACCGTGGCTCGCATACCGCGCTTCGGGGGGCGCCACAAGGAGGTAACCAAGCCTCCAAGCTGGTAAGTTGACCCTCCCTGAGATTCGGGTTGAAAGAACAGACCTTCTAACAGAGGGTCTATAGTCACGTTAAAGACAGCCGGCCCCTCCCAAGCCCGGTTGCGAGCCTCAAAACGATCGACGAGTAAATCGGTCGTTGGAGGTGGTGGACCCAGTCAGACGTTGTACGGTGGGTGGGCTGGGGTCCCGTTAGGGACAGTACAACGTCCCGCTGGGGGTGGCAGGAAGGACTGGTTTT